TAGAATAATGTGCATAAATGTATATAGAAGTTATCATTATTCCTCATATTCTTATGTAAGAGTTGACTACAAGTATAAACTGTTTTGACCTCTTTTTATACATCATATAAGAGTGTTTCCTAACTTCTCTCTCCAATAGATTTACTACATAGCACAACAATGTTTCTTTCAGTTTTCTGTGACGTGTCTTTCCTATCAGCAGGTGTGGGTGTGTGAGTGATGTATCCTCCGCGCATGAATGGTGGGAAGGTTTTGGGGAGGAAACCCTTATCAGAAGGAGCTCGATAGATGCCGCCTTGACCTTCACATATTCACAAGTTGTTCATTGTTATGCTTTATGAGAGTACTTACTTTGCTGCCCAATTTCCCCCCACCTTTTAGAAACATTGTGTAACCAGGGACAACCCTAAATAAAAGAGGCCGGACAGAGAAAGAACCCTTAGAGTGGTATTGAGATAACTAAAAGAAAGATCTCTGTCCATTCTCCTCGAGTATATTCCATTGTCTTTCTCCTTTTTTATATGTTTTCAGGTATTTGGGCAGGTTTTAAACCCAACAGTGTGTTTGTTGAACTTGAGGTTGTGGCAATTGTTTAACTTGAGATTTGGGTGTTGGTTGTACTTGAGTTTGTGTGTTTGTTGAACTTGAGTTTGTGGTGTTTTTGAACTTGAGTTTGTGTGTTTTTTGAACTTGAGTTTGCATGTTTGTTGAACTTGAGTTTGTGTTGTGTTTGAACTTGAATTTGTGGTATTTTTGAACTTGAGTTTTTTTCTCATATTTGAACTTGAGTTTGTGGCGTTAGTTGAACTTGAGTTTGTGTCGTGTTTGAACTTGCGTTTGTGGTGTTTTTGAACTTGAGGGTGTGTAATTTGTTGAACGTGAGGTTGTGGGAATTGTTAAACTTGAGTTTGTGTGTTTGTTGAACTTGAGTTTGTGTCGTGTTTGAACTTGAGTATGTGTGTTTGTTGAACTTGAGTTTGTCTCGTGTTTGAACTTGAGTTGGTTTGTTTGATGAACTGTAGGTTGTGGCAATTGTTAAACTTGAGATTTGAGTGTTGGTTCAACTTGAGTTTGTGTCGTGTTTGAACTTGAGTTTGTGTTGTTTATTGAACTTGAGTTTGTGTGTTTTTTGAACTTGAGGTTGTGGCAATTGTTAAACTTGAGATTTGGGTGTTGGTTGAACTTGAGTTTGTGTCGTGTTTGAACTTGAGTTTTTGGTGTGTTTGAACTTGATTTTTGTGTTTTTTGAACTTGAGGTTGTGAAAATTTTTAAACTTGAGAATCAGGTGTTGGTTGAACTTGAGTTTGTGGTTTTTGTTGAACTTGAGTTTGTGTCGTGTTTGAACTTGAGTTTGTGGTGTTTTTGAACTTGAGTCTGTGTTGTTTTTGAACTTGAGGTTGTGGACATTGTTAAACTTGAGAATTGGGTATTGGTTGAACTTTAGTTTTTGTTGTTTTTGAACTGGAGTTTGTGTTGTGTTTGAACTTGAGTTTTTGGTGTGTTTGAACTTGAGTTTGTGTGTTTGTTGAACTTGAGGTTGTGGAAATTGTAAAACTTGAGATTTGGGTGTTGGTTGAACTTGAGTTTCTGTCGTGTTTGAACTTGAGTTAATTTTGTTTGTTTAACTTGAGATTGTGTGTTTCTTGAACTTGAGGTTGTGAAAATTTTTAAAGTTGAGAATCAGGTGTTTGTTGAACTTGAGTTTGTGGTTTTTGTTGAACTTGAGTTTGTGTCGTGTTTGAACTTGAGTTTGTGGTGTTATTGAACTTGAGTTTGTGTCGTGTTTTTGAACTTGAGGGTGTGGAATTTGTTTAACTTGAAAATTGTGTATTGTTTGAACTTGAGTTTGTGTCGTGTTTGAACTTGAGTTTGTGTCGTGTTTGAACTTGAGTTTGTGGCGTTTGTTGAACTTGAGTTTTTGTCGTTTTTGAAATTGAGGTTGTGGCAATTGTTTAACTTGAGATTTTGGTGTTGGTTGAACTTTAGTTTGTGTCACGTTTGAACTTGAGTTTGTGGTGTTTTTGAACTTGAATTTGCGTGTTTGGTGAACTTGAGTTTGTGTCGTGATTGAACTTGAGTTGCGTGTTTGGTGAACTTGACTTTGTGTGTTTTTTGAACTTGAGTTTCTGTTGTTTTTGAAATTGAGGTTGTGGCAATTGTTTAACTTGAGATTTTGGTGTTGGTTGAACTTTAGTTTGTGTCACGTTTGAACTTGAGTTTGTGGTGTTTTTGAACTTGAATTTGCGTGTTTGGTGAACTTGAGTTTGTGTCGTGATTGAACTTGAGTTGCGTGTTTGGTGAACTTGACTTTGTGTGTTTTTTGAACTTGAGTTTCTGTTGTTTTTGAACTTGAGATTGTGGAAATTGTTAAACTTGAGAATCAGGTGTTGTTTTGATCTTGAGTTAGTCTGTTTGTTGAACTTGAGTTTTTTGTCTTGTTTGAACTTGAGTTTGTGGTGTTTTTGAACTTTAGTTTTTGTGTTTGTTGAACTTGAGTTTCTGTTATGTTTGAACTTGAGTTGCGTGTTTGGTGAACTTGAGTTTGTGTGTTTTTTGAACTTGAGTTCCTGTCGTTTTTGAACTTGAGTTTGTGGTTTTTTTAACTTGAGTTTGTTTCGTGTTTGAACTTGAGTTTGTGGCGTTTGTTGAACTTGAGTTTGTGTCGTGTTTGAACTTGCATATGGGGTTTTTTCGAACTTGAGTTCGTGGTGTTTTTGAACTTGAGGTTGTGGAAACTGTTAAACTTGAGAATTGGGTATTGGTGTAACTTGAGTTTTTAGTGTTTTTGAACTTGAGTTTGTGTCCTGTTTGAACTTGAGTTTTTGGTGTTTTTCAACTTGAATTTAGGTGTTTTTTGAACTTGAGTTAGTGTGTTTGTTGAACTTGAGTTTTTTGTCGTGTTTGAACTTGAGTTTGAGGTGTTTTGAACTTGAGTTTGTGGTGTTTTTTGAACTTAAGTTTCTTGAACTTGAGTTTGTGGCAATTGTTAAACTTGAGTTTGTGTCGTGTTTGAACTTGAGTCTGTGTTGTTTTTGAACTTGAGGTTGTTGAATTGTTAAACATGAGAATCAGGTTTTGGTTGAACTTGAGTTTCTGTTGTCTTTGAACTTGAGGTTGTGGAAATTGTTAAACTTGAGAATCAGGTGTTGGTTGAACTTGAGTTGCGTGTTCGGTGAATTTGAGTTTTTGTGTTTTTTGAACTTGAGTTTCTGTTGTTTTTGTACTTGAGTTTGTGGAAATTGTTAAAGTTGAAAATCAGGTGTTGGTTGAACTTGAGTTTCTGTTGTTTTTGAACTTGAGGTTGTGGAAATTGTTAAATTTGAGAATCAGGTGTTGGTTGAACTTGAGTTGCGTGTTTGGTGAACTTGAGTTTTTGTGTTTTTTGAACTTGAATTTCTGTTGTTTTTGAACTTGAGGTTTTGGAAAAATTGCTAAACTTGAGAATCAGGTGTTGGTTGAACTTGAGTTTGTGTTGTGTTTTAATTTGAGTTGCGTGTTTGGTGAACTTGAGTTTGTGTTTTTTGAACTTGAGTTTCGATTGTTTTTGAACTTGAGGTTGTGGAAATTGTTAAACTTGAGAATCAGGTGTTGGTTGAACTTGAGTTTTTTGTCGTGTTTGAACTTGAGTTTGTGGTGTTTCTGAACTTGAGTTTTGTGTTTGTTGAACTTGAGTTTCGTGTTTGAACTTGAGATTGTGGTGTTTTTGAACTTGAGTTAGTGTGTTTGTTGAACTTGAGTTTGTGTTGTGTTTGAACTTTAGTTTGTGGCGTTTGTTGAACTTGATTTTGTGTCATGTTTTAACTTGAGTTTGTGGTTTTTGTTGAACTTGAGTTTGTGTCGTGTTTGAACTTGAGTTTTTGGTGTTTTTGAACTTGAATCTGTGTTGTTTTTGAACTTAAGGTTGTGGAAATTGTTAAACTTGAGAATTTGGTATTGGCTGAACTTGAGTTTTTGGTGTTTTTGAACTTGAGTTTGTGTCGTGTTTGAACTTGAGTTTGTGATGTTTTTTAACTTGAGTTTATGTGTTTGTTGAACCTTAGGTTGTGGCAATTGTTAAACCTGAGATTTAGCTGTTGGTTGAACTTGAGTTTGTGTCATGTTTGAACTTGAGTTCTTGTTGTTTGTTTAACTTGAGTTTCTGTGTTTTTTGAACTTGAGGATGTTAAAATTTTTAAACTTGAGAATCAGGTGTTGGTTAAACTTGCATTGGTGGTTTGTGTTTAAGTTGAGTTTGTGTCGTGTTTGAACTTGAGTTTGTGGTATCTTTGAACTTGAGTCTGTGTTGTTTTTGAACTTGAGTTTGTGGTGTTTTTGATCTTGAATTTGTGTATTTGGTGAAGTTGAGTTTGTGTGTTTTTTGAACTTGAGTTTCTGTTGTTTTTGATCTTAAGGTGGTGGAAATAGTTGAACTTGAGAATCAGGTGTTGGTTGAACTTGAATTTTTGATTTTGTTGAACTTGAGTTTGTGTCGTGTTTGAACTTGAGTTTGTGGTGTTTTAAAAAATTGAGTTTGTTTGGTGTTTGAACTCGAGTTTGTCACGTTTTTTGAACTTGAGTTTGTGTCGTGTTTGAACTTGAGTTTGTGGTGTTTTTGAACTTGAGTTTGTGGTGTATTTTGAACTTAAGTTTGTTGAACTTGAGTTTGTGGCAATTGTTGAACTTGAGTTTGTGTCGTGTTTGAACTTGAGTCTGTGATGTTTTTGAACTTGAGGTTGTTGAATTGTTAAACTTGAGAATCAGGTTTTGGTTGAACTTGAGTTTGTGGTTTTTGAACTTGAGTTTGTGTCGTGTTTGAACGTGAGTTTTTGGTGTGTTTTAACTTGAGTTTTTGGTGTATTTGAACTTGAGTTTGTGTTGTGTTTGAACTTGATTTTGTGGTGTTTTTGAACTTGAGTTTGTTTCTTGTTTGAACTTGAGTTTGTGGTGTTTTTTAACTTGAATTTGCGTGTTTGGTGAGCTTGAATTTGTGTGTTTTTTGAACTTGAGTTTGTGTTGTTTTTTAACTTGAGGTTGTGGAAATTGTATATCTTGAGTCAGGTTTTCTGTTGAACTTGAGTTTGTGTGTTTGTTGAAATTGAGTTTGTGTTGTGTTTGAACTTGAGTTTGTGGTGTTTTTGAACTTGAGTTTGTTTCGTGTTTGTACTTGAATTTGTGGCGTTTTTGAACTTGAGTATGTGTATTTGTTGAACTTGAGGTTGTGGCAATTGTTAAACTTGAGATTTGGTTGTTGGTTGAACTTGAGGTTGTTAAAATTTTTAAACTTGAGAATCAGGTGTTGGTTAAACTGGTGGCATTGGTGGTTTGTGTTAAACTTGAGTTTGTGTCGTGTTTGAACTTGAGTTTGTGGTGTTTTTGAACTTGAATTTGTGTATTGGTTGAACTTGAGTTTTTGGTGTTTTTGAACTTGAGTTTGTGACGTGTTTGAACTTGAGTTAGTTTTTTTAACTTGAAGTTGTGGTGTTTTTGAACTTGATGTTGTGGAAATTGTTAAACTTGAGAATTGAGTGTTGGTTGAACTTGAGATTGTGTCATGTTTGAACTTGAGTTCGTGGTGTTTTTTGAACTTGAGTTTGTTTGCTATTTGAACTTGAGTTTGTGACATGTTTGAACTTGAGTTTGTGTTTTTTTTTAACTTGAGTTTGTGGCAAATGTTGAACTTGAGTCTGTGGTTTTTAGAAAACTTTAGTTGGTGGGAATTGTTGAACTTGAATTTTTGGCATTTGGTGAACTTGAGTTTATGACGTGTTTGAACTTGCGTTTGTTTTTTTTTACTTGAGGTTGTGGTGTTTTTAGGGCCCGAGCGTAGCTGCTAAGCAGCTGCGAGAGCCCTCTTGTTCCTGATGGATTCTTCTTTTGTTATTATTATTATTTTTCCTCCGCTTTAAACTGGAAAATGGCCCACTTCCCACTGGCGAAAACTCATGAAATTTGGCAGGACGACCGGGCCTAGTGAAAAATTCGATATTCTGAAGTCACCCAAACAATAAAATGCAAAATGGCTCCATAGCGCCCCCTAAGGCGAAAATTCACACTATTGACTGTCACGCCTGTACGCTTTGTCATATTGACACAAAAATTGACACACACGTGTATCTCAATACGTTCTACGAAAAAGTCAGCGCGGGCGCATCTGTGAAATGTACAGTTAGAGGGTTATTTCGCATTTTTTGCCGATCTGCACACATTGGAATTTCGCTAACTCCTCCGAAGGCATTCGTTCCACCGGCACCACATTTGCTCAGGCCAATCTACACCCCATGGCCATTAAAAGTTGTACAAATCATGACGCTGCACCCCACAGTTTACGTTCTAGGGGGCGCCAAAGATAACCCAAAAATCCACAGTCTTAAAAGTCTTATAACTTTTTATTTTTGTCCTCACTGGCCTCCAAGTTCTCTAGGATGATGCAATGTCCAGCCATCAACACATTTGTGAAGGAATTTTTACTCCCCAAAGGAGCGCCCCCACATGGCAGGAGAAAAAAGTCAATTTTTTCTTGTCCCCTAAGGTGAAAATACACATTGTTGAGTGTCACGCCTATACGCTTTGTCATATTGACCCAAAATTTGACAATCACGTGTATCTCAATAAGATCTACGAAAAAGTCAATGGGCACGTATCTGTAAAATGTACGGTTAAAGGGCTATTTCGCATTTTTTGCAGATTCGCACACATTGGAATGTGGCTAACTCCTCCTAAGGCTTTCTTCCCACCGACACCAAATTTGCTCAAGCCGATCTACATCCCATGGCCATTCAAAGTTGTAAAAATCATGCCGCTGCACCCCATGGTTTACGTTCTAGGGGGCGCCAAAGATGACCCAAATATCCACATTCTTAAAAGTCGTTTTGGCCACTGCAGGAGTACAGAGTACTGCAGGATACACACACACAGACACACACAAACACAGACACACACACACACACACACACACACACACACACACACACACACACACACACACACACTCAGAGTCTGTTTTTTAGCACCTGCAAAAACATGCTATTTACATATTTGACAACAATGCAGAGGCTCCTTTTGCCCCTGAAAAAAATCAAATTTCAAACACAACTTGACTGGTCATTTCTCCAAAAGACAACCATGAAGCTCCATCCAAACCTGAAGCAGGCAGTTGGTGCATGTGTACAGTTACCTGAGGGGAGTGAGGTGAGTGCTTCTGAGGAGAACATGAGCAGTGAAGATTCACCTTGGAGCGAGAACAGGGACGTGCACATGATTATACAGGGGCAGGGGCTCAAGTTTTTTCCAGTCGTTTATACAATATGGAAATTAATGTGAAATTAAAAAACAAAGTATTAATAGAAAGGTAATGACTGTCCTGTGTAGGTGACAGTGATATCCAATAGGCTAGGCACTCACGAGGCTGGCTGTGGCAAGTGTAAGTGAAAGCAACACGCACTGGCAGGAAGAACAGCAAACGCCGATGAAGGAAAAGGGTCTTTGCAGTGATGGGCGTTACCAGAGAGGACGATGGCCAGAGGACGCGAATGGGACGGGGAGGCAGCGCATTGGTGGGGGGGGGGGGGCGCGACACAGCTCGGGCCCGCCAGTGCCCCAACGGGGCCCTAGTTGAACTTGAGGTTGTGGAAATTGTTAAACTTGAGAATTGGGTATTGGTTGAACTTGAGTTTGTGTGTTATTTGAGGGTGTGGAATTTGTTAAACTTGAGAATTGGGTATTGGTTAAACTTGAGTTTGTGTGTTTGTTGAACTTGAGATTGTGGTGTATTTGAACTTGAGTTTGTGGTGTTTTTGAACTTGAGTTTGTTTCGTGTTTGAACTTGAGTTTGTGGCAATTGTTGAATTTGAGTTTGTGTCGTGTTTGAACTTGAGTTTGTGGTGTTTTTTAACTTGAGTTTGTTTTTTCTTTAACTTGAGGTTGTGGAAATTGTTAAACTTGAGAATTGGGTATTGGTTGAACTTGAGTTTTTTGTGTTTTGAACTTGAGTTTGTGTCGTGTTTGAACTTGAGTTTGTGGTGTTTTTGAACTTGAGTCTGTGTTGTGTTTGAACATGAGTTTTTGGTGTTTTTGAACTTGAGTTTGTGTGTTTGAACTTGAGGGTGTGTTGTGTTTGAACTTGAGCTTGTGGTGTTTTTGAACTTGAGTTTGTGTCGTGTTTGAACTTGAGGGTGTGGAATTTGTTTAACTTGGGAATTTGGTATTGGTTGTACTTGAGTTTGTGGGGTTTTTCTGAACTTGAGTTTGTGGAAATTGTTTAACTTGAGAATCAGGAGTCTGATGAACTTGAGTTAGTGTTTGTTGAACTTGAGTTTGTGTTGTGTTGGAACTTAAGTTCAACAAACACACAAACTCAAGTTCAAAAACACAAGAGTTTGTGTTGTGTTTGAACTTGAGTTTGTGTTTTTTTTAACTTGAGTTTGTTTCATGTTTGAACTTGAGTTTGTGGTGTTTTTGAACTTGAATTTTTGGTGTTTTTGAACTTGAGCTTGTAGAAATTGTTCAACTTGAGAATTGGGTATTGGTTGAACTTGAGTTTTTTGTGTTTTTGAACTTGAGTTTGTGTCGTGTTTGAACTTGAGTTTGTGGTGTTTTTGAACTTGAGTTTGTGGTGTTTTTGAACTTGAGGTTGTGGAAATTGTTAAACTTAAGAATTGGGTATTGGTTGAACTGAGTTTTTGGTGTTTTTGATATTGAGTTTGTGTCGTGTTTGAACTTGAGTTTATGGTTTTTTTTAACTTGAATTTGCGTGTTTGGTGAACTTGAGTTTTCGTGTTTTTTGAACTTGAGTTTCTGTTTTTTTGAACTTGAGGTTGTGGAAATTTTTAAACCTTAGAATCGGGTGTTGGTTGAACTTGAGTTTGTGTGTTTTTTGAACTTGAGTTTGTGGTGTGTTTGAACTTGAGTTTGTGTTGTTTTTGAACTTTAGTTTTTGGTGGTTTTGAACTTGAGGGTGTTGAACTTGAGAATTGGGTTTTGGTTGAACTTGAGTTTGTGGTTTTTTGAACTTAAGTTTCTTTCGTGTTTGAACTTGAGTTTGTGGCGTTTGTTGAACTTGAGTTTCTGTTGTTTTTGAACTTGAGTTTGTGTCGTGTTTGAATTTGAGTTTGTGTGTTTGTTGAACTTGAGTTTGTGTCGTGTTTGAACATGAGTTTGTGTCGTGTATGAACTTGAGTTTGTGTCGTGTTTTTGAACTTGAGTTTTTGGTGTTTTTGAACTTGAGGGTGTGGAATTTGTTAAACTTGAGAATTGGGTATTGGTTAAATTTGAGTTTGTTTGTTTGTTGAACTTGAGTTCGTGTCGTGTTTGAACTTGAGTTTGTGGTGTTTTTGAACTTGAGTTTGTGTGTAATTTGAACTTGTTTGTGTTGTGTTTGAACTTGAGTTTGTGGTGTTTTTGAACTTGAGTTTGTGTCGGTGGGAACTTGAGTTTGTGGTGTTTTTGAACTTGAGTTTGTGGTGTTTTTGAACTTGAGGGTGTGGAATTTGTTAAACTTGAGAATTTGGTATTGTTTGAACTTGAGTTTTTTGTGTTTTTGAACTTGAGTTTGTGGCAATTGATGAACTTGCGTCTGTGGTTTTTAGTGAACTATAATTGGTGGCAATTGTTGAACTTGAGTTTGTGGCGTTTTTTGAACTAGAGTTTCTGTTTTTTTTAACTTGAGGTTGTGGAAATGAAGCATAGCGTTAGTTCTGTCAGGACACGACGTCAAGCGCTGATCTGCAGCCAATGGCTAGTAGCCACCTCAACCAGATGATAACCAGCTGATTCACTCCTAGCTCCTATTGGTCCTTTGCCTATAGAGCGCCTTATTTAAAAGTGCACTAACCCAGCCTCTTCCTCTGCTCTGACAGCTAACCAGCAAGCTGCTGCAACCGCTCTGCACGCTCCCACTTTTAAGAACACTCAGATCTACGTTTTTGCTTCCTACCTTGCGCTTCATCATGTCGATCGCTACCCACGACAAAGATCCCTGGCATGGATGAAGGGTTTCTGAAATGCAACATCAGCACTGCGAAATCGAGGAAGACAGTCCTTACAACGACAGCTGCATTCCCTTCAGTAGGAGCTCTCCTCTGGAAAATAAAACTTCTACTTCTCCCAGCTTCAATGAACGGCCGGAGTCCGGGCTCCTGGAAGTCCTTTAAAAAAAAAAAAATAACATCACAGCTCCAGATGGCGCCTCACATCAAGAGTTTTCACCTTGTTTACGGAAAATATCCACATAGGTCCTCCACTCGCAGTTCTCTCTTCCTCCTCTGTATCCAGAAAAGCGACCGAGGAAAGAAAACGCTGTTCCCGCAGCGTCACGGCAGTCCAGCTTCAGCCGCCGCGTCATCGCCGCCGCCCGCAGAGCGCGAATCCCAACCCCAGCTATAAGACCCGCGGACCTGGACGACAATCCCATCCTGAGAGTACTACCCAGCATCCAGCCATCGTTCTCCCACATGTCTTCAAGGATCGAAGCCTCAGAATCTGGTTCGGCACGTGCTAAGCTGTCTCCCTTCATCCCAGCTGTTACCTGCATTCACCGCGCTGAACGATGACGTCACTCCAGCGACAACCGACGACGGTGTCCCCCATCCTGCGAAGGACCCTGGGAAGTGCAGTCCCAGTCTCCACCGGCGTCCAATAATTCCCTTCGCGGCTGCAATTACGCCTTATCCGCGGAGCCAAATCCTTGCAGGTACTGACATTAGTCTTGCTGTGCTCAGACTACAATGATAGACGCATTGTTGATTGCGGAGATGAGTCTGTGATGCTTAAATATCGTGATGCCCGGCTGTTTAAATCTCCGACCTTGGCTGAATTCATAGCTTTAAATTTCGTATTTGGAGATGTCATATGTGAAGAGTTTTCAGCACGCAGAACTGAACTGGACACATATCTCGCCATTATTTCTGATTCAGCCATGACACAGGGAGGATCATTATCCTAGGAACATTAAAAATCATTGTCAGCAAAGCTGCTAAGTACATTAAAAGATTCAACCAAAGACTTGATCAGTCCGTAGTTGACCTGGCTCTAATCAGTAGACATTTCACCGCGCATCAAGCTTTCCTGCTCAATCTGCGGGCCTTTCTCTCACCTGGAGGTGAAAGTAAACCATTATGCGGCAGTATGCCATTTCGGGAAGACATAATCAGCAGTTTAAAGTTTTCACCCCTTCCATGTATCTAGGCTAAGTGTGTTGCCACACATCAGTCTGCACTCTGCGTTATAACCGAAGTAATCCAATAGGACCTTGCCGCTTGAGAGTGAGTGGTATTTGCTTACAAATAAACTCCAGTAGTGGGAGCACCAGTGCGCACTTTTGATTGGACGCTGGTTGCCTAGGTGCAGGGGCCCGCCTTCCGCCTTTTGCGGAAGGAGGGAACTTAAAGAGTCAGCTGCTTCAATCTTAATGTAGAAATAAGACAAAATGCAGATAAATAAATAAATAAATAAATTATTATTATTATTATTAACAATAATAATAATAATAATAATTAGTAATAATAATTAATAATAATAATTAATTAATAATAATAATTGCTTTATGTTCAAGAGAGAGATACAGCAGATGATGATACTGTGGCATCGGAGTCAGCAACTCGCTTAACTTGGGTGTGCTCCTCTTGTACAAAGTCTACGGGTACAGTACCTGGAGGAACCTTATCCTACCTTGTCCACCCCTGCCCACACCTCTAATCGGTGACCTAAAACTGCGGCTACAGGCCAACCACCCAAGCCTCTCTAAGCCTACGACTCGGAGAAGCCAAGTTACTTCAGGGACGGGCATCTGAAATCAGCATGCCCGAGACGCACCCACCTGGTAAAACGGGAAAGAACAAGCTGTCTACTCTGTCAAATGTCCTTGAAATGGGGAAGGCAATGGCAAGCATCCCAACCGCTGTTAGTGAAGTCATTCATTCAGACTGCGTAAGTCTGAGTGCAGCCTTGCAAACCTTAGTGCTCTCAGTTGCCAGCTATTTGAGAGCTGGTCAAGCAAAATCAGCATTTAAGTTTATACGGTTCTGCATAGTCTCACTTTACCTCTTTTGTACCACCTTCTCTGTAGCCCCAACACCCTAAATATATCCATTGTATGTGCTTTAATAGTCCACTTTTTTTAAAATTTATATTTCCAAACTAACTCTGTCTTTGTTCTTTATCCTCCATGTCCCGCTGCCCGAGAGGCCGGCCACTGGCCAGCCAGCAAGAGTCTCTCTTTGCCACTGAAGAAGGGAAACCTATATCCAGATTGCAGCTTTCTGCTCACCTCTGCCTGCTCTGCCAATCCTGCTGGGTCCTACCTGAGTACAACTCTACGCATTCACCACGTATAGGCGCAGCTACAACTGCATCTTCCAGTGTCCCCATCTCGACGCTCAAGGCTACGGGTCGATGGTCCTGATCAGCATTTGAATGGCCCATGGCCAATATATTATTATTATTATTAGAATTTTTCTGTCCCATAACTTGGCACATAGATGCTAATTAAATGAAATATATAAATAAATACCCATGCTTGGGCAACGGGTCTCTCTAACCCGTCTCTCTTTCGGCAACTCTCACTTCCCCTGCTAGCTCCTAGACTGCACGGCATGGTTGTTTTGGGGGGGTTCTGTTCATTGCCGCTCTACCCCCGCCGCCTCCTCCTTCATGATGGCTCGTGGAGGGCGGGAAGGTGCACTTCCTGCCGTTGGCCTTTCACCCATGCCAACGTGGAGAACGGGGGGATGAACGGAACCTCGCGTGCGCTCCCTGCTATCGCCTTTCATGATGGCTCGTGAAGGGCAGGAAGGGGCGCTTCCTGCCTCGGGCTTCCACACAAGCGCGTGGAAGGGCAGGGACCCGGAACAGAATCATGCCGCCAAATCTAACTTGATGCCAATCCTGCGGACTTCCTCCAGATCGCTACACAGCTCATTCTTTTCGCATAGGCACAGCTACTACCGCTGCTGTGACGGCTCCAGTGTCCACCCTCAAAGCCATGGGCCGATGGTCGTCTGCCGCGTACGAACGCTATCTGCGCCCCGAGGTTCGGGACATTCTAGAAGCACAGAAAACCATGAGTAACCATAATTTGGCACATAGACGTGATAAAATGAACTATATAAATAAATATCCATGCTTGGGCAACTAGTCTCTAACCCGTCTCTTTTCGACAGCTCTCACCTCCCATCGCTAACTCCTAGACTGCACGGCATGGTTGTTTTGGGGGGGTTCTGTTCATTGCTGCTCTGCCCCCGCCGCCTCCGCCTTCATGATGGCTCGTGGAGGGCAGGAAGGGGCACTTCCTGCCGCTGGCCTTTCACCCATGCCAACGTGGAGAACGGGGGCCCTGAACAGAACCTCGCGTGCGCTCCCTGCTATCGCCTTTCATGATGGCTCGTGATGGGCAGGAAGGGGCTCTTCCTGCCTCGGGCTTCCACACAAGCGTGTGGAAGGGCAGGGACCCGAAACAGAATCATGCTGCCAAATTTAAACTTGCACAATAAAGCCAAAATTTTTGACAAAGTGTTCCTGACTGAAATGAAGCATAGCCTTAGTTCTGTCAGGACACGACGTCAAGCGCTGATCTGCAGCCAATGGCTAGTAGCCACTTCAACCAGATGATAACCAGCTGATTCACTCCTAGCTCCTATTGGTCCTTTGCCTATAGAGCGCCTTATTTAAAAGTGCACTAACCCAGCCTCTTCCTCTGCTCTGACAGCTAACCAGCAACCCACCGCCATCCCAGCTCCACCCTTGTGCCAGCTAATGCTCTGCTACCCTCGAAGCGCTCCTGTTCCGGGGGGGTTCTGTTCATTGCTGCTCTGCCCCCGCCGCCTCCGCCTTCATGATGGCTCGTGGAGGGCAGGAAGGGGCACTTCCTGCCGCTGGCCTTTCACCCATGCCAACGTGGAGAACGGGGGCCCTGAACAGAACCTCGCGTGCGCTCCCTGCTATCGCCTTTCATGATGGCTCGTGATGGGCAGGAAGGGGCTCTTCCTGCCTCGGGCTTCCACACAAGCGTGTGGAAGGGCAGGGACCCGAAACAGAATCATGCCGCCAAATTTAAACTTGCACAATAAAGCCAAAATTTTTGACAAAGTGTTCCTGACTGAAATGGTTAAACCTTAGAATCGGGTATTGGTTGAACTTGAGTTTGTGTGTTTTTTGAACTTGAGTTTGTGGTGTGTTTGAACTTGAGTTTCTGGTGTTTTTGAACTTGAGTGTGTGTGTTTGTTGAACTTGAGTTTGTGGTGTGTTTGAACTTGAGTTTCTGGTGTTTTTGAACTTGAGTGTGTGTGTTTGTTGAACTTGAGTTTGTGTTGTGTTTGAACTTGAGTTTTTGGTGGTTTTGAACTTGAGGTTGTGGAAATTGTTAAACTTGAGAATTGGGTATTGGTTGAACTTGATTTTTTGTGTTTTGAACTTGAGTTTCTGTTGTGTTTGAACTTGAGTTTGTGGTGTTTTTGAACTTGAGTTTCTGTTGTTTTTGAACTTGAGGTAGTGGAAATTGTTAAACCTTAGAATCAGGTGTTGGTTGAATGTGAGTTTGTGTGTTTGTTGAACTTGAGTTTGTGTGTTTGAACTTGAGTTTGTGGTGTTTTTGAACTTGAGTTTGTGGTGTTTTTGAACTTGAGTTTATGTTGTGTTTGAACTTGAGGGTGTGGTTTTTTTTAACTTGAGTTTGTTTCATGTTTGAACTTGCATTTGTGGCGTTTGTTGAACTTGAGTTTGTGTCGTGTTTGAACTTGAGTTTGTGGTGTTTTTGAACTTGAGCTTTTGGTGTTTTTGAACTTGAGCTCTTGGAAATTTTTAAACTTGAGAATTGGGTATTGGTTGAACTTGAATTTTTTTTGTGTTGGAACTTGAGTTTGTGTCGTGTTTGAATTTGAATTTGTGGTGTTTTTGAACTTGAATTTGTGGTGTTTTTGAACTTGAGGTTGTGGAAATTGTTAAACTTGAGAATTGGGTATTGGCTAGACTGAGTTTTTTTGTGTTTTTGAACTTGAGTTTGTGTCGTGTTTGAACTTGAGTTTATGGTTTTTTGAACTTGAATTTGCGTGTTTGGTGAACTTAAGTTTTCATGTTTTTTGAACTTTAATTTCTGTTTTTTTAACTTCAGGTTGTGGAAATTGTTAAACCTTAGAATCGGGTATTGGTTGAACTTGAGTTTTTTAACCTGAGTTTGTGGTGTTTTTGAACTTGAAGTTGTGTTTTTTTTTAACTTGAGGGTTTGGAATTTTTTAAACTTGAGAATTGGCTTTTGGTTGAACTTGAGTTTGTGGTGTTTCTGAACTTGAGGTTGTTTTGTGTTTGAACTTGAGTTTGTGGCGTTTGTTGAACTTGAGTTTCTGTTGTTTTTGAACTTGAGTTTGTGTTATGTTTGAACTTGAGTTTGTGTCGTGTATGAACTTGAGTTTGTGTCGTGTTTTTGAACTTGAGTTTGTGTCGTGTTTTTGAACTTGAGTTTTTGGCGTTTTTGAACTTGAGGGTGTCGAATTTGTTAATCTTGAGAATTGGGTATTGGTTAAATTTGAGTTTGTTTGTTTGTTGAACTTGAGTTCGTGTCGTGTTTGAACTTGAGTTTGTGGTGTTTTTGAACTTGAGTTTGTGTGTATTTTGAACTTGAGTTTGTGTTGTGTTTGAACTTGAGTTTGTGGTGTTTTTGAACTTGAGTTTGTGTCGGTGGGAACTTGAGTTTGTGGTGTTTTTGAACTTGAGTTTGTGGTGTTTTTGAACTTGAGGGTGTGGAATTTGTTAAACTTGAGAATTTGGTATTGTTTGAACTTGAGTTTTTTGTGTTTTTGAACTTGAGTTTGTGGCAATTGATGAACTTGCGTCTGTGGTTTTTAGTAAACTTTAATTGGTGGCAATTGTTGAGCTTGAGTTTTTGGCGTTTATTGAACTTGAGTTTGTGGTGTGTTTGAACTTGAGTTTCTGGTGTTTTTTTGAACTTGAAGTTGTGTTTTTTTTTAACTTGAGGGTGTGGAATTTTTTAAACTTGAGAATTGGGTTTTGGTTGAACCTGAGTTTGTGTGTTTTTTTAACTTGAATTTCTGTTGTTTTTGAACTTGAGGTATTGGACATTGTTAAACCTTCGAATCAGGTGTTGGTTGAACTTGAGTTTGTGTGTTTGTTGAACTTGAGTTTGTGTCGTTTTTGAACTTTAGTGTGTGGTGTTTTTGAACTTGAGTTTGTTTCGTGTTTGAACTTGAATTTGTGGTTTTTTTGAACTTGAATTTGTGTGTTTAGTGAACTTGAGTTTGTGTGTTTTTTTAACTTGAGTTTCTGTTGTTTTTGAACTTGAGGTATTGGAAATTGTTAAACTTGAGAATCAGGTGTTGGTTGAACTTGAGTTTGTGTGTTTGAACTTGAGTTTGTGGTGATTTTGAACTTGAGTTTGTGTTGTGTTTGAACTTGAGTTTGTGGTGTTTTTGAACTTGAGTTTGTGGTGTTTTTGAACTTGAGGGTGTGGAATATGTTAAACTTGAGAAATTGGTATTGGTTGAACTTGAGTTTTTGGTGTTTTTGAAATTGAATTTTTGGAAATTGTTAAACTTGAGAATCAGGTGTTGGATGAACTTGAGTTAGTGTTTATTGAACTTGAGTTTGTGTCGTGTTGGAACTTGAGCACATGTTGCTTGTTGAATTGAGTTTGTGTGTTTGTTGAACTTGAGGTTGGGAAATTTTTTAAACTTGAGAATCAGGTGTTGGTTGAACTTGAGTTTGTGGTTTTTGTTGAACATGAGTTTGTGTCGTTTTTGAACTTGAGTTTGTGGTGTTTTTGAACTTGAGCATGTGTTGTTTTTGAACTTGAGGTTGTGGAAATTGTTAAACTTGAGAATTGGGTATTGGTTGAACTTTATTTTTTGTGTTTTTAACTTGAGTTTCTGTTGTGTTTGAACTTGAGTTTGTGGTGTTTTCGAACTTGAGTTTCTGTTGTTTTTGAACTTAAGGTAGTGGAAATTTTTAAACCTTAGAATCAGGTGTTGGTTGAACTTGAGTTTGTGTGTTTGTTGAACTTGAGTTTGTGTGTTTGAACTTGAGGGTGTTTTGTGTTTGAACTTGAGTTTGTGGTGTTTTTGAACTTGAGTTTGTGTCGTGTTTGAACTTGAGGGTGTGGAATTTGTTTAACTTGAGAATTTGGTATTGGTTGAACTTGAGTTTGTGGTGTTTTTGAACTTGAGTTTGTGGAGATTGTTTAACTTGAGAATCAGGTGTTGGATGAACTTGAGTTAGTGTTTGTTGAACTTGAGTTTTTGTCGTGTTGGAATTTAAGTTTGTGGGGTTTTTTTAACTTGAGTTTGTGTGTTTGTTGAACTTGAGTTTGTGTTGTGTTTGAACTTGAGTTCGTGGTTTTTTTTAACTTGAGTTTGTTTCATGTTTGAACTTGCATTTGTGGCGTTTGTTGAACTTGAGTTTGTGTTGTGTTTGAACTTGAGTTTGTGGTGTTTTTGAACTTGAGCTTTTGGTGTTTTTGAACTTGAGCTTGTGGAAATTGTTAAACTTGAGAATTGGGTATTGGTTGAACTTGAATTTTTTGTGTTTTTGAACTTGAATTTGTGGTGTTATTGAACTTGAATTTGTGGTGTTTTTGAACTTGAGGTTGTGGAAATTGTTAAACTTGAGAATTGGGTATTGGCTGAACTGAGTTTTTGGTGTTTTTGAACTTGAGTTTGTGTCGTGTTTGAACTTGAGTTTATGGTTTTTTGAACTTGAATTTGCGTGTTTGGTGAACTTAAGTTTTCTTGTTTTTTGAACTTTAATTTCTTTTTTTAACTTCAGGTTGTGGAAATTGTTAAACCTTCGAATCGGGTATTGGTTTAACTTGAGTTTGTGTGTTTTTTGAACTTGAGTTTGTGTCGTGTTTGAACTTGAGGGTGTGGAATTTGTTTAACTTGAGAATTTGGTATTGGTTGAACTTGAGTTTGTGGTGTTTTTGAACTTGAGTTTGTGGAGATTGTTTAACTTGAGAATCAGGTGTTGGATGAACTTGAGTTAGTGTTTGTTGAACTTGAGTTTTTGTCGTGTTGGAACTTAAGTTTGTGGGTTTTTTTTAACTTGAGTTTGTGTGTTTGAACTTGAGTTTGTGTTGTGTTTGAACTTGAGTTTGTGTTTTTTTTAACTTGAGTTTGTTTCATGTTTGAACTTGCCTTCTTGGCGTTTGTTGAACTTGAGTTTGTGTTGTGTTTGAACTTGAGTTTGTGGTGTTTTTGAACTTGAGCTTTTGGTGTTTTTGAACTTGAGCTTGTGGAAATTGTTAAACTTGAGAATTGGGTATTGGTTGAACTTGAATTTTTTGTGTTTTTGAACTTGAGTTTGTGTCGTGTTTGAACTTGAATTTGTGGTGTTATTGAACTTGAATTTGTGGTGTTTTTGAACTTGAGGTTGTGGAAATTGTTAAACTTGAGAATTGGGTATTGGCTGAACAAAGTTTTTTGTGTTTTTGAACTTGAGTTTGTGTCGTGTTTGAACTTGAGTTTATGGTTTTTTGAACTTGAATTTGCGTGTTTGGTGAACTTAAGTTTTCTTGTTTTTTGAACTTTAATTTCTTTTTTTTAACTTCAGGTTGTGGAAATTGTTAAACCTTAGAATCGGGTATTGGTTGAACTTGAGTTTGTGTGTTTTTTGAACTTGAGTTTGTGTCGTGTTTAAACTTGAGTTTATGTTTTTTTTTAACTTGAATTTGCGAGTTCTGTGAACTTGAGTTTTCGTGTTTTTTGAACTTGAGTTTCTGTTTTTTGAACTTGAGGTTGTGGAAATTGTTAAACCTTAGAATCGAGTATTGGTTGAACTTGAGTTTGTGTGTTTTTTGAACTTGAGTTTGTGGTGTGTTTGAACTTGAGTTTGTGGTGTTTTTGAACTTCAGTTTTTGGTGGTTTTGAACTTGAGGTTGTGGAAATTGTTAAACTTAAGAATTGGGTATTGGTTGAACTTGCGTTTTTTGTGTTTTTTAAATTGGGGTTGTGTAGTGTTTGAACCTGAGTTTGTGGTGTTTTTGAACTTGAAGTTGTGTTTTTTTTTAACTTGAGGGTGTGGAATTTTTTAAACTTGAGAATGGGGTTTTGGTTGAACTTGAGTGTGTGGTGTTTTTGAACTTGAGTTTGTTTCGTGTTTGAACTTGAGTTTGTGGCGTTTGTTGAACTTGAGTTTCTGTTGTTTTTGAACTTGAGTTTGTGTCCTGTTTGAACTTGAGTTTGTGTGTTTGTTGAACTTGAGTTTGTGTAATGTTTGAACTTGAGTTTGTGTCGTGTATGAACTTGAGTTTGTTTCGTGTTTGAACTTGAGTTTGTGGCGTTTGTTGAACTTGAGTTTCTGTTGTTTTTGAACTTAAGTTTGTAGTGTGTTTGAACTTGAGTATGTTGTGTTTTTGAACTTGATTTTGTTTCGTCTTTGAACTTAAGTTTTTGGTGTTTTTGAAGTTGAGGGTGTGGAATTTGTTAAACTTGAGAATTGGGTATTGTTTGAATTTGAGTTTGTGTGTTTGTTGAACTTGAGTTTGTGTCATGTTTGAACTTGAGTTTGTGGTCTTTTTGAACTTGAGTTTGTGTGTTTGTTGAACTTGAGTTTGTGTTGTTTTTGAACTTGAGTTTGTGGCGTTTGTTGAACTCTAGGTTGTGTCAATTGTTAAACTTGAGATTTGGGTGTTGGTTGAACTGGAGTTTGTGTCGTGTTTGAACTTGAGTTCGTGTTGTTTGTTGAACTTGAATTTGTGTGTTTTTTGAACTTAATTTTTTTGAAATTGAATTTGTGGCGTTTGTTGAACTTGAGTTTGTGTCGTGTTTGAACTTGAGTTTTTGGTGTTTTTGAACTTGAGTTTGTGGTGTTTTTGAACTTGAGTTTGTGTTGTGTTTGAACTTGAGTTTGTGGTGTTTGGTGAATTTGCGTGTTTGGTGAACTTGAGTTTTTGTTTTTTTTTAACTTGAGTTTCTGTTGTTTTTTAACTTGAGTTTGTGGAAATTGTTAAACTTGAGAATCAGGTGTTGGTTGAACTTGAGTTAGTGTCGTGTTTGAACTTGAGTTCGTGTTGTTTGTTGAACTTGAATTTGTGTGTTTTTTTAACTTAATTTTTTTGAAATTGAGATTGTGGCAATTGTTGAACTTGAGTCTGTGGTTTTTGGTGAACTTTAATTGGTGGCAGTTGTTGAACTTGAGTTTGTGGCGTTTGTTGAACTTGAGTTTGTGTCATGTTTGAACTTGAGTTTTTGGTGTTTTTGAACTTGAGTTTGTGGTGTTTTTGAACTTGAGTTTGTGTCGTGTTTGAACTTGAGTTTGTGGTGTTTGGTGAAATTGAATTTGCGTGTTTGGTGAACTTGAGTTTTTGTGTTTTTTTTAACTTGAGTTTCTGTTGTTTTTTAACTTGAGGTTGTGGAAATTGTTAAACTTGAGAATCAGGTGTTGGTTGAACTTGAGTTAGTGTCGTGTTTGAACTTGAGTTCGTGTTGTTTGTTGAACTTAAATTCGTGTGTTTTTTTAACTTAATTTTTTTGAAATTGAGATTGTGGCAATTGTTGAACTTGAGACTGTGGTTTTTGGTAAACTTTAATTGGTGGCAATTGTTGAACTTGAGTTTGTGTCGTGTTTGAACTTGAGTTTTTGGTGTTTTTGAACTTGAGTTTGTGGTGTTTTTGAACTTGAGTTTGTGTCGTGTTTGAACTTGAGTTTGTGGTGTTTGGTGAAATTGAATTTGCGTGTTTGGTGAACTTGAGTTTTTGTGTTTTTTTTAACTTGAGTTTCTGTTGTTTTTTAACTTGAGGTTGTGGAAATTGTTAAAATTGAGAATCAGGTGTTGGTTGAACTTGAGTTAGTGTGTTTGTCGAACCTGAGTTTTTGTCTCGTTTTTAAACTTCAGTTTGTGGTGTTTTTGAACTTGAGTTTTTGTATTTGTTGATCTTGAGTTTGTGTTGTGTTTGGAACTTGAGTTTGTGGTGTTTTTGAACTTGAGTTTGTGTCGTGTTTGAACTTGAGTTTGTGGTGTTTTTGAACTTGAGTTTGTGGTGTTTTTGAACTTGAGTTTGTTTCGTGTTTGAACTTGAGTTTGTGGCGTTTGTTGAACTCTAGGTTTGGCAATTGTTGAACTTGAGATTTGGGTGTTGGTTCAACTTAAAATTTTGGCATTTTTTGAACTTGAGTTTGTGTGTTTGTTGAACTTAAGTTTGTGTCTTGTTTGAACTTGAGTTTGTGGTGTTTTCAAACTTGAGTTTGTGTGTTTTTTGAAATTTTTTTCAAACTTAATCCAAAAGGTTGGAAGAAAGTTCCTATAAAGGTTTTGGACAGTGATTTTAACCCTAACGCCAAAAACCTTAAACCTTACCCTAGCCCCATAACCAAATACCCGGGTATTACCTTCAGGAAGCCCGAAAACCCCAAATATTCTTTTTTCATTTTTCGTTTTTTTTGGTCTAAATAACTCCAAAAGGTTGGAACAGAGTTCCTACAAAGGTTTTGGACAGTGATTTTAACCCTAACGCCAAAAACCTTAAACCTTACCCTAGCCCCATAACCAAATACCCGGGTATTACCTTCAGGAAGCCCGAAAACCCCAAATATTTTTTTTTCATTTTTCGTTATTTTTTGGTCTAAATAACTCCAAAAGGTTGGAAAAGAGTTCTTTTAAAGGTTTTGGACAGTGATTTAACCCTAACGCCAAAAACCTTAACCTTAACCTAGCCCCAAAACCTAATACCCCGGTATTACCTTCAGGAAGACCGAACACCCCAAAAAATTTTTTTTCATTTTCATTTTTTTTTTGGTCTAACTCCAAAAGGTTTGAATAGAGTTCCTATAAAGGTTTTGGCAGTGATTTTAACCCTAACGCCAAAAACCTTAAGCCTTACCATAGCCCCATAACCTAATATCCGTATATTACCTTCAGGAAGCTCGAAAACCCCAAATATATATTTTTTATTTATTTTTTCGGTCTAATAACCCCAAAAGGTTTGAAAAGAGTTCCTACAAAGGTTTTGGACAGTGATTTTAACCCTAACCCCAAAAACCTTAAACCTTGCCCTAGCCCAAAAACCTAATACCCGGGTATTACCTTCAGGAAGCCCGAAAACCCCAAATAATTTTTTTTCATTTTCATTTTTTTTTTGGTCTAACTCCAAAAGGTTTGAAAAGAGTTCCTACAAAGGTTTTGGACAGTGATTTTAATCCTAATGCCAAAAGCCTTAAACCTTACCCTAGCCCCATAACCTAATACCCGGGTATTACCTTCAGGAAGCGCGAAATCCCCAAATATTTTTTTTTTCATTTTTCATTTTTTTTTGGTCTAACTAACTCCAAAAGGTTGGAAAGGAGTTCCTACAAAGGTTTTGGACAGTGATTTTAACCCTCACGCCAAAAACCTTAAACCTTACCCTAGCCCCATAACCTAATACCCGGGAATTACCGTCAGGAAGCCCAAACAACCCAAATATATTTTTTTCATTTTTCATTTTTTTTTGGTCTAACTCCAAAAGGTTGGAAACGAGTTCCTACATAGGTTTTGGACAGTGATTTTAACACTAACACCAAAAACCTTAAACCATTCCCTAGCCCCATAACCTAATACCCGGGTATTACCTTCAGGAAGCGCTAAATCCCCAACAATTTTTTTTTTCTTTTTTCTTTTTTTTTTGGTCTAACTAACTCCAAAAGGTTTGAAAAAAGTTCCTACAAAGGTTTTGGACAGTGATTTTAACCCTAACGCCAAAAATCTTAAACCTTACCCTAGCCCCAAAACCTAATACCCGGGTATTACCTTCAGGAAGCCTGAACACCCCAAATATTTTTTTTTCATTTTACATTTTTTTTGGTGTAACCAACTCCAAAAGGTCTGAAACATGTTCCTAAAAAGGTTTTGGACAGTGATTTTGACCCTAACTCCATAAACCTTAAACCTTACCATAGCCCCATAACCTAATACCCGGGTATTACCTTCAGGAAGCGCTAAATCCCCAACAATTTTTTTTTTCTTTTTTCTTTTTTTTTGGTCTAATAACTCCAAAAGGTTTGAAAAGAGTTCCTACAAAGGTTTTGGACAGTGATTTTAACCCTAACCCCAAAAACCTTAAACCTTACCCTAGCCCAAAAACCTAATACCCGGGTATTACCTTCAGGAAGCCCGAAAACCCCAAATAATTTTTTTTCATTTTCATTTTTTTTTTGGTCTAACTCCAAAAGGTTTGAAAAGAGTTCCTACAAAGGTTTTGGACAGTGATTTTAATCCTAACGCCAAAAGCCTTAAACCTTACCCTAGCCCCATAACCTAATACCCGGGTATTACCTTCAGGAAGCGCGAAATCCCCAAATATTTTTTTCATTTTTCATTTTTTTTTGGTCTAACTAACTCCAAAAGGTTGGAAAGGAGTTCCTACAAAGGTTTTGGACAGTGATTTTAACCCTCACGCCAAAAACCTTAAACCTTACCCTAGCCCCATAACCTAATACCCGGGAATTACCGTCAGGAAGCCCAAACAACCCAAATATATTTTTTTCATTTTTCATTTTTTTTTGGTCTAACTCCAAAAGGTTGGAAAAGAGTTCCTACATAGGTTTTGGACAGTGATTTTAACACTAACACCAAAAACCTTAAACCATTCCCTAGCCCCATAACCTAATACCCGGGTATTACCTTCAGGAAGCGCTAAATCCCCAACATTTTTTTTTCTTTTTTTTTTGGTCTAACTAACTCCAAAAGGTTTGAAAAGAGTTCCTACAAAGGTTTTGGACAGTGATTTTAACCCTAACGCCAAAAACCTTAAACCTTACCCTAGCCCCAAAACCTAATACCCGGGTATTACCTTCAGGAAGCCTGAACACCCCAAATATTTTTTTTTCATTTTACATATTTTTTTGGTGTAACCAACTCCAAAAGGTCTGAAACAAGTTCTTAAAAAGGTTTTGGACAGTGATTTTAACCCTAACGCCAAAAACCTTAAACCTTACCCTAGCCCCAAAACCTAATACCCGGGTATTACCTTCAGGAAGCCTGAACACCCCAAATATTTTTTTTTCATTTTTCGTTATTTTTTAGTCAAACTAACTCCAAAAGGTCTGAAACATGTTCCTAAAAAGTTTTTGGACAGTGATTTTAACCCTAACGCCAAAAACCTTCAACCTTACCCTAGCCCCAAAACCTAATACCCGGGTATTACCTTCAGGAAGCCCGAAAACCACATATATATTTTTTTCATTTTTCCTTTTTTTCTTGTCTAACTAACTCCAAAAGGTTGGAAAAGAGTTCCTACAAAGGTTTTGGACAGTGATTTTAACCCTAACACCAAAAACCTTAAACCTTATTATAGCCCCATAACCTAATACCCAGGTATTACCTTCAGGAAGCGCGAAATCCCCAAATATTTTTTTTTTCTTTTATCTTTTTTTTTGGTCTAACTAACTCCAAAAGGTTGGACAAGAGTTCCTACAAAGGTTTTGGACAGTGATTTTAACCCTCACGCCAAAAACCTTAAACCTTACCCTAGCCCCATAACCTAATACCCGGGAATTACCGTCAGGAAGCACAAACAACCCAAATATATTTTTTTCATTTTTCATTTTTTTTTGGTCTAACTCCAAAAGGTTGGAAACGAGTTCCTACAAAGGTTTTGGACAGTGATTTTAACCCTAACACCAAAAACCTTAAACCTTACCCTAGCCCCATAACCTAATACCCGGGTATTACCTTCAGGAAGCGCGAAATCCCCAAATATTTTTTTTTTCTTTTTTCTTTTTTTTGGTCTAACTAACTCCAAAAGGTTTGAAAAGAGTTCCTACAAAGGTTTTGGACAGTGATTTTAACCCTAACGCCAAAAACCTTAAACCTTACCCTAGCCCCAAAACCTATTACCCGGGTATTACCTTCAGGAAGCCTGAACACCCCAAATATTTTTTTTTCATTTTACATTTTTTTTTGGTGTAACCAACTCCAAAAGGTCTGAAAAATGTTCCTAAAAAGGTTTTCGTTTTTTTTTGTTGGTCTAACTAACTCCGAAAGGTTGGAAAAGAGTTCCTACAAAGGTTTTGGACAGTGACTTTAACCCTAACGCCAAAAACCTTTAACCTTTACCTAGCCCTGTAACCTAATACCCGGTTATTACCTAAAGGAAGCCCTACCACCCCCAAAAAAATTTTATTATTATTTTTTGTTTTTTTTTGGTCTAACTAACTCCAAAAAGTCCTGAAACATGTTCCTAAAAAGGTTTTGGACAGTGATTTTAACCCTAACGCCAAAAAACCTTAAACCTTACCCTAGCCCCATAACCTAATACAAGGGTATTACCTTCAGGAAGCCTTTACACCCCAAAAAAAATTTATTTCATTTTTCGTTTTTTTTGGTCTAACTAACTCCAAAAGGTTGGAAAAGAGTTCCTACAAAGGTTTTGGACAGTGATTTTAACCCTAACGCCAAAAACCTTAAAACCTTACCCTAGTCCCATAACGTAGTACCCGGGTATTACCTTCAGGAAGCCCGAACACCCCAAATATTTTTTTTTCATTTTACAATTTTTTTGGTCTAACTATTCCAAAAGGTCTGAAACTTGTTCCTAAAAAGGTTTTGGACAGTGATTTGAACCCTAACCCCAAAAACCTTAAACCTTTCCCAACCCCGTAACCTAGTACTCCAACCAGCAGGTGAGGAGAGTCTCAATGGCGAGTCAAGGAGGCAAGATCTATTCTCTTTCTATCACTCGAATCCCTGCATGAGCAGAATGGTGCCAGACGGACCACCTGCTCCCACCACAATCCTCTTTGACTTTTTGACTCTATCCACTTTTAGAACTTAAAATTGTAATCAATAATCAACTGACCAACTCGGCTCAAACTAAACCCAAAACTCTGCCTAGAGAACTCTCACTTCCACGTTTACATATCTCTTTGTATCTCGTGAGGACCGTGAGGAGAGCAGAGCCTAGACCTAGTCGGGTCGGGGGACTATGTCCCTTGCTCACTCTCCTCACATGGATGGTGAGAGCTGGGGAGCTATGGGATGTTTCATCCGCCACCAAATCCCCCTCACCAATCTTTATTTTCCACCATCTCCACCTCTCCCTTAAACCCCCCTCTCCCTCTTCCCTTCTCTCTCTCTCTCTCTCTCACCCCCCCCCCCTCTCTCTCTCTCTCTCCCTCATCTCTCTCCCTCATCTCTCCCCCTCTCTCTAACACACCCCCTCTTTCTTATTCCCTCCCCTGCCCCTTTATTTTCACCTTCACAGAGGACAAATAGGTGATCTTCAGTCTAGGCCTAATCCGGCCGGGGGGTAACCCCTGTTGGGTCACCTATATGGAGGATTAAGAGAGACCTGAAGGGGAACCGCCGTGCCCCCTAAATCCTCCCCCTCAAACATCTTTTTTAACACTCTAAAATTAGCCAGCTAACCCCACTACAAACAACTTCATCAAAAATTTAAATAATAAATACTTATCAATAACTGACCATCAGTGACACCAGACTAAGCTAGCAAAAAAGAACACACACACACACACACACACACACACGTACAGATTTTCCCTTAGGACATTGATCAAATTTACATTTCTGTCTGTCTTTTAGGGAACTGTTCTCTGTTTTTAAGCTCACTTTTGATTTTTGCTATTTGCTCTTGACACTTCTTTTTTTCCTTTTTTCTTCCCCTTCCCTTTTTGCAATCCACTTTTGTTCTTCTTTTATTTTTTTATTTTTTCATTGTTTTATATTGTATTATTTTATTTTAGGGTTCCTGTGCTTTTGTTTTTCTTCCCCCCTCCCCTCTTTTTTCTTAGGAAGGACTGACTCCTGAGGTTCTCATGCCAGGAAAAATGTACCTCCCTCACTCACGGTTTTACCCACAATCCATTTCTGCAACAGGGAGATGGATTCCCAAGGCTCTCATGCCAGAGGCCCAATTCCAAACCACCCCCTCACTGACTCATTGACTTAGGTGCGCGCTCATGTGAGCTCTGTAAGGGCTTGAGGGTTGTTCCAAATGAAATCGGTAAGTCAGCGAGGGCTCGGGAACGCCCCTTTCTGCACCCTTTCCGTAAGTCCGTACCGTTGAGGACTTTGGCTATGAAATTGCCCACAATTCATTGCGTTGTGGGCGTTACTGGAGGACAGCGACGCAGCCGGGGCCAGGATTTAAAAAGGAACGAGGCCACAAGCGTCTCAACGTCTGCGACAGACACCAAAAATGACGGAGATCATGGCGAAGAAGTTCAAGAAGAAGCAGTTCATTTAGGATCTAGGTGCACCCTTAATACTCTAACATGGATGTTCCGCATCGTGTATGGTGGGCGCCGGAATGCCAAGATGAACAAGAATGCACTACATTAACATGGATATAATATATATAGTACAGGCCAAAAGTTTGGACACACCTTTTCATTCAATGCATTTTCTTTGTTTTCATTACTATTTAAATTGTAGATTCTCAAAACTATGAATGAACACATGTGGAATCATGTGCTTAAGAAAAAAGTGTGAAATAACTGAAAACATGTTTTATATTTTAGATTTCTCAAAGTAGCCACCCTTTACTTTTTTGATAGCGCTGCAAACTTAAGCTGTTCTCTCAATGAGCTTCATGAGGTAGCCACCTGAAATGGTTTTTACTTCACAGGAGTGCCTGAAGTAACCCTGACAAGGAACTACTGTCATCAAGAGCAAAGGGTGGCTATTTTAAAGAAACTAGAATATAAAACATGTTTTCGGTTATTTCACACTTTTTTTATTAGTACAAAATTCTACATGTGTTCATTCATAGTTTTAATGCCTTCAGTAATGATCTACAATGTAAATAGTCATATAAAAAAAAAGAAAAGACATTGAATGAGAAGGTGTGTCCAAACTTTTGGCCTGTACTGTATATATATATATATATATATATATATATATATATATATATATGTATATATATATATATATACACATATATGTGTGTGTGTGTGTGTGTGTGTATACATACATATATACACACACACACATACACACACGCATGCGTTATTCTTATAACAAAGAAAATTGATTTTTACTTCAAACTTTTATCTGAATCAATACATTTTATCCTGAACTAACACTCTAAAGCAGTGATTACTTTCAGAATCTAGTGCTTCAACCTTTTAACCATTCAATATCACTTAACCTATCATTAATGCTGGTTTTATAATTTATCAATCTAATCATTATTTACCAATTACCTGTTGTCTATGTTCAAGAGCAAGTGTGTGCAAAAGGAGCGGAACAATGTTGGCCTTTCTTCTGCAACGTCGCTGGCCGCGAAATAAATGCAGAATTAAGAGCCCAGAGAGGCAAGTGTCAGTCGCATCTTTGGTTGGCAACGTTGTCGTCTATCGTCAAGGTAACGTGGCACGTCACAAAGGGCTGTTCCATTGCTTTTATACCCTTTTGGAGCCCTTAAACCCTCCCACACTCAAGCACTTACCAGCTGACTTAACCTAAGCTAATGAGGGTGCAGGGCTTGAGGGCTTAGGGTGGAGTTTGGAATTGGGCCAGAAAGGAAGTACCTCACTCACTCTCGGTTTTACCCACAATCCTTTGCTGTAACAGGAAGATTGATTCCTTAGGCTCTCATCCCTCAGAACTAAAATACCCACAATCCCTTGCGATTGCATACAAATTTAATGTAGCAAAACTCAATTTAAAACAAATAAACCACTTTAAAATTAACTTAAAACAACTTGAAAGTTTAAAATACAACCAAACAAACATCGAGAAGAGAACACAACCATGTCTGAGAGGAACAACACAAACCATGAGTCGAGCCCAACTCTGGGGATGTCTGCTCCTGTTAAAAGCACTTTTAAGTGCTGTGCACTAAAGAGCAATTCCTGTTCCTGTAATTGAGACAAAGCACTGACCACTGGACCAAGAAGACGGACCACCGCCTCGAGGAAGACCCCGTGCCGCCACCTGAAAGAAGACGCCGCACCTCCTTCACTCCAAGCCGGCCACCACCGAGCTTCGACCCTTCTATTTTGAGTGTTGGTTTATCCTGGTGCATGAATAAAAGTCCATAAAACCCGCACCTTTTATGGTTTACTTTAATTTCTACTCTAACATAGCATTTCAGCATTTGTCCATTTACCAAACTCGTATTTCCCACCTCTTGATCCCAGGGTCCAGTTTTTTACAGTTTCCTTTTTTCACCTTTTCGTTTTTGCCACTCTCGTATTTCCCACTTTCTAATTTGGTAAACATTGTACATTCCATATTTTATCCCAGTTTTTATTTTTTATTTTTTATTTTTTATTTTTAGTTCTATTTTTATTTTCCTATTAATTTCCCCCTACCTGTATATTGTACCTTTTTTGAACAAATAAAAAATGTTTTGGAACAACTATACACTCAATTTTTATTCCACCTTTTTTTTTTCATACTAATTTACTTTATAATTTAACAGTTCCTGTTTGTACTTTTTAACAAAATAAACAGTGTAGAAAGTGATGACACAATTTTATACAACATTCTAATTTACACCCGTAAGCAACAATTTGGGAGCTAACCTTACTTATTAAACTCAAAATTGTTTAACTCATGGATTACAACTTTAGAATAGTCCAATACCTAAATAAACTACAATTCCTACTCACTTTCTAACTCTGAAATAATAATTTACAGTGAACCCTAGGTCCTATATAATCTATATAAAAAATCTCCACTTAACTCCAAACTTATCCATCTAAAACAATGCAACCTTCTGAAAAGTCGATACTCTGGACCAATAATTCTATTTATTGATCTAAAATTAATAATATAACAAAACTAAATTATGCAATTATTAATGAAATTGACACTTTTGACTCTGAAATAATAATTTCCAAAATATAATTTATAACTAACCTTTAAGATCTATTTTAGATCACAGCGTTAGGGAGTTCAGCAGATTCTATGGCCTAGACAGGCCTGAGTAGAAGGGGATCCAGACAGAACCGTCCGCTTTTGACTCTGAATAATAATTTATAAATAATAATTCATAAATATTTCCGATTTAATCTAAAATAATTTTAGGTCACAGCGGTAGGGAGTCTAGCAGAGTCTTTGGCCTAGACAGGCTTGAATGGAAGGGGTTCCAGACAGAACCGTCCACTTTTGACTCTGAATAATAATTTATAAATAATAATTCATAAATATTTCCGATTTAATCTAAAATAATCTTAGGTCACAGCCTTGAGGGAGTTTAGCAGAGTCTAAAGCCTAGACAGGCCTGAGTGGAAGGGCTTCCAGACAGAACCATCCACTTTTGACTCTAAAATAAGAAATAATATATTTTGAAATAATTTTGAAATTATATATAAATATTTGCAATTTAATCTTAAATAATTTTTAATCATAGCCTTGAGGGAGCTTAGCAGAGTCTATGGCCTAGACAGGCCTGAGTGGAAGGGGTTTCAGACAGAACCATCCAATACCCGGGTATTACCTAAAGGATGCCCTACCACACCAAATTTATTTATTTTTATTTTTCGTTTTTTTCTTGGTCTAATTAACTCCAGAAGGTTGGAAAAGAGTTCCTACAAAGGTTTTGGAGTGTAATTTTTACCCTAACGCCAAAAACCTTAAACCTTACCCACGCCCCATGACCTAATACCCGGGTATTACCATCAGAAAGCCCGAAAACCCCCAATTTTTTTTTCTTTGTTCTTTTTTTTTGGTCTAACTAACTCCAAAAGGTTGGAAAAGAGTTCCTACAAAGGTTTTGGACAGTGATTTTAACTCTAACGCCAATAAACTTAAACCTTACCATAGCCCCATGACCTAATACCCGGGTATTACCTTCAGGAAGCCCGAACACCCCAAATATATTTTTTTTCATTTTACATTTTTTTTGGTGTAACCAACTCCAAAAGGTCTGAAACATGTTCCTAAAAAGGTTTTGGACAGTGATTTTAACCCTCACGCCAAAAACCTTAAACCTTACCCACGCCCCATGACCTAATACCCGGGTATTACCTTCAGGAAGCCCGAACACCCCAAATATCTTTTTTTCATTTTACATTTTTTTTGGTGTAACCAACTCCAGAAGGTCTGAAACATGTTCCTAAAAAGGTTTTGGACAGTGATTTTAACCCTAACGCCAAAAACCTTAAACCTTACCCTAGCCCCAAAACCTAATACCCGGGTATTACCATCAGGAAGCCCGAAAACCCCCAATTTTTTTTTTCTTTGTTCTTTTTTTTTTGGTCTAACTAACTCCAAAAGGTTGGAAAAGAGTTCCTACAAAGGTTTTGGACAGTGATTTTAACCCTAACGCCAAAAACCTTAAACCTTACCATAGCCCCATAACCTAAGACCCGGGTATTACTTTCAGGAAGCCCGAAGACCCCAAATATTTTTTTTTTTCATTTTTCGTTTTTTTTTTGTCTTACTAACTCCAAAAGGTTGGAAAAGAGTTCCTACAAAGGTTTTGGACAGTGATTTTAACCCGAACGCCAAAAACCTTAAACCTTACCCTAGCCCCAAAACCGGGTATTACCTTCAGGAAGCCCGAACACCTCAAATATTTTTTTTTCATTTTACATTTTTTTTGGTGTAACCAACTCCAAAAGGTCTGAAACATGTTCCTACAAAGGTTTTGGCAGCGATTTTAACCCTAAGGCCAAAAACCTTAAGCCTTACCCTAGCCCCATAACCTAATATCTGTATATTACCTTCAGGAAGCTCGAAAACCCCAAATATATATTTTTTATTTTTTATTTTTTTTTTGGTCTAACTAACTCCAAAAGGTTGGAAAAGAGTTCCTACAAAGGTTTTGGACAGTGATTTTAACCCTAACGCCAAAAACCTTAAACCTTACCATAGCCCCATAACCTAATACCCGGGTATCACCTTCAGGAAGCCCGAACACCCCAAATATCTTTTTTTTCATTTTACATTTTTTTTGGTGTAACCAACTCCAAAAGGTCTGAAAAATGTTCCTAAAAAGGTTTTGGATAATGATTTTAACTCTAACTCCAAAAACCTTAAACCTTACCCTAGCCCCAAAACCCAATACCCGGGTATTACCTTCAGGAAGCCCGAAGACCCCAAATATTTTTTTTTCATTTTTCATTTTTTTTTGGTCTAACTAACTCCAAAAAAAACTCCGATTTAATCCTAAATAATTTTAGGTCACAGTGTTAGGGAGTTTAGCAGAGTCAATGACCTAGACAGGCCTGAGTGGAAGGGGTTCCAGACAGAACCATCCACTTTTGACTCTGAAATAAGAAATAATAAATTTGAAATAATTTTAAAATAAATTAATAAATATTTGCAATTTAATCTTAAATAATTTTTAATCATAGCCTTGAGGGAGCTTAGCAGAGTCTATGGCCTAGACATGCCTGAGTGGAAGGGGTTCCAGACAGAACTGTCCACTTTTGACTCTGAATAATAATTTATAAATAATAATTAATAAATCTCTCCGATATAATATAAAATAATTTTAGGTCACAGCGTTAGGGAGTTTAGCAGAGTCTATGGCCTAGACAGGCCTGGGTGGAAGGGGTTTCGGACAGAACCATCCACTTTTGACTGTGAACAATAATACTTTATAAATAACAATTAATAAATATCTCCGATTTAATCTAAAATAATTTTAGGTCACAGCGTTAGGGAGTTTAGCAGAGTCTATGGCCTAGACAGGCCTGAGTGGAAGGGGTTCCAGACAGAACCATCCACTTTTGACTCTGAATAATAATTTATAAAGAATAATTTATAAATATTTCCGATTTAATCTAAAATAATTTTAGGTCACAGCGTTAGGGAGTTAAACAGCGTCTAAAGCCTAGACAGGCCTGAGTGGAAGGGGTTCAAGACAGAACTGTCCACTTTTGACTCTGAATTAATAATTTCTAAATAATGATTCATAAATATTTCCAATTTAATCTAAATAATTTTTAGGTCACAGCATTAGGGAGTTTAGCAGAGTCTATGGCCTAGACAGGCCTGGGTGGAAGGAGTTCCAGACGGAACTGTCGACTTTTGACTCTGAAATAATACTTTATCAATAACAATTTATAACTAACCTTATATTTTATACTTCAATTTCATTACTTCCAACCATAGCTTTGCTACCTTTAACAGAGTCCAGAGTCTAGACAATCTGGTGTCGTATTCCTTAATGAATTTCAATTCTTCCAAATAGCCACGGTTAGCTCCCTACAGACACTAACACTTACCCTAACCCTAACCCTAACCCTAACCCTAACCCTAAATCTAACCCTAACCCCTAACCCTAACCCTAACCTTACTAACCTCTATCTTAGCTTAGTCACCCCCACCCTCTTTTTTCATATCAGAGGATGAAAACCACCAGGTGAGGAGAGTTTCTCTGGCTAGTCACTGTGGCAAGTTCTATTCTCTCTCTATCACTCGAATCCCTGTAGAAGCAGAATGGTTGCAGTCCCAACAACCTGTTTCTCTCTCCCCATCCTCTGAGACTTTGCACTAATGCACCCTACTCCTATAGATAAAATTCACCCTATTCCCTCCCTACTAACACCACCTAGTCCTTCTCAATAAGAAAAATTATTATTATTATTAGTATTATTATTATTATTATTATCATTATTATTATTATTATTATTTTAACACTTAACCATACCAACTCTAATCCATAACTGAACCTCCAAAAATAATTGCTCTACAAACACATAGTCTAAAAGATAGACAGCATAGCATACAAATTGAGCTGAGTCATTAAACTTCCTACCAACACATTACACAGATTGAGCTCAGAGACTCGACTGGGAACATGTGACAGGTCGAACTGGGTATTACCTTAAGGAAGCCTTAACACCCCCCAAAATTTTTTTTTAATTTTTCGTTTTTTTTTTGTCTAACTAACTCCAAAAGGTCTGAAACTTGTTCCTAAAAAGGTTTTGGACAGTGATTTTAACCCTAACACCAAAAACCTTTAACCTTTACCTAGCCCTGTAACCTAATACCCGGGTATTACCTAAAGGATGCCCTACCACACCAAATTTATTTATTTTTATTTTTCATTTTTTTCTTGGTCTAATTAACTCCAGAAGGTTGGGAAAGAGTTCCTACAAAGGTTTTGGACAGTAATTTTTACCCTAACGCCAAAAACCTTAAACCTTACCCACGCCCCATGACCTAATACCCGGGTATTACCATCAGGAAGCCCGAAAACCCCCAATTTTTTTTTCTTTGTTCTTTTTTTTTGGTCTAACTAACTCCAAAAGGTTGGAAAAGAGTTCCTAAAAAGGTTTTGGACAGGGATTTTAACCCTAACGCCATAAACCTTAAACCTTACCATAGCCCCATAACCTAAGACCCGGGTATTACTTTCAGAAAGCCCGAACACCCCAAATATTTTTTTTTCATTTTTCCTTTTTTTTTGGTGTAACCAACTCCAAAAGGTCTGAAACATGTCCCTAAAGAGGTTTTGGACAGTGATTTTGACCCTAACGCCAAAAACCTTAAACCTTCCCCTAGCCCCATAACCTAATAGCCGGGTATTACCTTCAGGAAGCCCAAAAACCCCAAATATTTTTTTTTCATTTCACATTTTTTTGGTCTAGCTAACTCCAAAAGGTTGGAAAAGAGTTCCTACAAAGGTTTTGGACAGTGATTTTAACTCTAACGCCAATAAACTTAAACCTTACCATAGCCCCATGACCTAATACCCGGGTATTACCTTCAGGAAGCCCGAACACCCCAAATATATTTTTTTTCATTTTACATTTTTTTTGGTGTAACCAACTCCAAAAGGTCTGAAACATGTTCCTAAAAAGGTTTTGGACAGTGATTTTAACCCTCACGCCAAAAACCTTAAACCTTACCCACGCCCTATGACCTAATACCCGGGTATTACCATGAGGAAGCCCGAAAACCCCCAATTTTTTTTTCTTTGTTCTTTTTTTTTTTGGTCTAACTAACTCCAAAAGGTTGGAAAAGAGTTCCTACAAAGGTTTTGGACAGTGATTTTAACCCTAACGCCAAAAACCTTAAACCTTACCATAGCCCCATAACCTAAGACCCGGGTATTACTTTCAGGAAGCCCGAACACCCCAAATATTTTTTTTTCATTTTTCCTTTTTTTTTTGGTGTAACCAACTCCAAAAGGTCTGAAACATGTCCCTAAAGAGGTTTTGGACAGTAATTTTAACCCTAACGCCAAAAACCTTAAACCTTACCCTAGCCCCATAAACTAATAACCGGGTATTACCTTCAGGAAGCCCGAACACCCCAAATATTTTTTTTTCATTTAACATTTTTTTTGGTCTAACTAACTCCAAAAGGTTGGAAAAGAGTTCCTACAAAGGTTTTGGACAGTGATTTTAACTCTAACGCCAATAACCTTAAACCTTACCATAGCCCCATGACCTAATACCCGGGTATTACCTTCAGGAAGCCCGAACACCCCAAATATATTTTTTTTCTATTTTACATTTTTTTTGGTGTAACCAACTCCAAAAGGTCTGAAACATGTTCCTAAAAAGGTTTTGGACAGTGATTTTAACTCTAACGCCAAAAACCTTAAACCTTACCATACCCCCATAACCTAATACCCGGGTATTACCTTCAGGAAGCCCGAACACCCCAAATATTACTTTTTCATTTTTCTTTTTTTTTTGGTGTAACCAACTCCAAAAGGTCTGAAACATGTTCCTACAAAGGTTTTGGCAGTGATTTTAACCCTAAGGCCAAAAACCTTAAGCCTTACCCTAGCCCCATAACCTAATATCCGTATTATTAGGTTGAAGACCCCAAATATTTTTTTTTCATTTTTCATTTTTTTTTGGTCTAACTAACTCCAAAAGGTTGGAAAAGAGTTCCTACAAAGGTTTTGGACAGTGATTTTAACCCTAACGCCAAAAACCTTAAACCTTACCCTAGCCCCAAAACCTAATACCGGGGTATTACCTTCAGGAAGCCTGAACACCCCAAATATTTTTTTTCATTTTTCGTTATTTTTTGGTCTAACTAATTCCAAAAGGTCTGAAACATGTTCCTACAAAGGTTTTGGCAGTGATTTTAACCCTAAGGCCAAAAACCTTAAGCCTTACCCTAGCCCCATAACCTAATATCCGTATTATTAGGTTGAAGACCCCAAATATTTTTTTTTCATTTTTCATTTTTTTTTTGGTCTAACTAACTCCAAAAGGTTGGAAAAGAGTTCCTACAAAGGTTTTGGACAGTGATTTTAACCCTAACGCCAAAAACCTTAAACCTTACCCTAGCCCCAAAACCTAATACCGGGGTATTACCTTCAGGAAGCCTGAACACCCCAAATATTTTTTTTCATTTTTCGTTATTTTTTGGTCTAACTAATTCCAAAAGGTCTGAAACATGTTCCTACAAAGGTTTTGGACACTGATTTTAACTCTAACGCCAAAAACCTTAAACCTTACCCTAGCCCCATAACATAATACCCGGGTATTACCTTCAGGAAGCCCGAACACCCCAAATATCTATTTTTTATTTTTCTTGTTTTTTGGTCTAACTAACTCCAAAAGGTTGGAACAGAGTTCCTACAAAGGTTTTGGACAGTGATTTTAACCCTGACGCCAAAAACCTTAAACCTTACCCTAGCCCCAAAACCTAATACCGGGGTATTACCTTCAGGAAGCCCGAAGACCCCAAATATTTTTTTTTCATTTTTCATTATTTTTTGGTCTAAATAATTCCAAAAGGTCTGAAACATGTTCCTACAAAGGTTTTGGACACTGATTTTAACTCTAACGCCAAAAACCTTAAACCTTACCCTAGCCCTGTAACATAATACCCGAGTATTACCTTCAGGAAGCCCGAAAACCCCAAATATTTTTTTTTCTTTTTCTTTTTTTTTTTTTTGTCAAACTAAATCCTAAAGGTTGGAACAGAGTTCCTACAAAGGTTTTGGACAGTGATTTTAACCCCAACGCCAAAAACCTTAAACCTAACCATAGCCCCATAACCTAATACCCGGGTATTACCTTCAGGAAGCCCGAACACCCCAAATATATATTTTTTAATTTTATTTTTTTTGGTCTAACTAACTCCAAAAGGTTCGAAAAGAGTTCCTACAAAGGTTTTGGACAGTGATTTTAACCCTAACGCCAAAAACCTTAAACCTTTCCAAAGCCCCATAACCTTATACCCGGGTATTACCTTCAGGAAGCCTGAACACCCCAAATATGTTTTTTTCATTTTTCATTTTTTTTTGGTCTAAATAACTCAAAAAGGTTGGAACAGAGTTCCTACAAAGGTTTTGGACAGTGATTTTAACCCTAACGCCAAAAACCTTAAACCTTACCCTAGCCCCAAAACCTAATACCCGGGTATTACCTTCAGGAAGCCCGAACACCCCAAATATTTTTTTTCCATTTTTCGTTTTTTTTTGGTCTAACTAATTCCAAAAGGTCTGAAACATGTTCCTACAAAGGTTTTGGACACTGATTTTAACCCTAAAGCCAAAAACCTTAAACCTTACCCTAGCCCCAAAACCTAATACCCGGGTATTACCTTCAGGAAGCCCGAACACCCCAAATATTTTTTTTTCATTTTTCATTTTTTTTGGTCTAACTAATTCCAAAAGGTCTGAAACATGTTCCTACAAAGGTTTTGGACAGTGATTTTAACCCTAAAGCCAAAAACCTTAAACCTTACCCTAGCCCCAAAACCTAATACCCGGGTATTACCTTCAGGAAGCCCGAACACCCCAAATATTTTTTTTTCATTTTTCATTTTTTTTGGTCTAACTAACTCCAAAAGGTTGAAAAAGAGTTCCTACAAAGGTTTTGGACAATGATTTTAACCCTAAGGCCAAAAACCTTAAACCTTACCCTAGCCCCATAACCTAATACATGAATTACCTTCAGGAAGCCCGAACAACCCAAATATCTTTTTTTCATTTTACATTTTTTTTGGTGTAACCAACTCCAGAAGGTCTGAAACAGGTTCCTAAAAAGGTTTTGGACAGTGATTTTAACCCTACGCCAAATACCTTAAACCTTACCCTAGCCCCAAAACCTAATACCCGGGTATTACTTTCAGGAAGCCCGAACACCCCAAATATTTTTTTTTCATTTTTCCTTTTTTTTTGGTGTAACCAACTCCAAAAGGTCTGAAACATGTCCCTAAAGAGGTTTTGGACAGTAATTTTAACCCTAACGCCAAAAACCTTAAACCTTACCCTAGCCCCATAACCTAATAACTGGGTATTACCTTCAGGAAGCCCAAAAACCCCAAATATTTTTTTTTCATTTAACATTTTTTTTGGTCTAACTAACTCCAAAAGGTTGGAAAAGAGTTCCTACAAAGGTTTTGGACAGTGATTTTAACTCTAACGCCAATAACCTTAAACCTTACCATAGCCCCATGACCTAATACCCGGGTATTACCTTCAGGAAGCCCGAACACCCCAAATATATTTTTTTTCTATTTTACATTTTTTTTGGTGTAACCAACTCCAAAAGGTCTGAAACATGTTCCTAAAAATGTTTTGGACAGTGATTTTAACCCTCACACCAAAAACCTTAAACCTTACCATAGCCCCATAACCTAATACCCGGGTATTACTTTCAGGAAGCCCGAACACCCCAAATATTACTTTTTCATTTTTCTTTTTTTTTTGGTGTAACCAACTCCAAAAGGTCTGAAACATGTCTCTAAAGAGGTTTTGGACAGTAATTTTAACTCTAACTCCAAAAACCTTAAACCTTACCCTAGCCCCAAAACCCAATACCCGGGTATTACCTTCAGGAAGCCCGAAGACCCCAAATATTTTTTTTTCATTTTTCATTTTTTTTTTGGTCTAACTAACTCCAAAAGGTTGGAAAAGAGTTCCTACAAAGGTTTTGGACAGTGATTTTAACCCTAACGCCAAAAACCTTAAACCTTACCCTAGCCCCAAAACCTAATACCGGGGTATTACCTTCAGGAAGCCTGAACACCCCAAATATTTTTTTTCATTTTTCGTTATTTTTTGGTCTAACTAATTCCAAAAGGTCTGAAACATGTTCCTACAAAGGTTTTGGACACTGATTTTAACTCTAACGCCAAAAACCTTAAACCTTACCCTAGCCCCATAACATAATACCCGGGTATTACCTTCAGGAAGCCCGAACACCCCAAATATATATTTTTTATTTTTCTTGTTTTTTTGTCAAACTAAATCCAAAAGGTTGGAACAGATTTCCTACAAAGGTTTTGGACAGTGATTTTAACCCTAACGCCAAAAACCTTAAACCTTACCCTAGCCCCAAAACCTAATACCGGGGTATTACCTTCAGGAAGCCCGAAGACCCCAAATATTTTTTTTTCATTTTTCATTATTTTTTGGTCTAAATAATTCCAAAAGGTCTGAAACATGTTCCTACAAAGGTTTTGGACACTGATTTTAACTCTAACGCCAAAAACCTTAAACCTTACCCTAGCCCCATAACATAATACCCGAGTATTACCTTCAGGAAGACCGAACACCCCAAAAATTTTTTTTTTCTTTTTCTTTTTTTTTTTTGTCAAACTAAATCCAAAAGGTTGGAACAGAGTTCCTACAAAGGTTTTGGACAGTAATTTTAACCCTAACGCCAAAAACCTTAAACCTAACCATAGCCCCATAACCTAATACCTTGGTATTACCTTCAGGAAGCCCGAACACCCCAAATATATATTTTTATTTTTTATTTTTTTTGGTCTAACTAACTCCAAAAGGTTCGAAAAGAGTTCCTACAAAGGTTTTGGACAGTGATTTTAACCCTAACGCCAAAAACCTTAAACCTAATCATAGCCCCATAACCAAATACCCGGGTATTACCTTCAGGAACCCCGAACACCTCAAATATTTTTTTCATTTTACATTTTTTTGGTGTAACTGTCTCCAAAAGGTCTGAAACTTGTTCCTACAAAGGTTTTGGACAGTGATTTTAACCCTAACGCCAAATACCTTAAACCTTACCCTAGCCCCAAAACCTAATACCGGGGGTATTACCATCAGGAAGCCCGAAAACCCCCAATTTTTTTTTCTTTGTTCTTTTTTTTGGTCTTACTAACTCCAAAAGGTTGGAAAAGAGTTCCTACAAAGGTTTTGGACAGTGATTTTAACCCTAACGCCAAAAACCTTTAACTTTACCCTAGCCCCAAAACCTGATACCCGGGTATTACCTTCAGGAAGCCCGAAAACCCCCAATTTTTTTTTTTCATTTTTTATTTATTTTTTTGGTCTAGCTAACTCCAAAAGGTTGGAAAGGAGTTCCTACAAAGGTTTTGGACAGTGATTTTAACTCTAACGCCAAAAACCTTAAACCTTACCCTAGCCCCAAAACCTAATACCCGGGTATTACCTTCAGGAAGCCCGAAGACCCCAAATATTTTTTTTTTCATTTTTCGTTTTTTTTTTGTCTTACTAACTCCAAAAGGTTGGAAAAGAGTTCCTACAAAGGTTTTGGACAGTGATTTTAACCCGAACGCCAAAAACCTTAAACCTTACCCTAGCCCCAAAACCGGGTATTACCTTCAGGAAGCCCGAACACCTCAAATATTTTTTTTTCATTTTACATTTTTTTTGGTGTAACCAACTCCAAAAGGTCTGAAACATGTTCCTACAAAGGTTTTGGCAGTGATTTTAACCCTAAGGCCAAAAACCTTAAGCCTTACCCTAGCCCCATAACCTAATATCCGTATATTACCTTCAGGAAGCTCGAAAACCCCAAATATATATTTTTTATTTTTTATTTTTTTTTGGTCTAACTAACTCCAAAAGGTTGGAAAAGAGTTCCTACAAAGGTTTTGGACAGTGATATTGACCCTAACGCCAAAAACCTTAAACCTTACCATAGCCCCATAACCTAATACCCGGGTATCACCTTCAGGAAGCCCGAACACCCCAAATATTTTTTTTTTCATTTTACATTTTTTTGGGTGTAACCAACTCCAAAAGGTCTGAAAAATGTTCCTAAAAAGGTTTTGGATAATGATTTTAACCCTAACGCCAAAAACCTTAAACCTTACCATAGCCCCATAACCTAATAACCGGGTATTACCTTCAGGAAGCCCGAACACCCCACATATATTTTTTTCATTTTACATTTTTTTGGTCTAACTAACTCCAAAAAAAACTCCGATTTAATCCTAAATAATTTTAGGTCACAGTGTTAGGGAGTTTAGCAGAGTCAATGACCTAGACAGGCCTGAGTGGAAGGGGTTCCAGACAGAACCATCCACTTTTGACTCTGAAATAAGAAATAATAAATTTGAAATAATTTTAAAATAAATTAATAAATATTTGCAATTTAATCTTAAATAATTTTTAATCATAGCCTTGAGGGAGCTTAGCAGAGTCTATGGCCTAGACATGCCTGAGTGGAAGGGGTTCCAGACAGAACTGTCCACTTTTGACTCTGAATAATAATTTATAAATAATAATTAATAAATCTCTCCGATATAATATAAAATAATTTTAGGTCACAGCGTTAGGGAGTTTAGCAGAGTCTATGGCCTAGACAGGCCTGGGTGGAAGGGGTTTCGGACAGAACCATCCACTTTTGACTGTGAACAATAATACTTTATAAATAACAATTAATAAATATCTCCGATTTAATCTAAAATAATTTTAGGTCACAGCGTTAGGGAGTTTAGCAGAGTCTATGGCCTAGACAGGCCTGAGTGGAAGTTCCAGACAGAACCATCCACTTTTGACTCTGAATAATAATTTATAAAGAATAATTTATAAATATTTCCGATTTAATCTAAAATAATTTTAGGTCACAGCGTTAGGGAGTTAAACAGCGTCTAAAGCCTAGACAGGCCTGAGTGGAAGGGGTTCAAGACAGAACTGTCCACTTTTGACTCTGAATTAATAATTTCTAAATAATGATTCATAAATATTTCCAATTTAATCTAAATAATTTTTAGGTCACAGCATTAGGGAGTTTAGCAGAGTCTATGGCCTAGACAGGCCTGGGTGGAAGGAGTTCCAGACGGAACTGTCCACTTTTGACTCTGAAATAATACTTTATCAATAACAATTTATAACTAACCTTATATTTTATACTTCAATTTCATTACTTCCAACCATAGCTTTGCTACCTTTAACAGAGTCCAGAGTCTAGACAATCTGGTGTCGTATTCCTTAATGAATTTCAATTCTTCCAAATAGCCACGGTTAGCTCCCTACAGACACTAACACTTACCCTAACCCTAACCCTAACCCTAACCCTAAATCTAACCCTAACCCCTAACCCTAACCCTAACCTTACTAACCTCTATCTTAGCTTAGTCACCCCCACCCTCTTTTTTCATATCAGAGGATGAAAACCACCAGGTGAGGAGAGTTTCTCTGGCTAGTCACTGTGGCAAGTTCTATTCTCTCTCTATCACTCGAATCCCTGTAGAAGCAGAATGGTTGCAGTCCCAACAACCTGTTTCTCTCTCCCCATCCTCTGAGACTTTGCACTAATGCACCCTACTCCTATAGATAAAATTCACCCTATTCCCTCCCTACTAACACCACCTAGTCCTTCTCAATAAGAAATATTATTATTATTATTATTATTATTATTATTATTATTATTATTATTATTATTATTATTATTATTATTATTATTATTTTAACACTTAACCATACCAACTCTAATCCCTAACTGAACCTCCAAAAATAATTGCTCTACAAACACATAGTCTAAAAGATAGACAGCATAGCATACAAATTGAGCTGAGTCATTAAACTTCCTACCAACACATTACACAGATTGAGCTCAGAGACTCGACTGGGAACATGTGACAGGTCGAACTGGGTATTACCTTAAGGAAGCCTTAACACCCCCCAAAATTTTTTTTTAATTTTTCGTTTTTTTTTTGTCTAACTAACTCCAAAAGGTCTGAAACTTGTTCCTAAAAAGGTTTTGGACAGTGATTTTAACCCTAACACCAAAAACCTTTAACCTTTACCTAGCCCTGTAACCTAATACCCGGGTATTACCTAAAGGATGCCCTACCACACCAAATTTATTTATTTTTATTTTTCATTTTTTTCTTGGTCTAATTAACTCCAGAAGGTTGGGAAAGAGTTCCTACAAAGGTTTTGGACAGTAATTTTTACCCTAACGCCAAAAACCTTAAACCTTACCCACGCCCCATGACCTAATACCCGGGTATTACCATCAGGAAGCCCGAAAACCCCCAATTTTTTAGGGCCCGAGCGTAGCTGCTAAGCAGCTGCGAGAGCCCTCTTGTTCCTGTAGTTTCCTTCTTTTGTTATTATTATTATTATTATTTTTCCTCCCCTTTGAACTGGAAAATGGCCCACTTCCCACTGGCGAAAACTCATGAAATTTGGCAGGACGACCGGGCCTGGTGAAAAATTTGATATTCCGAAGTCGCCCAAACAAGAAAATGCAAAATGGCTCCATAGCGCCCCCTAAGGTGAAAATTCACACTATTCACTGTCACGCCGGTACGCTTTGTCAAAATGACACAAAAATTGACAAACACATGTATCTCAATAAGATCTACAAAAAAGTCAGTGCGGGCGTATCTGTCAAATGTACGGTTAAAGGGTTATTTCGCATTTTTTGCCGATCCGCACACATTGGAATTTCGCTAACTCCTCCGAAGGCTTTCGTTCCACCGGCACCACATTTGCTCAGGCCAATCTACACCCCATGGCCATTAAAAGTTATTCAAATCATGACGCTGCACCCCACGGTTTAGGTTCTAGGGGGCGCCAAAGATAACCCTAAGATCCACATATTTAAAAGTCTTATAACTTTTTATTTTTGCCCTCACTGGCCTCCAAGTTTTCTAGGATGATGCAATGTCCAGCCATCAACACATTTGTGAAGGAATTTTTACTCCCCAAAAGAGCGCCCCCCCATGGCAGGAGAAAAAAGTCCATTTTTTCTTGTCCCCTAAGGTGAAAATACACATTGTTGAGTGTAACACCTGTACGCTTTGGCAAAATGACACAAAAATTGACACACACATGTATCTCAATAAGATCTACGAAAAAGTCAATGCGCGCGTATCTGTCAAATGTACGGTTAAAGGGTTATTCCGCATTTTTTGCCGATCCGCACACATTGGAATTTCGCTAACTCCTCCGAAGGCTTTCGTTACACCGGCACCACATTTGCTCAGGCCAATCTACACCCCATGGCCATTAAAAGTTATTCAAATCATGACGCTGCACCCCACGGTTTAGGTTCTAGGGGAGCCAAAGATAACCGTAAAATCCACATATTTAAAAGTCTTATAACTTTTTATTTTTGTCCCCACTGGCCTCCAAGTTTTCTAGGATGATGCAATGTCCAGCCATCAACACATTTGTGAAGGAATTTTTACTCGGCAAAAGAGCGCCCCCCCATGGCAGGAGAAAAAAGTCAATTTTTTCTTGTCCACTACGGTGAAAATACACATTGTTGAGTGCTACGCCTGGATGTTTTGTCGTATTGACACAAAATTTTACATACACGTGTATTTACATAAGATCTTCGAAAAAGTCAATGGCCACGTATCTGTAAAATGTACGGTTAAAGGGTTATTTCGCATTTTTTGCAGATTCGCACACATTTGAATTTCGCTAATTCCTCCGAAGGCTTTCGTTCCACCGGCACCACATTTGCTCAGGCCAATCTACACCCCATGGCCATTAAAAGTTATTCAAATCATGACGCTGCACCCCACGGTTTAGGTTCTAGGGGGCGCCAAATATAACCCTAAAATCCACATATTTAAAAGTCTTATAACTTTTTATTTTTGTCCTCACTGGCCTCCATGTTTTCTAGGATGATGCAATGTCCAGCCATCAACACATTTGTGAAGGAGTTTTTTCTCTTTAAAAGAGCGCCCCCCATGGCAGGAGAATAAAGTCAAGTTTTTCCTGTTCATCATTCAATGGCTCAAACGCACTGCTCTCTCGGCAAAAGCGAAAGGAGGAGCAACTTGCCATTTGGATATATCTTAGCTGTGTTTGTGCCCTCACTCATGGTCCAGACTTTTTTCAAATAGGACATGGAGTTTTTCTGCAGCGAGCGTTTTGGTAGAAACTGCGCCTCCCGTTCATTATAATGGTAAATGACCACAAACAAGTGCGCACACCATCTTTGGACCTTGAGTGTGACGCGATCGGGTGGGGGAGGCGGTCGCGCTTGGGGCGGCGTGACACGGCTCGGGCCCGCCAGTGCCCCAACGGGGCCCTAGTTATTATTATTTTTCCTCCCCTTTGAACTGGAAAATGGCCCACTTCCCACTGGCGAAAACTCATGAAATTTGGCAGGACGACCGGGCCTGGTGAAAAATTTGATATTCCGAAGTCGGCCAAACAATAAAATGCAAAATGGCTCCATAGCGCCCCCTAAGGTGAAAATTCACACTATTGACTGTCACGCGTGTACGCTTTGTCAAAATGACACGAAAATTGACACACACATGTATCTCAATAAGATCTACAAAAAAGTCAGTGCGGGCGTATCTGTCAAATGTACGGTTAAAGGGTTATTTCGCATTTTTTGCCGATCCGCACACATTGGAATTTCGCTAACTCCTCCGAAGGCTTTCGTTCCACCGGCACCACATTTGCTCAGGCCAATCTACACCCCATGGCCATTAAAAGTTATTCAAATCATGACGCTGCACCCCACGGTTTAGGTTCTAGGGGGCGCCAAAGATAACCCTAAGATCCACATATTTAAAAGTCTTATAACTTTTTATTTTTGCCCTCACTGGCCTCCAAGTTTTCTAGGATGATGCAATGTCCAGCCATCAACACATTTGTGAAGGAATTTTTACTCCCCAAAAGAGCGCCCCCCCATGGCAGGAGAAAAAAGTCCATTTTTTCTTGTCCCCTAAGGTGAAAATACACATTGTTGAGTGTAACACCTGTACGCTTTGGCAAAATGACACAAAAATTGACACACACATGTATCTCAATAAGATCTACGAAAAAGTCAATGCGCGCGTATCTGTCAAATGTACAGTTAAAGGGTTATTCCGCATTTTTTGCCGATCCGCACACATTGGAATTTCGCTAACTCCTCCGAAGGCTTTCGTTACACCGGCACCACATTTGCTCAGGCCAATCTACACCCCATGGCCATTAAAAGTTATTCAAATCATGACGCTGCACCCCACGGTTTAGGTTCTAGGGGGCGCCAAAGATAACCCTAAAATCCACATATTTAAAAGTCTTATAACTTTTTATTTTTGTCCTCACTGGCCTCCAAGTTTTCTAGGATGATGCAATGTCCAGCCATCAACACATTTGTGAAGGAATTTTTACTCCCCAAAAGAGCGCCCCCCCATGGCAGGAGAAAAAAGTCAATTTTTTCTTGTCCCCTAAGGTGGAAATTCACACTATTGACTGTCACGCCTGTACGCTTTATCATATTGACACAAAAATTGACACACACATGTATCTCAATAAGATCTACGAAAAAGTCAATGCACGCGTATCTGTCAAATGTACGGTTAAAGGGTTATTCCGCATTTTTTGTTGATCCGCACACATTGGAATTTCGCTAACTCCTCCGAAGGCTTTCGTTCCACTGGCATCACATTTGCTCAGGCCAATCTACACCCCATGGCCATTAAAAGTTATTCAAATCATGACGCTGCACCCCACGGTTTAGGTTCTAGGGGGCGCCAAAGATAACCCTAAAATCCACATATTTCAAAGTCTTATAACTTTTTATTTTTGTCCTCACTGGCCTCCAAGTTTTCTAGGATGATGCAATGTCCAGCCATCAACACATTTGTGAAGGATTTTTTACTCCCCAAAAGAGCGCCCCCCCATGGCAGGAGAAAAAAGTCCATTTTTTCTTGTCCCCTAAGGTGAAAATTCACATTGTTGAGTGTGACACCTGTACGCTTTGTCATATTGACACAAAATTTGACAATCACGTGTATCTCAATAAGATCTACGAAAAAGTCAATGGGCGCGTATCTGTCAAATGTACGGTTAAAGGGCTATTTTGCATTTTTTGCCGATTCGCACACATTGGAATGTGGCTAACTCCTCCTAAGGCTTTCGTCCCACCGACACCAAATTTGCTCAAGCAGATCTACATCCCATGGCCATTCAAAGTTGTAAAAATCATGACGCTGCACCCCACGGTTTACGTTCTAGGGGGCGCCAAAGATGACCCAAATATCCACATTCTTAAAAGAATCCACACACCCCCCCCCCCAAGGCAGAAGAAAAAGTCAAGTTTTTCCTGCCCATCGCTCAATGGCTCAATCCAGCGCTCTCCAGGCAACACCGTAAGGAGGAGCAACCTGCCATTTGGATATATCCTAGCTGTGTTTGTGCCCTCACTCATGGTCCAGACTTTTTTCAAATAGGACATGAAGTTTGTCTGCAGCGAGTGTTTTGGTAGAAACTGTGCCTCCCATTCATTATAATGGTAAATGACCACAGACAAGTGCGCACACCATCTTTGGACCTTGAGTGTGACGCGATCGGGAGGGGGAGGCGGTCGCGCTGGGGGCGGCGCGACGCCGCTCGGGCCCGACAGTGCCCCACCGGGGCCCTAGTTTTTCTTTGTTCTTTTTTTTTGGTCTAACTAACTCCAAAAGGTTGGAAAAGAGTTCCTACAAAGGTTTTGGACAGGGATTTTAACCCTAACGCCATAAACCTTAAACCTTACCATAGCCCCATAACCTAAGACCCGGGTATTACTTTCAGAAAGCCCGAACACCCCAAATATTTTTTTTTCATTTTTCCTTTTTTTTTGGTGTAACCAACTCCAAAAGGTCTGAAACATGTCCCTAAAGAGGTTTTGGACAGTGATTTTGACCCTAACGCCAAAAACCTTAAACCTTCCCCTAGCCCCATAACCTAATAGCCGGGTATTACCTTCAGGAAGCCCAAAAACCCCAAATATTTTTTTTTCATTTCACATTTTTTTGGTCTAGCTAACTCCAAAAGGTTGGAAAAGAGTTCCTACAAAGGTTTTGGACAGTGATTTTAACTCTAACGCCAATAAACTTAAACCTTACCATAGCCCCTTGACCTAATACCCGGGTATTACCTTCAGGAAGCCCGAACACCCCAAATATATTTTTTTTCATTTTACATTTTTTTTGGTGTAACCAACTCCAAAAGGTCTGAAACATGTTCCTAAAAAGGTTTTGGACAGTGATTTTAACCCTCACGCCAAAAACCTTAAACCTTACCCACGCCCTATGACCTAATACCCGGGTATTACCTTCAGGAAGCCCGAACACCCCAAATATCTTTTTTTCATTTTACATTTTTTTTGGTGTAACCAACTCCAGAAGGTCTGAAACATGTTCCTAAAAAGGTTTTGGACAGTGATTTTAACCCTAACGCCAAAAACCTTAAACCTTACCCTAGCCCCAAAACCTAATACCCGGGTATTACCATGAGGAAGCCCGAAAACCCCCAATTTTTTTTTCTTTGTTCTTTTTTTTTTTGGTCTAACTAACTCCAAAAGGTTGGAAAAGAGTTCCTACAAAGGTTTTGGACAGTGATTTTAACCCTAACGCCAAAAACCTTAAACCTTACCATAGCCCCATAACCTAAGACCCGGGTATTACTTTCAGGAAGCCCGAACACCCCAAATATTTTTTTTTCATTTTTCCTTTTTTTTTGGTGTAACCAACTCCAAAAGGTCTGAAACATGTCCCTAAAGAGGTTTTGGACAGTAATTTTAACCCTAACGCCAAAAACCTTAAACCTTACCCTAGCCCCATAAACTAATAACCGGGTATTACCTTCAGGAAGCCCGAACACCCCAAATATTTTTTTTTCATTTTTAATTTTTTTTTTGGTCTAACTAACTCCAAAAGGTTGGAAAAGAGTTCCTACAAAGGTTTTGGACAGTGATTTTAACCCTAACGCCAAAAACCTTAAACCTTACCATAGCCCCATGACCTAATACCCGGGTATTACCTTCAGGAAGCCCGAACACCCCAAATATATTTTTTTTCATTTTACATTTTTTTTGGTGTAACCAACTCCAAAAGGTCTGAAACATGTTCCTAAAAAGGTTTTGGACAGTGATTTTAACTCTAACGCCAAAAACCTTAAACCTTACCATACCCCCATAACCTAATACCCGGTTATTACCTTCAGGAAGCCCGAACACCCCAAATATTACTTTTTCATTTTTTTTTTTTTTTTTGGTGTAACCAACTCCAAAAGGTCTGAAACATGTTCCTACAAAGGTTTTGGCAGTGATTTTAACCCTAAGGCCAAAAACCTTAAGCCTTACCCTAGCCCCATAACCTAATATCCGTATTATTAGGTTGAAGACCCCAAATATTTTTTTTTCATTTTTCATTTTTTTTTTGGTCTAACTAACTCCAAAAGGTTGGAAAAGAGTTCCTACAAAGGTTTTGGACAGTGATTTTAACCCTAACGCCAAAAACCTTAAACCTTACCCTAGCCCCAAAACCTAATACCGGGGTATTACCTTCAGGAAGCCTGAACACCCCAAATATTTTTTTTCATTTTTCGTTATTTTTTGGTCTAACTAATTCCAAAAGGTCTGAAACATGTTCCTACAAAGGTTTTGGCAGTGATTTTAACCCTAAGGCCAAAAACCTTAAGCCTTACCCTAGCCCCATAACCTAATATCCGTATTATTAGGTTGAAGACCCCAAATATTTTTTTTTCATTTTTCATTTTTTTTTTGGTCTAACTAACTCCAAAAGGTTGGAAAAGAGTTCCTACAAAGGTTTTGGACAGTGATTTTAACCCTAACGCCAAAAACCTTAAACCTTACCCTAGCCCCAAAACCTAATACCGGGGTATTACCTTCAGGAAGCCTGAACACCCCAAATATTTTTTTTCATTTTTCGTTATTTTTTGGTCTAACTAATTCCAAAAGGTCTGAAACATGTTCCTACAAAGGTTTTGGACACTGATTTTAACTCTAACGCCAAAAACCTTAAACCTTACCCTAGCCCCATAACATAATACCCGGGTATTACCTTCAGGAAGCCCGAACACCCCAAATATCTATTTTTTATTTTTCTTGTTTTTTGGTCTAACTAACTCCAAAAGGTTGGAACAGAGTTCCTACAAAGGTTTTGGACAGTGATTTTAACCCTGACGCCAAAAACCTTAAACCTTACCCTAGCCCCAAAACCTAATACCGGGGTATTACCTTCAGGAAGCCCGAAGACCCCAAATATTTTTTTTTCATTTTTCATTATTTTTTGGTCTAAATAATTCCAAAAGGTCTGAAACATGTTCCTACAAAGGTTTTGGACACTGATTTTAACTCTAACGCCAAAAACCTTAAACCTTACCCTAGCCCCATAACATAATACCCGAGTATTACCTTCAGGAAACCCGAAAACCCCAAATATTTTTTTTTCTTTTTCTTTTTTTTTTTTTGTCAAACTAAATCCTAAAGGTTGGAACAGAGTTCCTACAAAGGTTTTGGACAGTGATTTTAACCCCAACGCCAAAAACCTTAAACCTAACCATAGCCCCATAACCTAATACCCGGGTATTACCTTCAGGAAGCCCGAACACCCCAAATATATATTTTTTAATTTTATTTTTTTTGGTCTAACTAACTCCAAAAGGTTGGAAAAGAGTTCCTACAAAGGTTTTGGACAGTGATTTTAACCCTAACGCCAAAAACCTTAAACCTTTCCAAAGCCCCATAACCTAATACCCGGGTATTACCTTCAGGAAGCCTGAACACCCCAAATATGTTTTTTTCATTTTTCATTTTTTTTTGGTCTAACTAACTCCAAAAGGTTGGAAAAGAGTTCCTACAAAGGTTTTGGACAGTGATTTTAACCCTAACGCCAAAAACCTTAAACCTTACCATAGCCCCATAACCTAATACCCGGGTATTACCTTCAGGAAGCCCGAAAACCCCAAATATTGTTTTTTCATTTTTCATTTTTTTTTGGTCTAACTAACTCCAAAAGGTTGGAAAAGAGTTCCTACAAAGGTTTTGGACAGTGATTTTAACCCTAACACCAAAAACCTTAAACCTTACCATAGCCCCATAACCTAATACCCGGGTATTACCTTCAGGAAGCGCGAAATCCCCAACTATTTTTTTTTCTTTTATCTTTTTTTTGGTCTAACTAACTCCAAAAGGTTGGACAAGAGTTCCTACAAAGGTTTTGGACAGTGATTTTAACCCTCACGCCAAAAACCTTAAACCTTACCCTAGCCCCAGGAAGCCTGAACACCCCAAATATTTTTTTTTCATTTTACATTTTTTTCTGGTGTAACCAACTCCAAAAGGTCTGAAACAAGTTCCTAAAAAGGTTTTGGACAGTGATTTTAACCCTAACGCCAAAAAACCTTAAACCTTACCCTAGCCCCATAACCTAAACCAGGTATTACCTTCAGGAAGCCCGAACACCCCAAATATTTTTTTTTCATTTTTCGTTATTTTTTAGTCAAACTAACTCCAAAAGGTCTGAAACATGTTCCTAAAAAGGTTTTGGACATTGATTTTAACCCTAACGCCAAAAACCTTAAACCTTACCCTAGCCCCAAAACCTAACACCGGGGTATTACCTTCAGGAAGCCCGAACACCCAAAATATATATTTTTTTTTTTCTTTTTTTTTTTTGTCAAACTAAATCCAAAAGGTTGGAAGAAAGTTCCTATAAAGGTTTTGGACAGTGATTTTAACCCTAACGCCAAAAACCTTAAACCTTACCATAGCCCCATAACCAAAAACCCGGGTATTACCTTCAGGAAGCCCGAAAACCCCAAATATTTTTTTTCCATTTTTCGTTTTTTTTGGTCTAACTAATTCCAAAAGGTCTGAAACATGTTCCTACAAAGGTTTTGGACACTGATTTTAACCCTAAAGCCAAAAACCTTAAACCTTACCCTAGCCCCAAAACCTAATACCCGGGTATTACCTTCAGGAAGCCCGAACACCCCAAATATTTTTTTTTCATTTTTCACTTTTTTTTGGTCTAACTAACTCCAAAAGGTTGAAAAAGAGTTCCTACAAAGGTTTTGGACAGTGATTTTAACCCTAAGGCCAAAAACCTTAAACCTTACCATAGCCCCATAACCTAATACCCGGGTATTACCTTCAGAAAGCCCGAAACCACAAATATTGTTTTTTCATTTTTCCTTTTTTTCTTGTCTAACTAACTCCAAAAGGTTGGAAAAGAGTTCCTACAAAGGTTTTGGACAGTGATTTTAACCCTAACACCAAAAACCTTAAACCTTACCATAGCCCCATAACCTAATACCCGGGTATTACCTTCAGGAAGCGCGAAATCCCCAACTATTTTTTTTTCTTTTATCTTTTTTTTGGTCTAACTAACTCCAAAAGGTTGGACAAGAGTTCCTACAAAGGTTTTGGACAGTGATTTTAACCCTCACGCCAAAAACCTTAAACCTTACCCTAGCCCCAGGAAGCCTGAACACCCCAAATATTTTTTTTTCATTTTACATTTTTTTCTGGTGTAACCAACTCCAAAAGGTCTGAAACAAGTTCCTAAAAAGGTTTTGGACAGTGATTTTAACCCTAACGCCAAAAAACCTTAAACCTTACCCTAGCCCCATAACCTAAACCAGGTATTACCTTCAGGAAGCCCGAACACCCCAAATATTTTTTTTTCCTTTTTCGTTATTTTTTAGTCAAACTAACTCCAAAAGGTCTGAAACATGTTCCTAAAAAGGTTTTGGACATTGATTTTAACCCTAACGCCAAAAACCTTAAACCTTACCCTAGCCCCAAAACCTAACACCGGGGTATTACCTTCAGGAAGCCCGAACACCCAAAATATATATTTTTTATTTTTCTTTTTTTTTTTTTGTCAAACTAAATCCAAAAGGTTGGAAGAAAGTTCCCATAAAGGTTTTGGACAGTGATTTTAACCCTAACGCCAAAAACCTTAAACCTTACCATAGCCCCATAACCAAAAACCCGGGTATTACCTTCAGGAAGCCCGAAAACCCCAAATATTTTTTTTTCATTTTTCGTTTTTTTTTGGTCTAAATAACTCCAAAAGGTTGGAACAGAGTTCCTACAAAGGTTTTGGACAGTGATTTTAACCCCAACGCCAAAAACCTTAAACCTAACCATAGCCCCATAACCTAATACCCGGGTATTACCTTCAGGAAGCCCGAACACCCCAAATATATATTTTTTAATTTTATTTTTTTTGGTCTAACTAACTCCAAAAGGTTGGAAAAGAGTTCCTACAAAGGTTTTGGACAGTGATTTTAACCCTAACGCCAAAAACCTTAAACCTTACCAAAGCCCCATAACCTAATACCCGGGTATTACCTTCAGGAAGCCTGAACACCCCAAATATTTTTTTTTCATTTTTCATTTTTTTTTGGTCTAAATAACTCCAAAAGGTTGGAACAGAGTTCCTACAAAGGTTTTGGACAGTGATTTTAACCCTAACGCCAAAAACCTTAAACCTTACCCTAGCCCCAAAACCTAATACCCGGGTATTACCTTCAGGAAGCCCGAACACCCCAAATATTTTTTTTCCATTTTTCGTTTTTTTTTGGTCTAACTAATTCCAAAAGGTCTGAAACATGTTCCTACAAAGGTTTTGGACAGTGATTTTAACCCTAACGCCAAAAACCTTAAACCTTACCCTAGCCCCAAAACCTAATACCCGGGTATTACCTTCAGGAAGCCCGAACACCCCAAATATTTTTTTTTCATTTTTCATTTTTTTTGGTCTAACTAACTCCAAAAGGTCTGAAACATGTTCCTACAAAGGTTTTGGACACTGATTTTAACCCTAAAGCCAAAAACCTTAAACCTTACCCTAGCCCCATAACCTAATACCCGGGTATTACCTTCAGGAAGCCCGAACACCCCAAATATTTTTTTTTCATTTTTCATTTTTTTTGGTCTAACTAACTCCAAAAGGTTGAAAAAGAGTTCCTACAAAGGTTTTGGACAATGATTTTAACCCTAAGGCCAAAAACCTTAAACCTTACCCTAGCCCCATAACCTAATACATGAATTACCTTCAGGAAGCCCGAACAACCCAAATATCTTTTTTTCATTTTACATTTTTTTTGGTGTAACCAACTCCAGAAGGTCTGAAACAGGTTCCTAAAAAGGTTTTGGACAGTGATTTTAACCCTACGCCAAATACCTTAAACCTTACCCTAGCCCGAAAACCTAATACCCGGGTATTACCTTCAGGAAGCCCCGAACACCCCAAATATATATTTTTTCATTTTACATTTTTTTTGGTGTAACCAACTCCAAAAGGTCTGAAACATGTTCCTAAAAAGGTTTTGGACAGTGATTTTAACCCTCACGCCAAAAACCTTGAACCTTACCATAGCCCCATAACCTAATACCCGGGTATTACTTTCAGGAAGCCCGAACACCCCAAATATTCCTTTTTCATTTTTCTTTTTTTTTTGGTGTAACCAACTCCAAAAGGTCTGAAACATGTTCCTAAAAAGGTTTTGGACAGTGATTTTAACCCTAACGCCAAAAACCTTAAACCTTACCCTAGCCCCAAAACCCAATACCCGGGTATTACCTTCAGGAAGCCCGAAGACCCCAAATATTTTTTTTTCATTTTTTTTTTTTTTTTTTGGTCTAACTAACTCCAAAAGGTTGGAAAAGAGTTCCTACAAAGGTTTTGGACAGTGATTTTAACCCTAACGCCAAAAACCTTAAACCTTACCCTAGCCCCATAACCTAATACCCGGGTATTACCTTCAGGAAGCCCGAAAACCCCAAATATATTTTTTTCATTTTTCATTTTTTTTTGGTCTAACTAACTCCAAAAGGTTGGAAAAGAGTTCCTACAAAGGTTTTGGACAGTGATTTTAACCCTAACGCCAAAAACCTTAAACCTTACCATAGCCCCATAACCTAATACCGGGGTATTACTTTTAGGAAGCCTGAACACCCCAAATATTTTTTTTTCATTTTTCATTTTTTTTTGGTCTAAGTAACTCCAAAAGGTTGGAAAAGAGTTCCTACAAAGGTTTTGGACAGTGATTTTAACCCTAACGCCATAAAACTTAAACCTTACCCTAGCCTTAAAATCTAATACCCGGGTATTACATTCAGGAAGCCCGAAAACCCCAAACATTTCTTTTTCATTTTTCATTTTTTTTTGGTCTAACTAACTCCAAAAGGTTGGGAAAGAGTTCCTACAAAGGTTTTGGACAGTGATTTTAAACCTAATGCCAAAAACCTTAAACCTTACCATAGCCCCATAACCTAATACCCGGGTATTACCTTCAGGAAGCCCGAACACCCCAAATATTTTTTTTTCATTTTACATTTTTTTTGGTGTAACCAACTCCAAAAGGTTGGAAAAGAGTTCCTACAAAGGTTTTGGACAGTGATTTTAACCCTAACGCCAAAAACATTAAACCTTACCATAGCCCCATAACCTAATACCCGGGTATTACCTTCAGGAAGCCCGAACACCCCTAATATATTTTTTTTCATTTTACATTTTTGTTGGTGTAACCAACTCCAAAAGGTTGGTATTACACCCCACCCTTAGGCGGCCCTATGGGGCTAACAACAATCCTCAACTTTTTACCCATCAAATTAACCAAAACACCTTCAAAAGTTTAACACGTGATTTATTGTGAAAAAACAACAAAATTGCAAACTAAACACAAAGCACCCACAACACAAATGAGAGGCAGCAGGGCAGCAGTTCCCCACCAAATGCCTCTCCAGACTGCAGGCAGCTCTGGGCTTTTAGACTCCCAGCACCAGGTGAGTCTGATTGTCACTCAAGTGATTTCACCTGGGCAGCTATGGAGAGACAAAAGAGGAAAACACATGCAAAACAAACACACAGCCGTAACAGTTGGAAAAGAGTTCCTACAAATGTTTTGGACAGTGATTTTAACCCTAACGCCATAAAACTTAAACCTTACCCTAGCCTTAAAATCTAATACCCGGGTATTACATTCAGGAAGCCCGAAAACCCCAAATATTTTTTTTTCATTTTGATATTTTTTTGGTCTAACTAACTCCAAAAGGTTGGAAAAGAGTTCCTACAAAGGTTTTGGACAGTGATTTTAACCCTAACGCCAAAAACCTTAAACCTTACCATAGCCCCATAACCTAATACCGGGGTATTACATTTAGGAAGCCTGAACACCCCAAATATTTTTTTTTCATTTTTCATTTTTTTTTTGGTCTAACTAGCTCCAAAAAATTGGAAATGAGTTCCTACAAAGGTTTTGGACAGTGATTTTAACCCTAACGCCAAAAAACTTAAACCTTTCCCTGGCCTTAAGATCTAATACCCGGGTATTACCTTCAGGAAGCCCGAAAACACCAAATATTTTTTTTTTCATTTTTCATTTTTTTTTGGTCTAACTAACTCCAAAAGGTTGGAAAATAGTTCCTACAAAGGTTTTGGACAGTGATTTTAACCCTAATGCCAAAAACCTTAAACCTTACCATAGCCCCATAACCTAATACCCGGGTATTACTTTAGGAAGCCTGAACACCCCAAATATTTTTTTTTCATTTTTCATTTTTTTTTGGTCTAACTAACTCCAAAAGGTTGGAAAAGAGTTCCTACAAAGGTTTTGGACAGTGATTTTAACCCTAACGCCAAAAACCTTAAACCTTACCCTAGCCCCATAACCTAATACCCGGGTATTACCTTCAGGAAGCCCGAACACCCCAAATATTTTTTTTTCATTTTTCATTTTTTTTTGGTCTAACTAACTCCAAAAGGTTGGAAAAGAGTTCCTACAAAGGTTTTGGACAGTGATTTTAACCCTAACGCCAAAAACCTTAAACCTTACCATAGCCCCATAACCTAATACCCGGGTATTACCTTCAGGAAGCCTGAACACCCCAAATATTTTTTTTTTCATTTTTCATTTTTTTTTGGTCTAAGTAACTCCAAAAGGTTCGAAAAGAGTTCCTACAAAGGTTTTGGACAGTGATTTTAACCCTAACGCCAAAAACCTTAAACCTTACCCTAGCCCCATAACCTAATACCCGGGTATTACCTTCAGGAAGCCCGAACACCCCAAATATTTTTTTTTCATTTTTCATTTTTTTTTTGGTCTAACTAACTCCAAAAGGTTGGAAAGAGTTCCTACAAAGGTTTTGGACAGTGATTTTAACCCTAACGCCAAAAACCTTAAACCTTACCATAGCCCCATAACCTAATACCCGGGTATTACCTTCAGTAAGCCGGAACACCCCAAATATTTTTTTTTTCATTTTACATTTTTGTTGGTGTAACCAACTCCAAAAGGTTGGAAAAGAGTTCCTACAAAGGTTTTGGACAGTGATTTTAACTCTAACGCCAAAAACCTTAAACCTTACCATAGCCCCATAAACTAATACCCGGGTATTACCTTCAGGAAGCCCGAACACCCCAAATATCTTTTTTTCATTTTACATTTTTGTTGGTGTAACCAACTCCAAAAGGTTGGTGTTACACCCCACCCTTAGGCGGCCCTATGGGGCTAACAACAATCCTCAACTTTTTACCCATCAAATTAACCAAAACACCTTCAAAAGTTTAACACGTGATTTATTGTGAAAAAACAACAAAATTGCAAACTAAACACAAAGCACCCACAACACAAATGAGAGGCAGCAGGGCAGCAGTTCCCCACCAAATGCCTCTCCAGACTGCAGGCAGCTCTGGGCTTTTAGACTCCCAGCACCAGGTGAGTCTGATTGTCACTCAAGTGATTTCACCTGGGCAGCTATGGAGAGACAAAAGAGGAAAACACATGCAAAACAAACACACAGCCGTAACAGTTGGAAAAGAGTTCCTACAAATGTTTTGGACAGTGATTTTAACCCTAACGCCATAAAACTTAAACCTTACCCTAGCCTTAAAATCTAATACCCGGGTATTACATTCAGGAAGCCCGAAAACCCCAAACATTTTTTTTTCATTTTTCATTTTTTTTTGGTCTAACTAACTCCAAAAGGTTGGAAAAGAGTTCCTACAAAGGTTTTGGACAGTGATTTTAACACTAACGCCAAAAACCTTAAACCTTACCATAGCCCCATAACCTAATACCGGGGTATTACTTTTAGGAAGCCTGAACACCCCAAATATGTTTTTTTTTCATTTTTCATTTTTTTTTGGTCTAACTAACTCCAAAAGGTTGGAAAAGAGTTCCTACAAAGGTTTTGGACAGTGATTTTAACCCTAACGCAATAAAACTTAAACCTTACCCTAGCCTTAAAACCTAATACCCGGGTATTACATTCAGGAAGCCCGAAAACCCCAAATATTTTTTTTCAATTTTTCATTTTTTTTGGTCTAACTAACTCCAAAAGGTTGGAAAAGAGTTCCTACAAAGGTTTTGGACAGTGATTTTAACCCTAACGCCAAAAACCTTAAACCTTACCATAGCCCCATAACCTAATACCCGGGTATTACATTCAGGAAGCCCGAAAACCCCAAATATTTTTTTTTCATTTTTCATTTTTTTTTGGTCTAACTAACTCCAAAAGGTTGGAAAAGAGTTCCTACAAAGGTTTTGGACAGTGATTTTAACCCTAACGCCAAAAACCTTAAACCTTACCATAGCCCCATAACCTAATACCCGGGTATTACTTTTAGGAAGCCTGAACACCCCTAATATTTTTTTTTCTTTTTTCATATTTTTTTTTGGTCTAACTAACTCCAAAAGGTTGGAAAAGAGTTCCTACAAAGGTTTTGGACAGTGATTTTAACCCTAACGCCAAAAACCTTAAACCTTACCATAGCCCCATAACCTAATACCCGGGTATTACTTTTAGGAAGCCTGAACACCCCAAATATTTTTTTTTTATTTTTCTTTTTTTTGGTCTAACTAACTCCAAAAGGTTGGAAAAGAGTTCCTACAAAGGTTTTGGACAGTGATTTTAACCCTAACGCAATAAAACTTAAACCTTACCCTAGCCTTAGAATCTAATACCCGGGTATTACATTCAGGAAGCCCGAAAACCCCAAACATTTTTTTTTCATTTTTCATTTTTTTTTGGTCTAACTAACTCCAAAAGGTTGGGAAAGAGTTCCTACAAAGGTTTTGGACAGTGATTTTAAACCTAATGCCAAAAACCTTAAACCTTACCATAGCCCCATAACCTAATACTCGGGTATTACTTTTAGGAAGCCTGAACACCCCAAATATTTTTTTTTTCATTTTTCATTTTTTTTTTGGTCTAACTAACTCCAAAAGGTTGGAAAAGAGTTCCTACAAAGATTTTGGACAGTGATTTTAAACCTAATGCCATTAAGCTTAAACCTTACCATAGCCCCATAACCTAATACCCGGGTATTACCTTCAGGAAGCCTGAACACCCCAAATATTTTTTTTTTCATTTTACATTTTTGTTGGTGTAACCAACTCCAAAAGGTTGGAAAAGACTTCCTACAAAGGTTTTGGACAGTGATTTTAACCCTAATGCCAAAAACATTAAACCTTACCATAGCCCCATAACCTAATACCCGGGTATTACCTTCAGGAAGCCCGAACACCCCTAATATTTTTTTTTCATTTTACATTTTTGTTGGTGTAACCAACTCCAAAAGGTTGGTGTTACACCCCACCCTTAGGCGGCCCTATGGGGCTAACAACAATCCTCAACTTTTTACCCATCAAATTAACCAAAACACCTTCAAAAGTTTAACACGTGATTTATTGTGAAAAAACAACAAAATTGCAAACTAAACACAAAGCACCCACAACACAAATGAGAGGCAGCAGGGCAGCAGTTCCCCACCAAATGCCTCTCCAGACTGCAGGCAGCTCTGGGCTTTTAGACTCCCAGCACCAGGTGAGTCTGATTGTCACTCAAGTGATTTCACCTGGGCAGCTATGGAGAGACAAAAGAGGAAAACACATGCAAAACAAACACACAGCCGTAACAGTTGGAAAAGAGTTCCTACAAATGTTTTGGACAGTGATTTTAACCCTAACGCCATAAAACTTAAACCTTACCCTAGCCTTAAAATCTAATACCCGGGTATTACATTCAGGAAGCCCGAAAACCCCAAACATTTTTTTTTCATTTTTCATTTTTTTTTGGTCTAACTAACTCCAAAAGGTTGGAAAAGAGTTCCTACAAAGGTTTTGGACAGTGATTTTAACACTAACGCCAAAAACCTTAAACCTTACCATAGCCCCATAACCTAATACCGGGGTATTACTTTTAGGAAGCCTGAACACCCCAAATATGTTTTTTTTTCATTTTTCATTTTTTTTTGGTCTAACTAACTCCAAAAGGTTGGAAAAGAGTTCCTACAAAGGTTTTGGACAGTGATTTTAACCCTAACGCAATAAAACTTAAACCTTACCCTAGCCTTAAAATCTAATACCCGGGTATTACATTCAGGAAGCCCGAAAACCCCAAACATTTTTTTTTCATTTTTCATTTTTTTTTGGTCTAACTAACTCCAAAAGGTTGGGAAAGAGTTCCTACAAAGGTTTTGGACAGTGATTTTAAACCTAATGCCAAAAACCTTAAACCTTACCATAGCCCCATAACCTAATACCCGGGTATTACATTCAGGAAGCCCGAAAACCCCAAATATTTCTTTTTTCATTTTTCATTTTTTTTTGGTCTAACTAACTCCAAAAGGTTGGAAAAGAGTTCCTACAAAGGTTTTGGACAGTGATTTTAACCCTAATGCCAAAAACCTTAAACCTTACCCTAGCCACAAAACCTAATACCCGGGTATTACATTCAGGAAGCCCGAAAACCCCAAATATTTCTTTTTTCATTTTTCATTTTTTTTTTGGTCTAACTAACTCCAAAAGGTTGGAAAAGAGTTCCTACAAAGGTTTTGGACAGTGATTTTAACCCTAACGCCATAAACCTTAAACCTTACCCAAGCCCCATAACCTAATATAATACCTGTATAACCTTCAGGAGTCCTGAACACCCAAAATACTTTTTTTTTTTTCTTTTTTTTTTTGGTCTAACTAACTCCAAAAGGTCTGAAACATGTTCCTAAAAAGGTTTTGGACAGTGATTTTAACCCTAACGCCAAAAACCTTAAACCTTACCATAGCCCCATAACCTAATACCTGGGTATTACCTTCAGGAAGCCCGAAAACCACCCAAATTTTTTTTTTCATTTTACATTTTTTTTGGTGTAACCAACTCCAAAAGGTCTGAAACATGTTCCTAAAAAGGTTTTGGACAGTGATTTTAACCCTAACGCCAAAAACCTTCAACCTTACCCTATTCCCGAACCTAACACCCGGGTATTAACTTAAGGAAGCCTTCACACCCCAAACATTTTTTTTTTCATTTTTCATTTTTTTTTTTTTGGTCTAGCTAACTCCAAAAGGTTGGAAAAGAGTTCCTACAAAGGTTTTGGACAGTGATTTTAACCCTAACGCCAAAAACCTTAAACCTTACCCAAGCCCCATAACCTAATATTATACCTGTATAACCTTCAGGAGGCCTTAACACCCAAAATACTTTTTTTTTTTTTTCTTTTTTTTTTTGGTCTATCTAACTCCAAAAGTTCTGAAACATGTTCCTAAAAAGGTTTTGGACAGTGATTTTAACCCTAACGCCAAAAACCTTAAACCTTACCATAGCCCCATAACCTAATACCTGGGTATTACCTTCAGGAAGCCCGAACACCCCAATTATTTTTTCTTCTTTTTACATTTTTTTTGGTCTAACTAACTCCAAAAGGTCTGAAACATGTTCCTATAAAGGTTTTGGACAGTGATTTTAACCCTAACGCCAAAAACCTTCAACCTTACCCTATTCCCGAACCTTATACCCGGGTATTAACTTAAGGAAGCCTTCACACCCCAAACATTTTTTTTTTCATTTTTCTTTTTTTTTTTTTTGGTCTAGCTTACTCCAAAAGGTTGGAAAAGAGTTCCTACAAAGGTTTTGGACAGTGATTTTAACCCTAACGCCAAAAACCTTTAACCTTACCCTAGCCCTGTAATATAATATATACATAATTTACAAACACATAGTCTAAAAGATAGACAGCATGGCATACCAATTGAGTGGAGTCATTAAACTTCCTACCAACACATAATTTTTACACACAGATTGAGCTTGGAGACTTGACTGGGAACATGTGATATGTCAACATCCCCCTCACCAATCTTTATTTTCCACCATCTCCACCTCTCCCTTAAACCCCCCTCTCCCTCTTCCCTTCTCTCTCTCTCTCTCTCTCTCTCTCACACACACACACACACACACACACACACACACACACACACACACTCTCTCTCTCTCTCTCTCTCTCTCTCTCATCTCTCTCCCTCATCTCTCCCCTCTCTCTAACACCCCCCCTTTCTTATTCCCTCCCCTGCCCCTTTATTTTCACCTTCACAGAGGACAAATAGGTGATCTTCAGCCTCGGCCTACCCCGGCCGGGGGGTAACCCCTGTTGGGTCACCTATATGGAGGATTAAGAGAGACCTGAAGGGGAACCGCCGTGCCCCCTAAATCCTCCCCCTCTATCATCTTTTTTAACACTCTAAAATTAGCCAGCTAACCCCACTACAAACAACTTCATCAAAAATTTAAATAATAAATACTTATCAATAACTGACCATCAGTGACACCAGACTAAGTTAGCAAAAAAGAACACACACACACACGTACAGATTTTCCCTTAGGACATTGATCAGATTTACATTTCTGTTTTTTTTTTCATTTTTCATTTTTTTTGGTCTAACTAACTCCAAAAGGTTGGAAAATAGTTCCTATAAAGGTTTTGGACAGTGATTTTAACCCTAACGCCATAAACCTTAAACCTTTCCCTGGCCTTAAAATCTAATACCCGGGTATTACATTCAGGAAGCCCGAAAACCCCAAATATTTTTTTTTCATTTTTCTTTTTTTTTTTGGTCTAACTAACTCCAAAAGGTTGGAAAAGAGTTCCTACAAAGGTTTTGGACAGTGATTTTAACCCTAACGCCAAAAAACTTAAACCTTTCCCTGGCCTTAAAATCTAATACCCGGGTATTACATTCAGGAAGCCCGAAAACCCCAAATATTTTTTTTTCATTTTACATTTTTGTTGGTGTAACTAACTCCAAAAGGTTGGAAAAGAGTTCCTACAAAGGTTTTGGACAGTGATTTTAACCCTAATGCCATAAACCTTAAACCTTACCATAGCCCCATAACCTAATACCCGGGTATTACTTTTAGGAAGCCTGAACACCCCAAATATTTTTTTTTCATTTTTCGTTTTTTTTTGGTCTAACTGACTCCAAAAGGTTGGAAAAGAGTTCCTACAAAGGTTTTGGACAGTGATTTTAACCCTAAGGCCAAAAAAACTTAAACCTTACCCTAGCCATAAAATCTAATTCCCAGGTATAACCTTCAGGAAGCCCGAAAGCCCCAAATATTTTTTTTCATTTTACATTTTTGTTGGTGTAACCAACTCCAAAAGGTTGGAAAAGAGTTCCTACAAAGGTTTTGGACAGTGATTTTAACCCTAATGCCAAAAACCTTAAACCTTACCCAAGCCCCATAACCTAATATAATACCTGTATAACCTTCAGGAGTCCTGAACACCCAAAATACTTTTTTTTTTTCTTTTTTTTTTTTGGTCTAACTAACTCCAAAAGGTCTGAAACATGTTCCTAAAAAGGTTTTGGACAGTGATTTTAACCCTAACGCCAAAAACCTTAAACCTTACCATAGCCCCATAACCTAATACCTGGGTATTACCTTCAGGAAGCCCGAAAACCCCCCAAATTTTTTTTTTCATTTTACATTTTTTTTGGTGTAACCAACTCCAAAAGGTCTGAAACATGTTCCTAAAAAGGTTTTGGACAGTGATTTTAACCCTAACGCCAAAAACCTTCAACCTTACCCTATTCCCGAACCTAACACCCGGGTATTAACTTAAGGAAGCCTTCACACCCCAAACATTTTTTTTTTCATTTTTCATTTTTTTTGGTCTAGCTAACTCCAAAAGGTTGTTAAAGAGTTCCTACAAAGGTTTTGGACAGTGATTTTAACCCTAACGCCAAAAACTTTAAACCTTACCCAAGCCCCATAACCTAATATTATACCTGTATAACCTTCAGGAGGCCTTAACACCCAAAATACTTTTTTTTTTTTTTCTTTTTTTTTTTGGTCTATCTAACTCCAAAAGTTCTGAAACATGTTCCTAAAAAGGTTTTGGACAGTGATTTTAACCCTAACGCCAAAAACCTTAAACCTTACCATAGCCCCATAACCTAATACCTGGGTATTACCTTCAGGAAGCCCGAACACCCCAATTATTTTTTTTTCTTTTTACATTTTTTTTGGTGTAACCAACTCCAAAAGGTCTGAAACATGTTCCTATAAAGGTTTTGGACAGTGATTTTAACCCTAACGCCAAAAACCTTCAACCTTACCCTATTCCCGAACCTTATACCCGGGTATTAACTTAAGGAAGCCTTCACACCCCAAACATTTTTTTTTTCATTTTTCTTTTTTTTTTTTTGGTCTAGCTTACTCCAAAAGGTTGGAAAAGAGTTCCTACAAAGGTTTTGGACAGTGATTTTAACCCTAACGCCAAAAACCTTTAACCTTACCCTAGCCCTGTAATATAATATATACATAATTTACAAACACATAGTCTAAAAGATAGACAGCATGGCATACCAATTGAGTGGAGTCATTAAACTTCCTACCAACACATAATTTTTACACACAGATTGAGCTTGGAGACTTGACTGGGAACATGTGATATGTCAACATCCCCCTCACCAATCTTTATTTTCCACCATCTCCACCTCTCCCTTAAACCCCCCTCTCCCTCTTCCCTTCTCTCTCTCTCTCTCTCTCTCTCTCTCTCTCACACACACACACACACACACACACACACACACACACACACCTCTCTCTCTCTCTCTCTCTCTCTCTCTCTCTCTCTCTCTCTCCCTCATCTCTCTCCCTCATCTCTCCCCCTCTCTCTAACACCCCCCCTTTCTTATTCCCTCCCCTGCCCCTTTATTTTCACCTTCACAGAGGACAAATAGGTGATCTTCAGCCTCGACCTACCCCGGCCGGGGGGTAACCCCTGTTGGGTCACCTATATGGAGGATTAAGAGAGACCTGAAGGGGAACCGCCGTGCCCCCTAAATCCTCCCCCTCTAACATCTTTTTTAACACTCTAAAATTAGCCAGCTAACCCCACTACAAACAACTTCATCAAAAATTTAAATAATAAATACTTATCAATAACTGACCATCAGTGACACCAGACTAAGTTAGCAAAAAAGAACACACACACACACGTACAGATTTTCCCTTAGGACATTGATCAGATTTACATTTCTGTCTTTCTTTTAGGGAACTGTTCTCTGTTTTTAAGCTCACTTCTGATTTTTGCTATTTGCTCTTGACATTTCCTTTTTTTCCTTTTTTCTTCCCCTTTCCCTTTTCAATCCACTTTTGTTCTTCTTTTATTTTTTCATTGCTTTATATTATTTTATTTTATTTTAGGGTTCCTGTGCTTTTGTTTTTCTTCCCCCCTCCCCTCTTTTTTTCTTAGGAAGGACTGACTCCTGAGGTTCTCATGCCAGGAAAAATGTACCTCCCTCACTCACGGTTTTACCCACAATCCTTTGCTGCAACAGGGAGATTGATTCCCAAGGCTCTCATGCCAGAAAGGAAGTACCTCACTCCCTCACGGTTTTACCCACAATCCTTTGCTGTAACAGGAAGATTGATTCCTTAGGCTCTCATCCCTCAGAACTAAAATACCCACAATCCCTTGCGATTGCATACAAATTGAATGTAGCAAAACTCAATTTAAAACAATAAACTACATTAAAATTAACTTAAAACAACTTGAAGGTTTAAAATACAACCAAGAGACATCCATTCTGGAATACAAACATCGTGAAGAGAACACAACCATGTCTGAGAGGAACAGCACAAACCATGACTCGAGCCCAACTCTGGGGATGTCATCTCGTGTGAAAAGCTCATTTAAGTGCCGTGCACTAAAGAGCAATTCCTGTTCCAGTTATTGAGACAAAGCACTGACCTCTGGACCAAGAAGACGGACCACCATCGAGGAAGACGCCGCGCCGCCAACTGAAAGAAGACGCCGCACCTCCATCACTCCTAGCCGCCCACCACCGAGCTTCGACCCGCCGACAGCACCGAGTCCCAGCAAACCTTCCCGCGGAGCGCTGATCTTCTTTCCCCCGCCGAGGACCCCGGACTTCAGACACACCGCTGCCACCGCGGATGGACAGCTGGAACCTTTTCCCCCCTCCAACAGATTTTAGACTACTGGAAAAGAAACCCCTCACATCAACAACAACTTAGGACCACTAGGGTAAGTCTACAAAAAACCTCTCAAACACCTCAAAATTACTCTAAATAGTTAGTTTTGTTTGTTGAACTTGAGTTTGTGTCGTTTTTGAACTTGAGTTTGTGGTGTTTTTGAACTTGAGTTTGTGTCGTGTTTGAAGTTTGTGGCAACTTATGAACTTGAGTTTGTTTGGCTTGATTTTTTGGCAATTGTTGAACTTGAGTCTATGGTTTTTAGTGAACTTTAGTTGGTGGCAATTGTTGAACTTTTGTTTGTGGCGTTCGTTGAACTTGAGTTTGTGGTGTTCATTGAACTTGAGTTTGTGGCATATTTGAACTTGAGTTTATTATGTTTTTTGAACTTGAGGTTCTGGTGTTTTCTAACTTAAGTTTGTGGAAATTGTTGAACTTGAGGATCGGGTGTTGCTTGAACTTGACTTGTTGTGTTTGTTTAACTTGAGTTTGTGGTGTTTGTTGAACTTGAGTTTGTGTGGTGTTTTTGAACTTGAGTTTGTGAAGTGTTTGAACTTGAGTTTGTGTTTTTTTTAACCTTGAGGTTGTGGCAATTGTTAAACTTGAGAATCGGGTGGTGGTTGAACTTGAGTTTGTGGTGTTCATTGAACTTGAGTTTGTGGCATATTTGAACTTGAGTTTATCATGTTTTTTGAACTAGAGGTTCTGGTGTTTTTTAACTTAAGTTTGTGGAAATTGTTGAACTTGAGGATCGGGTGTTGCTTGAACTTGACTTGTTGTGTTTGTTGAACTTGAGTTTTAGTCCTTGAGCCAAGAACCAAAATTTCACATATCGGTACCACCTAGGTGGGCAAATTCTAGTTGTGATTTTTTTATACATCCCTACAATAAGTTTTTATTTGATAGACCTTGGTAACTGGTAGCTTTATTGTAGTTATTACTCATTGAAGTAATAGAGTGCAGCTGTTCAAAAACGAAAAATCGCCTTCCTTCAAAATGAGCTTTCTTTCATTTTAACCTCTCATTTAGGTGTGTTTGAACTATTGGCTAGCCATAGAGACTTGTATTAACCCCCTAAGTAGTATTTCAAGTAATTTATCTAATACAGGTGTGTATATATAAGCTTCAATTAGCTAATTGTCAGGTCTAAATCAAGGTCTAAATTAAGGATATTTTTTGACTTAGAAGTAGAAATAAAATAAATGCAGACTAATAGCATTATAATAACACAACTTTAATATGACACTGACATATTTTAAATGTAGGCACTCAATATACAATCATCCTGGCTGGTGCAGGGCAAGAAGACATTAGCAACAAAATAAGATCTACTGATGTATACACTCTATACAATCATCTGAGAAAAACTCCAATTCCTATTCAAAGTCCTATTCTTTCCATAAGGAACAGTGACGGCAAATATGACTGTCAAGTTTTGGCTTAGCACATAATTCTGTCACTGAGTCACAGTGGGTCTGCTAACATAGCTCCCTTTGGTCATCACTTATTAATCAACATCAGTAATCGACATCAGTATCTGTATCTTCTTCTACATCTGAATCTGCCGGTGTGCAATGGGCTCTTCCTCACTGTACTGGTTGGCACAAGTTTGTAATTTGCACAGGTTTGTGCACTTCAGCCCATTGCTGAGACAGGTGCAGTCTGGTGGTTTGCATGTCCTCACACACTTCAGTTTGTGGTGTTTTTGAACTTCAGTTTGTGGCACTTTTTTAACTTTTAAGTTTTTGGCAATTGTTAAATGTGAGTTTAGGTCATTTGTTGAACTTGAAATTTTGGAATTTGTTGAACTTAAGATTGTGGTGTTTGTTGAACTTGAGTTTGTGGCAATTGTTGAACTTGAGTCTGTATTTTTCTCTGAACTTTAGTTGGTGGCAATTGTTGAACTTGAGTTTGTGGTGTTTTTGCACCTGAGTTTGTGTCGTGTTTGAACTTGAGTTTGTGTTGTTTTTGAACTAGAGGTTGTGGCAATTGTTAAACTTGAGATTTGGGTGTTGGTTGAACTTGAGTTTGTGGTGTTTTTTGATCTTGAGTTTGTGTCTTGTTTGAACTTTTGGTTTGAGATTTTTTTTTTGTTTGTTTGTTTGTTTTTTTGATTTTAAACCTAACGCCAAACAATAAAACCTTACCATAGCCCCATAACCTAATACCCGGGTATTACCTTCAGGAAGCCCGAACACCCCAAATATTTTTTTGTTCATTTTACATTTTTGTTGGTGTAACCAACTCCAAAAGGTTGGAAAAGAGTTCCTACAAAGGTTTTGGACAGTGATTTTAACCCTAACGCCCAAAAACTTAAACTTTACCCTAGCCTTAAGATCTAATACCCGGGTATTACATTCAGGGAGCCCGAAAACCCCAAATATATATTTTTTCATTTTTCTTTTTTTTTTTGGTTTAACTAACTCCAAAAGGTTGGAAAAGAGTTCCTACAAAGGTTTTGGACAGTGATTTTAACCCTAACGCCAAAAAACTTAAACCTTACCCTAGCCTTAAAATCTAATACCCGGGTATTACATTCAGGAAGCCCGAAAACCCCAAATATATATTTTTTCATTTTTCATATTTTTTTGGTTTATCTAATTCCAAAAGGTTGGAAAAGTGTTCCTACAAAGGTTTTGGACAGGGATTTTAACCCTTATGCCAAAAAACTTAAACCTTACCCTAGCCACAAAACCTAATACCTGGGTATTACTTTTAGGAAGCCTGAACTCCCCAAATATTTTTTTTTCATTTTTCTTTTTTTTTTGGTCAAACTAACTCCAAAAGGTTGGAAAAGAGTTCCTACAAAGGTTTTGGACAGTGATTTTAACCCTAACGCCAAAAACCTTAAACCTTTCCCCAGTCCCAAAACCTAATACCTGGGTATTACCTTCAGGAAGCCCGAAAACCCCCAATAATATTTTTTTCTTTTTTCATATTTTTTGGTCTAACTAACTCCAAAAGGTTGGAAAAGAGTTCCTACAAAGGTTTTGGACAGTGATTTTAACCCTAACGCCAAAAAACTTAAACCTTACCATAGCCCCAAAACCTAATACCCGGGTATTACTTTCAGGGAGCCCGAAAACCCCCAATAATATTTTTTTCTTTTTTCATATTTTTTGGTCTAACTAACTCCAAAAGGTTGGAAAAGAGTTCCTACAAAGGTTTTGGACAGTGATTTTAACCCTAACGCCAAAAAACTTAAACCTTTCCCCAGTCCCAAAACCTAATACCTGGGTATTACCTTCAGGAAGCCCGAAAACCCCCAATAATATTTTTTTCATATTTTTTGGTCTAACTAACTCCAAAAGGTTGGAAAAGAGTTCCTACAAAGGTTTTGGACAGTGATTTTAACCCTAACGCCAAAAAACTTAAACCTTACCATAGCCCCAAAACCTAATACCCGGGTATTACTTTCAGGGAGCCCGAAAACCCCCAATAATATTTTTTTCTTTTTTCATATTTTTTGGTGTAACTAACTCCAAAAGGTTGGAAAAGAGTTCCTACAAAGGTTTTGGACAGTGATTTTAACCCTAATGCCAAAAAACTTAAACCTTTCCCTGGCCTTAAAATCTAATACCCGGGTATTACATTCAGGAAGCCCGTAAACCCCAAATATTTTTTTTTTCATTTTTCATTTTTTTTTTGGTCTAATTCCAAAAGGTTGAAAAAGAGTTCCTACAAAGGTTTTGGACAGTGATTTTAACCCTAACGCCAAAAACCTTAAACCTTACCATAGCCCCATAACCTAATACCCGGGTATTACTTTTAGGAAGCCTGAACACCCCAAATATATTTTTTTTAATTTTTCATTTTTTTTTGGTCTAACTAAATCCAAAAGGTTGTTAAAGAGTTCCTACAAAGGTTTTGGACAGTGATTTTAACCCTAACGCCAAAAAACTTAAACCTTTCCCTGGCCTTAAAATCTAATACCCGGGTATTACTTTCAGGGAGCCCGAAAACCCCCAATAATATTTTTTTCTTTTTTCATACTTTTTGGTCTAACTAACTCCAAAAGGTTGGAAAAGAGTTCCTACAAAGGTTTTGGACAGTGATTTTAACCCTAACGCCAAAAAACTTAAACCTTTCCCTGGCCTTAAAATCTAATACCCGGGTATTACATTCAGGAAGCCCGTAAACCCCAAATATTTTTTTTTCATTTTTCATTTTTTTTTTTGGTCTAACTAATTCTAAAAGGTTGAAAAAGTGTTCCTACAAAGGTTTTGGACAGTGATTTTAACCCTAACGCCAAAAACCTTAAACCTTACCATAGCCCCATAACCTAATACCCGGGTATTACTTTTAGGAAGCCTGAACACCCCAAATATATTTTTTTTAATTTTTCATTTTTTTTTTTGGTCTAACTAACTCCAAAAGGTTGGAAAAGAGTTCCTACAAAGGTTTTGGACAGTGATTTTAACCCTAACGCCAAAACCCTTAAACCTTTCCCTAGTCCCAAAACCTAATACACGGGTATTACTTTCAGGGAGCCCGAAAACCCCCAATAATACTTTTTTTCTTTTTTCATATCTTTTGGTCTAACTAACTCCAAAAGGTTGGAAAAGAGTTCCTACAAAGGTTTTGGACAGTGATTTTAACCCTAACGCCAAAAAACTTAAACCTTACCATAGCCCCAAAACCTAATACCCGGGTATTACTTTCAGGGAGCCCGAAAACCCCCAATAATATTTTTTTCTTTTTTCATATTTTTTGGTCTAACTAACTCCAAAAGGTTGGAAAAGAGTTCCTACAAAGGTTTTGGACAGTGATTTTAACCCTAACGCCCAAAAACTTAAACTTTACCCTAGCCTTAAGATCTAATACCCGGGTATTACATTCAGGGAGCCCGAAAACCCCAAATATATATTTTTTCATTTTTCTTTTTTTTTTTGGTTTAACTAACTCCAAAAGGTTGGAAAAGAGTTCCTACAAAGGTTTTGGACAGTGATTTTAACCCTAACGCCAAAAACCTTAAACCTTTCCCTAGTCCCAAACCTAATACCTGGGTATTACCTTCAGGAAGCCCGAAAACCCCAAATATTTTTTTCTTTTTTCATATTTTTTGGTCTAACTAACTCCAAAAGGTTGGAAAAGAGTTCCTACAAAGGTTTTGGACAGTGATTTTAACCCTAACGCCAAAAAACTTAAACCTTACCATAGCCCCAAAACCTAATACCCGGGTATTACTTTCAGGGAGCCCGAAAACCCCCAATAATATTTTTTTCTTTTTTCATATTTTTTGGTGTAACTAACTCCAAAAGGTTGGAAAAGAGTTCCTACAAAGGTTTTGGACAGTGATTTTAACCCTAATGCCAAAAAACTTAAACCTTTCCCTAGCCTTAAAATCTAATACCCGGGTATTACATTCAGGAAGCCCGTAAACCCCAAATATTTTTTTTTTCATTTTTCATTTTTTTTTTGGTCTAACTAACTCCAAAAGGTTGAAAAAGAGTTCCTACAAAGGTTTTGGACAGTGATTTTAAACCTAACGCCAAAACGTTAAACCTGACCATAGCCCCATAACCTAATACGTATTACTTTCAGGAAGCCTGAACACCCCAAATATTTTTTTTTCATTTTCCTTTTTTTTTTGGTCTAACTAACTCCAAAAGGTTGGAAAAGAGTTCCTACAAAGGTTTTGGACAGTGATTTTAACCCTAATGCCAAAAAACTTAAACCTTACCCTGGCCTTAAAATCTAATACCCGGGTATTACATTCAGGAAGCCCGAACACCCCAAATATTTTTTTTTTTCATTTTACATTTTTTTTGGTGTAACCAACTCCAAAAGGTTGGAAAAGAGTTCCTACAAAGGTTTTGGACAGTGATTTTAACCCTAACGCCAAAAAACTTAAACCTTACCATAGCCCCAAAACCTAATACCCGGGTATTACTTTTAGGAAGCCTGAACACCCCAAATATTTTTTTTCATTTTTCTTTTTTTTTTGGTCTAACTAACTCCAAAAGGTTGGAAAAGATTTCCTACAAAGGTTTTGGACAGTGATTTTAACCCTAACGCCAAAAACCTTAAACCTTTCCCTAGTCCCAAACCTAATACCTGGGTATTACCTTCAGGAAGCCCGAAAACCCCAAATATTTTTTTCTTTTTTCATATTTTTTGGTCTAACTAACTCCAAAAGGTTGGAAAAGAGTTCCTACAAAGGTTTTGGACAGTGATTTTAACCCTAACGCCAAAAACCTTAAACCTTACCATAGCCCTATAACCTAATACCCAGGTATTACTTTTAGGAAGCCTGAACACCCCAAATATTTTTTGTTCATTTTTCTTTTTTTTTTTGGTCTAACTAACTCCAAAAGGTTGGAAAAGAGTTCCTACAAAGGTTTTGGACAGTGATTTTAACCCTAACGCCAAAAACCTTAAACCTTTCCCCAGTCCCAAAACCTAATACCTGGGTATTACCTTCAGGAAGCCCGAAAACCCCCAATAATATTTTTTTCTTTTTTCATATTTTTTGGTCTAACTAACTCCAAAAGGTTGGAAAAGAGTTCCTACAAAGGTTTTGGACAGTGATTTTAACCCTAACGCCAAAAAACTTAAACCTTACCATAGCCCCAAAACCTAATACCCGGGTATTACTTTCAGGGAGCCCGAAAACCCCCAATAATATTTTTTTCTTTTTTCATATTTTTTGGTCTAACTAACTCCAAAAGGTTGGAAAAGAGTTCCTACAAAGGTTTTGGACAGTGATTTTAACCCTAACGCCAAAAACCTTAAACCTTTCCCTGGCCTTAAAATCTAATACCCGGGTATTACATTCAGGAAGCCCGTAAACCCCAAATATTTTTTTTTTCATTTTTCATTTTTTTTTTGGTCTAACTAACTCTAAAAGGTTGAAAAAGAGTTCCTACAAAGGTTTTGGACAGTGATTTTAAACCTAACGCCAAAACGTTAAACCTGACCATAGCCCCATAACCTAATACGTATTACTTTCAGGAAGCCTGAACACCCCAAATATTTTTTTTTCATTTTCCTTTTTTTTTTGGTCTAACTAACTCCAAAAGGTTGGAAAAGAGTTCCTACAAAGGTTTTGGACAGTGATTTTAACCCTAACGCCAAAAAACTTAAACCTTACCCTAGCCTTAAAATCTAATACCCGGGTATTACATTCAGGAAGCCCGAACACCCCAAATATTTTTTTTTTCATTTTACATTTTTTTTTTGGTCTAACTAACTCCAAAAGGTTGGAAAAGAGTTCCTACAAAGGTTTTGGACAGTGATTTTAACCCTAACGCCAAAAAACTTAAACCTTACCATAGCCCCAAAACCTAATACCCGGGTATTACTTTTAGGAAGCCTGAACACCCCAAATATTTTTTTTCATTTTTCTTTTTTTTTTTGGTCTAACTAACTCCAAAAGGTTGGAAAAGAGTTCCTACAAAGGTTTTGGACAGTGATTTTAACCCTAACGCCAAAAACCTTAAACCTTTCCCTAGCCCAAACCTAATACCTGGGTATTACCTTCAGGAAGCCCGAAAACCCCAAATATTTTTTTCTTTTTTCATATTTTTTGGTCTAACTAACTCCAAAAGGTTGGAAAAGAGTTCCTACAAAGGTTTTGGACAGTGATTTTAACCCTAACGCCAAAAACCTTAAACCTTACCATAGCCCTATAACCTAATACCCAGGTATTACTTTTAGGAAGCCTGAACACCCCAAATATTTTTTTTCATTTTTCTTTTTTTTTTTGGTCTAACTAACTCCAAAAGGTTGGAAAAGAGTTCCTACAAAGGTTTTGGACAGTGATTTTAACCCTAACGCCAAAAACCTTAAACCTTTCCCCAGTCCCAAAACCTAATACCTGGGTATTACCTTCAGGAAGCCCGAAAACCCCCAATAATATTTTTTCTTTTTTCATATTTTTTGGTCTAACTAACTCCAAAAGGTTGGAAAAGAGTTCCTACAAAGGTTTTGGACAGTGATTTTAACCCTAACGCCAAAAACCTTAAACCTTTCCCTGGCCTTAAAATCTAATACCCGGGTATTACATTCAGGAAGCCCGTAAACCCCAAATATTTTTTTTTCATTTTTCATTTTTTTTTGGTCTAACTAACTCCAAAAGGTTGGAAAAGAGTTCCTACAAAGGTTTTGGACAGTGATTTTAAACCTAACGCCAAAACGTTAAACCTGACCATAGCCCCATAACCTAATACGTATTACTTTCAGGAAGCCTGAACACCCCAAATATTTTTTTTTCATTTTCCTTTTTTTTTTGGTCTAACTAACTCCAAAAGGTTGGAAAAGAGTTCCTACAAAGGTTTTGGACAGTGATTTTAACCCTAACGCCAAAAAACTTAAACCTTACCATAGCCCCAAAACCTAATACCCGGGTATTACTTTCAGGGAGCCCGAAAACCCCCAATAATATTTTTTTCTTTTTTCATATTTTTTGGTCTAACTAACTCCAAAAGGTTGGAAAAGAGTTCCTACAAAGGTTTTGGACAGTGATTTTAACCCTAACGCCAAAAACCTTAAACCTTACCCTAGCCTTAAAATCTAATACCCGGGTATTACCTTCAGGAAGCCTGAACACCCCAAATATTTTTTTCTTCATTTTACATTTTTGTTGGTGTAACCAACTCCAAAAGGTTGAAAAAGAGTTCCTACAAAGGTTTTGGACAGTGATTTTAACCCTAACGCCAAAAACCTTAAACCTGACCATAGCCCCATAACCTAATACGTATTACTTTCAGGAAGCCTGAACACCCCAAATATTTTTTTTTCATTTTCCTTTTTTTTTTTTTGGTCTAACTAACTCCAAAAGGTTGGAAAAGAGTTCCTACAAAGGTTTTGGACAGTGATTTTAACCCTAACGCCAAAAACCTTAAACCTTTCCCCAGTCCCAAAACCTAATACCTGGGTATTACCTTCAGGAAGCCCGAAAACCCCCAATAATATTTTTTTCTTTTTTCATATTTTTTGGTCTAACTAACTCCAAAAGGTTGGAAAAGAGTTCCTACAAAGGTTTTGGACAGTGATTTTAACCCTAACGCCAAAAAACTTAAACCTTACCATAGCCCCAAAACCTAATACCCGGGTATTACTTTCAGGGAGCCCGAAAACCCCCAGTAATATTTTTTTCTTTTTTCATATTTTTTGGTCTAACTAACTCCAAAAGGTTGGAAAAGAGTTCCTACAAAGGTTTTGGACAGTGATTTTAACCCTAACGCCAAAAACCTTAAACCTTACCCTAGCCAAGAAATCTAATACCCGGGTATTACATTCAGGAAGCCTGAACACCCCAAATATTTTTTTCTTCATTTTACATTTTTGTTGGTGTAACCAACTCCAAAAGGTTGGAAAAGAGTTCCTACAAAGGTTTTGGACAGTGATTTTAACCCTAACGCCAAAAAACTTAAACCTTACCCTAGCCCAAAATCCTAATACCCGGGTATTACATTCAGGAACCCCGAAAACCCCAAATATTTTTTTTTTCATTTTTCATTTTTTTTTTGGTCTAACTAACTCCAAAAGGTTGGAAAAGAGTTCCTACAAAGGTTTTGGACAGTGATTTTAACCCTAACGCCAAAAACCTTAAACCTTTCCCAGCCCAAAACCTAATACCCGGGTATTACTTCAGGAAGCCCGAAAACCCCAATAATATTTTTTTCTTTTTTCATACTTTTTGGTCTAACTAACTCCAAAAGGTTGGAAAAGAGTTCCTACAAAGGTTTTGGACAGTGATTTTAACCCTAACGCCAAAAAACTTAAACCTTACCCTAGACTTAAAATCTAATACCCGGGTATTACCTTCAGGAAGCCCGAACACCCCAAATATTTTTTTGTACATTTTACATTTTTGTTGGTGTAACCAACTCCAAAAGGTTGGAAAAGAGTTCCTACAAAGGTTTTGGACAGTGATTTTAACCCTAACGCCCAAAAACTTAAACTTTACCCTAGCCTTAAGATCTAATACCCGGGTATTACATTCAGGAAGCCCGAAAACCCCAAATATATATTTTTTCATTTTTCTTTTTTTTTTTGGTTTAACTAACTCCAAAAGGTTGGAAAAGAGTTCCTACAAAGGTTTTGGACAGTGATTTTAACCCTAACGCCAAAAAACTTAAACCTTACCCTAGCCTTAAAATCTAATACCCGGGTATTACATTCAGGAAGCCCGAAAACCCCAAATATATTTTTTTCTTTTTTCATATTTTTTGGTCTAACTAACTCCAAAAGGTTGGAAAAGAGTTCCTACAAAGGTTTTGGACAGTGATTTTAACCCTAACGCCAAAAAACTTAAACCTTACCCTAGCCACAAAACCTAATACCTGGGTATTACTTTTAGGAAGCCTGAACTCCCCAAATATTTTTTTTTCATTTTTCTTTTTTTTTTGGTCTAACTAACTCCAAAAGGTTGGAAAAGAGTTCCTACAAAGGTTTTGGACAGTGATTTTAACCCTAACGCCAAAAACCTTAAACCTTTCCCCAGTCCCAAAACCTAATACCTGGGTATTACTTTTAGGAAGCCTGAACACCCCAAATATTTTTTTTTCATTTTTCTTTTTTTTTGGTCTAACTAACTCCAAAAGGTTGGAAAAGAGTTCCTACAAAGGTTTTGGACAGTGATTTTAACCCTAACGCCAAAAAACTTAAACCTTACCCTGGCCTTAAAATCTAATACCCGGGTATTACATTCAGGAAGCCCGAACACCCCAAATATTTTTTTTTTTCATTTTACATTTTTTTTGGTGTAACCAACTCCAAAAGGTTGGAAAAGAGTTCCTACAAAGGTTTTGGACAGTGATTTTAACCCTAACGCCAAAAACCTTAAACCTTACCATAGCCCTATAACCTAATACCCAGGTATTACTTTTAGGAAGCCTGAACACCCCAAATATTTTTTTTTCATTTTTCTTTTTTTTTGGTCTAACTAACTCCAAAAGGTTGGAAAAGAGTTCCTACAAAGGTTTTGGACAGTGATTTTAACCCTAACGCCAAAAACCTTAAACCTTTCCCCAGTCCCAAACCTAATACCTGGGTATTACCTTCAGGAAGCCCGAAAACCCCCAATAATATTTTTTTCTTTTTTCATATTTTTTGGTCTAACTAACTCCAAAAGGTTGGAAAAGAGTTCCTACAAAGGTTTTGGACAGTGATTTTAACCCTAACGCCAAAAAACTTAAACCTTACCATAGCCCCAAAACCTAATACCCGGGTATTACTTTCAGGGAGCCCGAAAACCCCCAATAATATTTTTTTCTTTTTTCATATTTTTTGGTCTAACTAACTCCAAAAGGTTGGAAAAGAGTTCCTACAAAGGTTTTGGACAGTGATTTTAACCCTAACGCCAAAAAACTTAAACCTTTCCCCAGCCCCAAAACCTAATACCCGGGTATTACCTTCAGGAAGCCCGAAAACCCCCAATAATATTTTTTTCTTTTTTCATATTTTTTGGTCTAACTAACTCCAAAAGGTTGGAAAAGAGTTCCTACAAAGGTTTTGGACAGTGATTTTAACCCTAACGCCAAAAAACTTAAACCTTACCATAGCCCCAAAACCTAATACCCGGGTATTACTTTCAGGGAGCCCGAAAACCCCCAATAATATTTTTTTCTTTTTTCATATTTTTTGGTCTAACTAACTCCAAAAGGTTGGAAAAGAGTTCCTACAAAGGTTTTGGACAGTGATTTTAACCCTAACGCCAAAAAACTTAAACCTTTCCCTGGCCTTAAAATCTAATACCCGGGTATTACATTCAGGAAGCCCGTAAACCCCAAATATTTTTTTTTTTTTTTCATTTTTTTTTTGGTCTAACTAACTCCAAAAGGTTGAAAAAGAGTTCCTACAAAGGTTTTGGACAGTGATTTTAACCCTAACGCCAAAAACCTTAAACCTTACCATAGCCCCATAACCTAATACCCGGGTATTACTTTTAGGAAGCCTGAACACCCCAAATATATTTTTTTTAATTTTTCATTTTTTTTTTGGTCTAACTAAATCCAAAAGGTTGTTAAAGAGTTCCTACAAAGGTTTTGGACAGTGATTTTAACCCTAACGCCAAAACGTTAAACCTTACCATAGCCCCATAACCTAATACCCGGGTATTACTTTTAGGAAGCCTGAACACCCCAAATATTTTTTTTCATTTTTCTTTTTTTTTTGGTCTAACTAACTCCAAAAGGTTGGAAAAGAGTTCCTACAAAGGTTTTGGACAGTGATTTTAACCCTAACGCCAAAAAACTTAAACCTTTCCCCAGTCCCAAAACCTAATACCTGGGTATTACCTTCAGGAAGCCCGAAAACCCCCAATAATATTTTTTTTTTTTTCATATTTTTTGGTCTAACTAACTCCAAAAGGTTGGAAAAGAGTTCCTACAAAGGTTTTGGACAGTGATTTTAACCCTAACGCCAAAAAACTTAAACCTTACCATAGCCCCAAAACCTAATACCCGGGTATTACTTTCAGGGAGCCCGAAAACCCCCAATAATATTTTTTTCTTTTTTCATATTTTTGGTCTAACTAACTCCAAAAGGTTGGAAAAGAGTTCCTACAAAGGTTTTGGACAGTGATTTTAACCCTAACGCCAAAAAACTTAAACCTTTCCCTAGCCTTAAAATCTAATACCCGGGTATTACATTCAGGAAGCCCGAAAACCCCCAATAATATTTTTTTCTTTTTTCATTTTTTGGTCTAACTAACTCCAAAAGGTTGGAAAAGAGTTCCTACAAAGGTTTTGGACAGTGATTTTAACCCTAACGCCAAAAAACTTAAACCTTTCCCTAGCCTTAAAATCTAATACCCGGGTATTACATTCAGGAAGCCCGTAAACCCCAAATATTTTTTTTTCATTTTTCATTTTTTTTTGGTCTAACTAACTCCAAAAGGTTGGAAAAGAGTTCCTACAAAGGTTTTGGACAGTGATTTTAACCCTAACGCCAAAAACCTTAAACCTTACCATAGCCCCATAACCTAATACCCGGGTATTACTTTTAGGAAGCCTGAACACCCCAAATATATTTTTTTTAATATTTCATTTTTTTTTGGTCTAACTAACTCCAAAAGGTTGGAAAAGAGTTCCTACAAAGGTTTTGGACAGTGATTTTAACCCTAATGCCAAAACCCTTCAACCTTTCCCTAGTCCCAAAACCTAATACACGGGTATTACTTTCAGGAAGCCCGAAAACCCCCAATAATATTTTTTTCTTTTTCATATTTTTTGGTCTAACTAACTCCAAAAGGTTGGAAAAGAGTTCCTACAAAGGTTTTGGACAGTGATTTTAACCCTAACGCCAAAAAACTTAAACCTTACCATAGCCCCAAAACCTAATACCCGGGTATTACTTTCAGGAGCCCGAAAACCCCCAATAATATTTTTTTCTTTTTTCATATTTTTTGGTCTAACTAACTCCAAAAGGTTGGAAAAGAGTTCCTACAAAGGTTTTGGACAGTGATTTTAACCCTAACGCCAAAAAACTTAAACCTTTCCCCAGTCCCAAAACCTAATACCTGGGTATTACCTTCAGGAAGCCCGAAAACCCCCAATAATATTTTTTTCTTTTTTCATATTTTTTGGTCTAACTAACTCCAAAAGGTTGGAAAAGAGTTCCTACAAAGGTTTTGGACAGTGATTTTAACCCTAACGCCAAAAAACTTAAACCTTACCATAGCCCCAAAACCTAATACCCGGGTATTACTTTCAGGGAGCCCGAAAACCCCCAATAATATTTTTTTCTTTTTTCATATTTTTTGGTCTAACTAACTCCAAAAGGTTGGAAAAGAGTTCCTACAAAGGTTTTGGACAGTGATTTTAACCCTAACGCCAAAAAACTTAAACCTTACCCTAGCCTTAAAATCTAATACCCGGGTATTACATTCAGGAAGCCCGAAAACCCCAAATATATATTTTTTCATTTTTCTTTTTTTTTTTTGGTTTAACTAACTCCAAAAGGTTGGAAAAGAGTTCCTACAAAGGTTTTGGACAGTGATTTTAACCCTAACGCCAAAAAACTTAAACCTTACCCTAGCCTTAAAATCTAATACCCGGGTATTACTTTCAGGGAGCCCGAAAACCCCCAAAAATATTTTTTTCTTTTTTCATATTTTTTGGTCTAACTAACTCCAAAAGGTTGGAAAAGAGTTCCTACAAAGGTTTTGGACAGTGATTTTAACCCTAACGCCAAAAACCTTAAACCTTACCCTAGCCTTGAAATCTAATACCCGGGTATTACCTTCAGGAAGCCCGAACACCCCAAATATTTTTTTCTTCATTTTACATTTTTTTTGGTCTAACTAACTCCAAAAGGTTGGAAAAGAGTTCCTACAAAGGTTTTGGACAGTGATTTTAACCCTAACGCCAAAAAACTTAAACCTTACCCTAGCCTCAAAATCTAATACCCGGGTATTACATTCAGGAACCCCGAAAACCCCAAATATTTTTTTTTAATTTTTCATTTTTTTTTGGTCTAACTAACTCCAAAAGGTTGGAAAAGAGTTCCTACAAAGGTTTTGGACAGTGATTTTAACCCTAACGCCAAAAAACTTAAACCTTACCCTAGCCTTAAGATCTAATACCCGGGTATTACATTCAGGAAGCCCGAAAACCCCAAATATATATTTTTTCATTTTTCTTTTTTTTTTTTGGTTTAACTAACTCCAAAAGGTTGGAAAAGAGTTCCTACAAAGGTTTTGGACAGTGATTTTAACCCTAACGCCAAAAAACTTAAACCTTACCCTAGCCTTAAAATCTAATACCCGGGTATTACCTTCAGGAAGCCCGAACACCCCAAATATTTTTTTTTCATTTTTCATTTTTTTGGTCTAACTAACTCCAAAAGGTTGGAAAAGAGTTCCTACAAAGGTTTTGGACAGTGATTTTAACCCTAACGCCAAAAAACTTAAACCTTACCATAGCCCCATAACCTAATACCCGGGTATTACTTTTAGGAAGCCTGAACACCCCAAATATTTTTTTTTCATTTTTCTTTTTTTTTTGGTCTAACTAACTCCAAAAGGTTGGAAAAGATTTCCTACAAAGGTTTTGGACAGTGATTTTAACCCTAACGCCAAAAACCTTAAACCTTTCCCCAGTCCCAAACCTAATACCTGGGTATTACCTTCAGGAAGCCCGAAAACCCCAAATATTTTTTTCTTTTTTCATATTTTTTGGTCTAACTAACTCCAAAAGGTTGGAAAAGAGTTCCTACAAAGGTTTTGGACAGTGATTTTAACCCTAACGCCAAAAACCTTAAACCTTACCATAGCCCTAAAACCTAATACCCAGGTATTACTTTCAGGAAGCCTGAACACCCCAAATATTTTTTTTTCATTTTTCTTTTTTTTTTGGTCTAACTAACTCCAAAAGGTTGGAAAAGAGTTCCTACAAAGGTTTTGGACAGTGATTTTAACCCTAACGCCAAAAACCTTAAACCTTTCCCCAGTCCCAAAACCTAATACCTGGGTATTACCTTCAGGAAGCCCGAAAACCCCCAATAATATTTTTTTCTTTTTTCATATTTTTTGGTCTAACTAACTCCAAAAGGTTGGAAAAGAGTTCCTACAAAGGTTTTGGACAGTGATTTTAACCCTAACGCCAAAAAACTTAAACCTTACCATAGCCCCAAAACCTAATACCCGGGTATTACTTTCAGGGAGCCCGAAAACCCCCAATAATATTTTTTTCTTTTTTCATATTTTTTGGTCTAACTAACTCCAAAAGGTTGGAAAAGAGTTCCTACAAAGGTTTTGGACAGTGATTTTAACCCTAACGCCAAAAAACTTAAACCTTTCCCTGGCCTTAAAATCTAATACCCGGGTATTACATTCAGGAAGCCCGTAAACCCCAAATATTTTTTTTTTCATTTTTCATTTTTTTTTTTGGTCTAACTAACTCCAAAAGGTTGAAAAAGAGTTCCTACAAAGGTTTTGGACAGTGATTTTAAACCTAACGCCAAAACGTTAAACCTGACCATAGCCCCATAACCTAATACGTATTACTTTCAGGAAGCCTGAACACCCCAAATATTTTTTTTCATTTTCCTTTTTTTTTTGGTCTAACTAACTCCAAAAGGTTGGAAAAGAGTTCCTACAAAGGTTTTGGACAGTGATTTTAACCCTAACGCCAAAAACCTTAAACCTTACCCTAGCCTTGAAATCTAATACCCGGGTATTACCTTCAGGAAGCCTGAACACCCCAAATATTTTTTTCTTCATTTTACATTTTCTTTGGTCTAACTAACTCCAAAAGGTTTGAAAGGAGTTCCTACAAAGGTTTTGGACAGTGATTTTAACCCTAACGCCAAAAAACTTAAACCTTACCCTAGCCTCAAAATCTAATACCCGGGTATTACATTCAGGAAGCCCGAAAACCCCAAATATTTTTTTTTCATTTTTCATTTTTTTTTGGTCTAACTAACTCCAAAAGGTTGGAAAAGAGTTCCTACAAAGGTTTTGGACAGTGATTTTAACCCTAACGCCAAAAACTTAAACTTTACCCTAGCCTTAAATCTAATACCCGGGTATTACATTCGGGAGCCCGAAAACCCCAAATATATATTTTTTCATTTTTCTTTTTTTTTTTGGTTTAACTAACTCCAAAAGGTTGGAAAAGAGTTCCTACAAAGGTTTTGGACAGTGATTTTAACCCTAACGCCAAAAAACTTAAACCTTACCCTAGCCCAAAAACCTAATACCCGGGTATTACTTTTAGGAAGCCTGAAACCCCCAAATATTTTTTTTTCATTTTTCTTTTTTTTTTGGTCTAACTAACTCCAAAAGGTTGGAAAAGAGTTCCTACAAAGGTTTTGGACAGTGATTTTAACCCTAACGCCAAAAAACTTAAACCTTACCATAGCCCCATAACCTAATACCCGGGTATTACTTTTAGGAAGCCTGAACACCCCAAATATTTTTTTTTCATTTTTCTTTTTTTTTTTGGTCTAACTAACTCCAAAAGGTTGGAAAAGAGTTCCTACAAAGGTTTTGGACAGTGATTTTAACCCTAACGCCAAAAAACTTAAACCTTACCCTGGCCTTAAAATCTAATACCCGGGTATTACATTCAGGAAGCCCGAACACCCCAAATATTTTTTTTTTTCATTTTACATTTTTTTTGGTGTAACCAACTCCAAAAGGTTGGAAAAGAGTTCCTACAAAGGTTTTGGACAGTGATTTTAACCCTAACGCCAAAAACCTTAAACCTTACCATAGCCCTATAACCTAATACCCAGGTATTACTTTTAGGAAGCCTGAACACCCCAAATATTTTTTTTTCATTTTTCTTTTTTTTTTTGGTCTAACTAACTCCAAAAGGTTGGAAAAGAGTTCCTACAAAGGTTTTGGACAGTGATTTTAACCCTAACGCCAAAAACCTTAAACCTTTCCCCAGTCCCAAACCTAATACCTGGGTATTACCTTCAGGAAGCCCGAAAACCCCAAATATTTTTTTCTTTTTTCATATTTTTTGGTCTAACTAACTCCAAAAGGTTGGAAAAGAGTTCCTACAAAGGTTTTGGACAGTGATTTTAACCCTAACGCCAAAAAACTTAAACCTTACCATAGCCCCAAAACCTAATACCCGGGTATTACTTTCAGGGAGCCCGAAAACCCCCAATAATATTTTTTTCTTTTTTCATATTTTTTGGTCTAACTAACTCCAAAAGGTTGGAAAAGAGTTCCTACAAAGGTTTTGGACAGTGATTTTAACCCTAACGCCAAAAAACTTAAACCTTTCCCCAGTCCCAAAACCTAATACCTGGGTATTACCTTCAGGAAGCCCGAAAACCCCCAATAATATTTTTTTCTTTTTTCATATTTTTTGGTCTAACTAACTCCAAAAGGTTGGAAAAGAGTTCCTACAAAGGTTTTGGACAGTGATTTTAACCCTAACGCCAAAAAACTTAAACCTTACCATAGCCCCAAAACCTAATACCCAGGTATCACTTTCAGGGAGCCCGAAAACCCCCAATAATATTTTTTTCTTTTTTCATATTTTTTGGTCTAACTAACTCCAAAAGGTTGGAAAAGAGTTCCTACAAAGGTTTTGGACAGTGATTTTAACCCTAACGCCAAAAAACTTAAACCTTACCCTAGCCTTAAAATCTAATACCCGGGTATTACATTCAGGAAGCCCGAAAACCCCAAATATATATTTTTTCATTTTTCTTTTTTTTTTTTGGTTTAACTAACTCCAAAAGGTTGGAAAAGAGTTCCTACAAAGGTTTTGGACAGTGATTTTAACCCTAACGCCAAAAACCTTAAACCTTTCCCCAGTCACAAAACCTAATACCCGGGTATTACTTCAGGAAGCCCGAAAACCCCCAATAATATTTTTTTCTTTTTTCATATTTTTTGGTCTAACTAACTCCAAAAGGTTGGAAAAGAGTTCCTACAAAGGTTTTGGACAGTGATTTTAACCCTAACGCCAAAAAACTTAAACCTTACCATAGCCCCAAAACCTAATACCCGGGTATTACTTTCAGGGAGCCCGAAAACCCCCAATAATATTTTTTTCATTTTTCTTTTTTTTTTGGTCTAACTAACTCCAAAAGGTTGGAAAAGAGTTCCTACAAAGGTTTTGGACAGTGATTTTAACCCTAACGCCAAAAAACTTAAACCTTTCCCTGGCCTTAAAATCTAATACCCGGGTATTACATTCAGGAAGCCCGTAAACCCCAAATATTTTTTTTTTCATTTTTCATTTTTTTTTTTGGTCTAACTAACTCCAAAAGGTTGGAAAAGAGTTCCTACAAAGGTTTTGGACAGTGATTTTAACCCTAACGCCAAAAACTTAAACCTTACCATAGCCCCATAACCTAATACCCAGGTATTACTTTTAGGAAGCCTGAACACCCCAAATATTTTTTTTTTCATTTTTCTTTTTTTTTTGGTCTAACTAACTCCAAAAGGTTGGAAAAGAGTTCCTACAAAGGTTTTGGACAGTGATTTTAACCCTAACGCCAAAAACCTTAAACCTTACCATAGCCCCATAACCTAATACCCGGGTATTACTTTCAGGGAGCCTGAAAACCCCCAATAATATTTTTTTCTTTTTTCATTTTTTTTGGTCTAACTAACTCCAAAAGGTTGGAAAAGAGTTCCTACAAAGGTTTTGGACAGTGATTTTAACCCTAACGCCAAAAAACTTAAACCTTACCATAGCCCCAAAACCTAATACCCGGGTATTACTTTCAGGGAGCCCGAAAACCCCCAATAATATTTTTTTCTTTTTTCATACTTTTTGGTCTAACTAACTCCAAAAGGTTGGAAAAGAGTTCCTACAAAGGTTTTGGACAGTGATTTTAACCCTAACGCCAAAAAACTTAAACCTTTCCCTGGCCTTAAAATCTAATACCCGGGTATTACATTCAGGAAGCCCGTAAACCCCAAATATTTTTTTTTCTTTTTTCATTTTTTTTTTGGTCTAACTAACTCTAAAAGGTTGAAAAGAGTTCCTACAAAGGTTTTGGACAGTGATTTTAACCCTAACGCCAAAAACCTTAAACCTTACCATAGCCCCATAACCTAATACCCGGGTATTACTTTTAGGAAGCCTGAACACCCCAAATATATTTTTTTTAATTTTTCATTTTTTTTTGGTCTAACTAACTCCAAAAGGTTGGAAAAGAGTTCCTACAAAGGTTTTGGACAGTGATTTTAACCCTAACGCCAAAACTTAAACCTTTCCCATAGCCCCAAAACCTAATACCCGGGTATTACTTTCAGGGAGCCCGAAAACCCCCAATAATATTTTTTTCTTTTTTCATATTTTTTGGTCTAACTAACTCCAAAAGGTTGGAAAAGAGTTCCTACAAAGGTTTTGGACAGTGATTTTAACCCTAACGCCAAAAAACTTAAACCTTTCCCTGGCCTTAAAATCTAATGCCCGGGTATTACATTCAGGAAGCCCGTAAACCCCAAATATTTTTTTTTTCATTTTTCATTTTTTTTTTGGTCTAACTAACTCCAAAAGGTTGAAAAAGAGTTCCTACAAAGGTTTTGGACAGTGATTTTAACCCTAACGCCAAAAACGTTAAACCTTACCATAGCCCATAACCTAATACGTATTACTTTTAGGAAGCCTGAACACCCCAAATATTTTTTTTCATTTCTCTTTTTTTTGGTCTAACTAACTCCAAAAGGTTGGAAAAGAGTTCCTACAAAGGTTTTGGACAGTGATTTTAACCCTAACGCCAAAAAACTTAAACCTTACCATAGCCCAAAACCTAATACCCGGGTATTACTTTCAGGAAGCCCGAAAACCCCCAATAATATTTTTTTCTTTTTTCATACTTTTTGGTCTAACTAACTCCAAAAGGTTGGAAAAGAGTTCCTACAAAGGTTTTGGACAGTGATTTTAACCCTAATGCCAAAAAACTTAAACCTTACCCTAGCCTTAAAACCTAATACCCGGGTATTACATTCAGGAACCCCGAAAACCCCAAATATTGTTTTTTCATTTTTCATTTTTTTTGGTCTAACTAACTCCAAAAGGTTGGAAAAGAGTTCCTACAAAGGTTTTGGACAGTGATTTTAACCCTAACGCCAAAAAACTTAAACCTTTCCCTGGCCTTAAAATCTAATACCCGGGTATTACATTCAGGAAGCCCGTAAACCCCAAATATTTTTTTTTTCATTTTTCATTTTTTTTTTGGTCTAACTAACTCTAAAAGGTTTAAAAAGAGTTCCTACAAAGGTTTTGGACAGTGATTTTAACCCTAACGCCAAAAACCTTAAACCTTACCATAGCCCCATAACCTAATACTACTACTACTTTTAGGAAGCCTGAACACCCCAAATATATTTTTTTTAATTTTTCTTTTTTTTTTGGTCTAACTAACTCCAAAAGGTTGGAAAAGAGTTCCTACAAAGGTTTTGGACAGTGATTTTAACCCTAACGCCAAAACCCTTAAACCTTTCCCTAGTCCCAAAACCTAATACACGGGTATTACTTTCAGGAAGCCCGAAAACCCCCAATATTTTTTTTTTCATTTTTCTTTTTTTTTTTGGTCTAACTAACTCCAAAAGGTTGGAAAAGAGTTCCTACAAAGGTTTTGGACAGTGATTTTAACCCTAACGCCAAAAAACTTAAACCTTACCATAGCCCCATAACCTAATACCCGGGTATTACTTTTAGGAAGCCTGAACACCCCAAATATTTTTTTTTCATTTTTCTTTTTTTTTTTGGTCTAACTAACTCCAAAAGGTTGGAAAAGAGTTCCTACAAAGGTTTTGGACAGTGATTTTAACCCTAACGCCAAAAAACTTAAACCTTACCATAGCCCCAAACCTAATACCCGGGTATTACTTTCAGGAAGCCCGAAAACCCCCAATAATATTTTTTCTTTTTTCATTTTTTTGGTCTAACTAACTCCAAAAGGTTGGAAAAGAGTTCCTACAAAGGTTTTGGACAGTGATTATAACCCTAACGCCAAAAAACTTAAACCTTACCCTAGCCTTAAAATCTAGTACCCGGGTATTACGTTCAGGAACCCCGAAAACCCCAAATATTGTTTTTTCATTTTTCATTTTTTTTTGGTCTAACTAACTCCAAAAGGTTGGAAAAGAGTTCCTACAAAGGTTTTGGACAGTGATTTTAACCCTAACGCCAAAAAACTTAAACCTTTCCCTGGCCTTAAAATCTAATACCCGGGTATTACATTCAGGAAGCCCGTAAACCCCAAATATTTTTTTTTTCATTTTTCATTTTTTTTTTGGTCTAACTAACTCCAAAAGGTTGAAAAAGAGTTCCTACAAAGGTTTTGGACAGTGATTTTAACCCTAACGCCAAAAACCTTAAACCTTACCATAGCCCCATAACCTAATACCCGGGTATTACTTTTAGGAAGCCTGAACACCCCAAATATATTTTTTTTAATTTTTCTTTTTTTTTTTGGTCTAACTAACTCCAAAAGGTTGGAAAAGAGTTCCTACAAAGGTTTTGGACAGTGATTTTAACCATAATGCCAAAACCCTTAAACCTTTCCCTAGTCCCAAAACCTAATACACGGGTATTACTTTCAGGGAGCCCGAAAACCCCCAAATATTTTTTTTTTCATTTTTCTTTTTTTTTTTTGGTCTAACTAACTCCAAAAGGTTGGAAAAGAGTTCCTACAAAGGTTTTGGACAGTGATTTTAACCCTAACGCCAAAAAACTTAAACCTTACCATAGCCCCATAACCTAATACCCGGGTATTACTTTTAGGAAGCCTGAACACCCCAAATATTTTTTTTTCATTTTTCTTTTTTTTTTGGTCTAACTAACTCCAAAAGGTTGGAAAAGAGTTCCTACAAAGGTTTTGGACAGGGATTTTAACCCTAACGCCAAAAAACTTAAACCTTACCATAGCCCCAAACCTAATACCCGGGTATTACTTTCAGGGAGCCCGAAAACCCCCAATAATATTTTTTTCTTTTTTCATATTTTTTTGGTCTAACTAACTCCAAAAGGTTGGAAAAGAGTTCCTACAAAGGTTTTGGACAGTGATTTTAACCCTAACGCCAAAAAACTTAAACCTTACCATAGCCCCAAAACCTAATACCCGGGTATTACTTTCAGGGAGCCCGAAAACCCCCAATAATATTTTTTTCTTTTTTCATACTTTTTGGTCTAACTAACTCCAAAAGGTTGGAAAAGAGTTCCTACAAAGGTTTTGGACAGTGATTTTAACCCTAACGCCAAAAACCTTAAACCTTACCCTAGCCTTAAAATCTAATACCGGGGTATTACCTTCAGGAAGCCCGAACACCCCAAATATTTTTTTGTTCATTTTACATTTTTTTTGGTGTAACTAACTCCAAAAGGTTGGAAAAGAGTTCCTACAAAGGTTTTGGACAGTGATTTTAACCCTAACGCCAAAAAACTTAAACCTTACCCTAGCCTTAAAATCTAATACCCGGGTATTACATTCAGGAAGCCCGAAAACCCCAAATATATATTTTTTCATTTTTCTTTTTTTTTTTGGTTTAACTAACTCCAAAAGGTTGGAAAAGAGTTCCTACAAAGGTTTTGGACAGTGATTTTAACCCTAACGCCAAAAAACTTAAACCTTACCCTAGCCTTAAAATCTAATACCCGGGTATTACCTTCAGGAAGCCCGAACACCCCAAATATTTTTTTTTCATTTTACATTTTTTTTGGTTTAACTAACTCCAAAAGGTTGGAAAAGAGTTCCTACAAAGGTTTTGGACAGTGATTTTAAACCTAACGCCAAAAAACATAAACCTTACCCTAGCCTTAAAATCTAATACCCAGGTATTACATTCAGGAAGCCCGAAAACCCCAAATAATATTTTTTTTCATTTTTCATTTTTTTTTTTGGTCTAACTAACTCCAAAAGGTTGGAAAAGAGTTCCTACAAAGGTTTTGGACAGTGATTTTAACCCTAACGCCAAAAAACTTAAACCTTACCCTAGCCACAAAACCTAATACCTGGGTATTACTTTTAGGAAGCCTGAACTCCCCAAATATTTTTTTTTCATTTTTCTTTTTTTTTTGGTCTAACTAACTCCAAAAGGTTGGAAAAGAGTTCCTACAAAGGTTTTGGACAGTGATTTTAACCCTAACGCCAAAAACCTTAAACCTTTCCCCAGTCCCAAAACCTAATACCTGGGTATTACCTTCAGGAAGCCCGAAAACCCCCAATAATATTTTTTTCTTTTTTCATATTTTTTGGTCTAACTAACTCCAAAAGGTTGGAAAAGAGTTCCTACAAAGGTTTTGGACAGTGATTTTAACCCTAACGCCAAAAAACTTAAACCTTTCCCTGGCCTTAAAATCTAATAACCGGGTATTACATTCAGGAAGCCCGTAAACCCCAAATATTTTTTTTTTCATTTTTCATTTTTTTTTTGGTCTAACTAACTCCAAAAGGTTGAAAAAGAGTTCCTACAAAGGTTTTGGACAGTGATTTTAAACCTAACGCCAAAACATTAAACCTTACCATAGCCCCAAAACCTAATACGTATTACTTTTAGGAAGCCTGAACACCCCAAATATTTTTTTTTCATTTTTCTTTTTTTTTTTGGTCTAACTAACTCCAAAAGGTTGGAAAAGAGTTCCTACAAAGGTTTTGGACAGTGATTTTAACCCTAACGCCAAAAAACTTAAACCTTACCATAGCCCCAAAACCTAATACCCGGGTATTACTTTCAGGAAGCCCGAAAACCCCCAATAATATTTTTTTCTTTTTTCATTTTTTTTGGTCTAACTAACTCCAAAAGGTTGGAAAAGAGTTCCTACAAAGGTTTTGGACAGTGATTTTAACCCTAACGCCAAAAACTTAAACCTTACCATAGCCCCAAAACCTAATACTCGGGTATTACATTCAGGAAGCCCGTAAACAGTGATTTTAACCCTAACGCCAAAAAACTTAAACCTTTCCCTGGCCTTAAAATCTAATACCCGGGTATTACATTCAGGAAGCCCGTAAACCCCAAATATTTTTTTTTTCATTTTTCATTTTTTTTTTGGTCTAACTAACTCCAAAAGGTTGAAAAAGAGTTCCTACAAAGGTTTTGGACAGTGATTTTAACCCTAACGCCAAAACCTTAAACCTTACCATAGCCCCATAACCTAATACCCGGGTATTACTTTTAGGAAGCCTGAACACCCCAAATATTTTTTTTTCATTTTTCTTTTTTTTTTGGTCTAACTAACTCCAAAAGGTTGGAAAAGAGTTCCTACAAAGGTTTTGGACAGTGATTTTAACCCTAACGCCAAAACCCTTAAACCTTTCCCTAGTCCCAAAACCTAATACCCGGGTATTACTTTCAGGGAGCCCGAAAACCCCCAATAATATTTTTTTCTTTTTTCATATTTTTTGGTCTAACTAACTCCAAAAGGTTGGAAAAGAGTTCCTACAAAGGTTTTGGACAGTGATTTTAACCCTAACGCCAAAAACCTTAAACCTTACCCTAGCCTTGAAATGTAATACCCGGGTATTACCTTCAGGAAGCCTGAACACCCCAAATATTTTTTTTCATTTTACATTTTTGTTGGTGTAACCAACTCCAAAAGGTTGGAAAAGAGTTCCTACAAAGGTTTTGGACAGTGATTTTAACCCTAATGCCAAAAAACTTAAACCTTACCCTAGCCTCAAAATCTAATACCCGGGTATTACATTCAGGAACCCCGAAAACCCCAAATATTGTTTTTTAATTTTTCATTTTTTTTTTGGTTTAACTAACTCCAAAAGGTTGGAAAAGAGTTCCTACAAAGGTTTTGGACAGTGATTTTAACCCTAACGCCAAAAAACTTAAACCTTACCCTAGCCTTAAAATCTAATACCCGGGTATTACCTTCAGGAAGCCCGAACACCCCAAATATTTTTTTTTCATTTTACATTTTTTTTGGTCTAACTAACTCCAAAAGGTTGGAAAAGAGTTCCTACAAAGGTTTTGGACAGTGATTTCAACCCTAACGCCAAAAAACTTAAACCTTACCCTAGCTTTATAATCTAACACACGGGTATTACGTTCAGGAAGCCCGAAAAACCCCAAATATATATTTTTTCATTTTTCTTTTTTTTTTGGTCTAACTAACTCCAAAAGGTTGGAAAAGAGTTCCTACAAAGGTTTTGGACAGTGATTTTAACCCTAACGCCAAAAAACTTAAACCTTACCCTCGCCTTAAAATCTAATACCCGGGTATTACATTCAGGAAGCCCGAAAACCCCAAATATTTTTTTTTCATTTTTCATTTTTTTTGGTCTAACTAACTCCAAAAGGTTGGAAAAGAGTTCCTACAAAGGTTTTGGACAGTGATTTTAACCCTAACGCCAAAAAACTTAAACCTTACCCTAGCCCCAAAACCTAATACCCGGGTATTACTTTCAGGAAGCCTGAAAACCCCAAATATTTTTTTTTCATTTTTCTTTTTTTTTTGGTCTAACTAACTCCAAAAGGTTGGAAAAGAGTTCCTACAAAGGTTTTGGACAGTGATTTTAACCCTAACGCCAAAAACCTTAAACCTTTCCCCAGTCCCAAAACCTAATACCCGGGTATTACCTTCAGGAAGCCCGAAAACCCCCAATAATATTTTTTTCTTTTTTCATATTTTTTGGTCTAACTAACTCCAAAAGGTTGGAAAAGAGTTCCTACAAAGGTTTTGGACAGTGATTTTAACCCTAACGCCAAAAAACTTAAACCTTTCCCTGGCCTTAAAATCTAATACCCGGGTATTACATTCAGGAAGCCCGTAAAACCCCAAATATTTTTTTTTTCATTTTTCATTTTTTTTTTGGTCTAACTAACTCCAAAAGGTTGAAAAAGAGTTCCTACAAAGGTTTTGGACAGTGATTTTAACCCTAACGCCAAAAAACTTAAACCTTACCATAGCCCCAAAACCTAATACCCGGGTATTACTTTTAGGAAGCCTGAACACCCCAAATATTTTTTTTTCATTTTTCTTTTTTTTTTTGGTCTAACTAACTCCAAAAGGTTGGAAAAGAGTTCCTACAAAGGTTTTGGACAGTGATTTTAACCCTAACGCCAAAAAACTTAAACCTTACCATAGCCCCAAAACCTAATACCCGGGTATTACTTTCAGGGAGCCCGAAAACCCCCAATAATATTTTTTTCTTTTTTCATATTTTTTGGTCTAACTAACTCCAAAAGGTTGGAAAAGAGTTCCTACAAAGGTTTTGGACAGTGATTTTAACCCTAACGCCAAAAAACTTAAACCTTACCATAGCCCCAAAACCTAATACTCGGGTATTACATTCAGGAAGCCCGTAAACAGTGATTTTAACCCTAACGCCAAAAAACTTAAACCTTTCCCTGGCCTTAAAATCTAATACCCGGGTATTACATTCAGGAAGCCCGTAAACCCCAAATATTTTTTTTTTCATTTTTCATTTTTTTTTTGGTCTAACTAACTCTAAAAGGTTGTTAAAGAGTTCCTACAAAGGTTTTGGACAGTGATTTTAACCCTAACGCCAAAACGTTAAACCTTACCATAGCCCCATAACCTAATACCTGGGTATTACTTTTAGGAAGCCTGAACACCCCAAATATTTTTTTTTCATTTTTCTTTTTTTTTTTTTTGGTCTAACTAACTCCAAAAGGTTGGAAAAGAGTTCCTACAAAGGTTTTGGACAGTGATTTTAACCCTAACGCCAAAACCCTTAAACCTTTCCCTAGTCCCAAAACCTAATACCCGGGTATTACTTTCAGGGAGCCCGAAAACCCCCAATAATTTTTTTTTCTTTTTTCATTTTTTTTGGTCTAACTAACTCCAAAAGGTTGGAAAAGAGTTCCTACAAAGGTTTTGGACAGTGATTTTAACCCTAACGCCAAAAACCTTAAACCTTACCCTAGCCTTGAAATGTAATACCCGGGTATTACCTTCAGGAAGCCTGAACACCCCAAATATTTTTTCTTCATTTTACATTTCTGTTGGTGTAACCAACTCCAAAAGGTTGGAAAAGAGTTCCTACAAAGGTTTTGGACAGTGATTTTAACCCTAACGCCAAAAAACTTAAACCTTACCCTAGCCTCAAAATCTAATACCCGGGTATTACATTCAGGAACCCCGAAAACCCCAAATATTGTTTTTTAATTTTTCATTTTTTTTTTGGTCTAACTAACTCCAAAAGGTTGGAAAAGAGTTCCTACAAAGGTTTTGGACAGTGATTTTAACCCTAACGCCAAAAAACTTAAACCTTACCCTAGCCTTAAAATCTAATACCCGGGTATTACCTTCAGGAAGCCCGAACACCCCAAATATTTTTTTTTCATTTTACATTTTTTTGGTCTAACTAACTCCAAAAGGTTGGAAAAGAGTTCCTACAAAGGTTTTGGACAGTGATTTTAACCCTTACGCCAAAAAACTTAAACCTTACCCTAGCCTTAAAATCTAATACCCGGGTATTACATTCAGGAAGCCCGAAAACCCCAAATATATATTTTTTAATTTTTCTTTTTTTTTTTGTTTAACTAACTCCAAAAGGTTGGAAAAGAGTTCCTACAAAGGTTTTGGACAGTGATTTTAACCCTAACGCCAAAAAACATTAAACCTTACCCTCGCCTTTAAATCTAATACCCAGGTATTACATTCAGGAAGCCCGAAAACCCCAAATATATATTTTTTCTCATTTTTCATTTTTTTTTGGTCTAACTAACTCCAAAAGGTTGGAAAAGAGTTCCTACAAAGGTTTTGGACAGTGATTTTAACCCTAACGCCAAAAAACTTAAACCTTACCCTAGCCCCAAACCTAATACCTGGGTATTACTTTTAGGAAGCCTGAACACCCCAAATATTTTTTTTTCATTTTTCTTTTTTTTTGGTCTAACTAACTCCAAAAGGTTGGAAAAGAGTTCCTACAAAGGTTTTGGACAGTGATTTTAACCCTAACGCCAAAAACATTAAACCTTTCCCTAGTCCCAAAACCGAATCCCTGGGTATTACTTTCAGGGAGCCCGAAAACCCCCAATAATATTTTTTTCTTTTTTCATATTTTTTGGTCTAACTAACTCCAAAAGGTTGGAAAAGAGTTCCTACAAAGGTTTTGGACAGTGATTTTAACCCTAACGCCAAAAAAATTAAACCTTTCCCTGGCCTTAAAATCTAATGCCCGGGTATTACATTCAGGAAGCCCGTAAACCCCAAATATTTTTTTTTTCATTTTTCATTTTTTTTTTTTTGGTCTAACTAACTCCAAAAGGTTGAAAAAGAGTTCCTACAAAGGTTTTGGACAGTGATTTTAACCCTAACGCCAAAAAGTTAAACCTTACCATAGCCCCATAATCTAATATTCGGGTATTACTTTCAGGAAGCCTGAACACCCCAAATATTTTTTATTCATTTCTCTTTTTTTTTTGGTCTAACTAACTCCAAAAGGTTGGAAAAGAGTTCCTACAAAGGTTTTGGACAGTGATTTTAACCCTAACGCCAAAAAACTTAAACCTTACCATAGCCCCAAAACCTAATACCCGGGTATTACTTTCAGGAAGCCCGAAAACCCCCAATAATATTTTTTTCTTTTTTCATACTTTTTGGTCTAACTAACTCCAAAAGGTTGGAAAAGAGTTCCTACAAAGGTTTTGGACAGTGATTTTAACCCTAACGCCAAAAAACTTAAACCTTACCCTAGCCTTAAAATCTAATACCCGGGTATTACATTCAGGAAGCCCGAAAACCCCAAATATTTTTTTTCATTTTTCATTTTTTTTGGTCTAACTAACTCCAAAAGGTTGGAAAAGAGTTCCTACAAAGGTTTTGGACAGTGATTTTAACCCTAACGCCAAAAAACTTAAACCTTTCCCTGGCCTTAAAATCTAATACCCGGGTATTACATTCAGGAAGCCCGTAAACCCCAAATATTTTTTTTTTCATTTTTCATTTTTTTTTGGTCTAACTAACTCCAAAAGGTTGGAAAAGAGTTCCTACAAAGGTTTTGGACAGTGATTTTAACCCTAACGCCAAAAACTTAAACCTTACCATAGCCCCATAACCTAATACCCGGGTATTACTTTTAGGAAGCCCGAACACCCCAAATATATTTTTTTTCATTTTTCTTTTTTTTTTGGTCTAACTAACTCCAAAAGGTTGGAAAAGAGTTCCTACAAAGGTTTTGGACAGTGATTTTAACCCTAACGCCAAAAAACTTAAACCTTTCCCTAGTCCCAAAACCTAATACACGGGTATTACTTTCAGGGAGCCCGAAAACCCCCAATATTTTTTTTTTCATTTTTCTTTTTTTTTTGGTCTAACTAACTCCAAAAGGTTGGAAAAGAGTTCCTACAAAGGTTTTGGACAGTGATTTTAACCCTAACGCCAAAAAACTTAAACCTTACCATAGCCCCAAAACCTAATACCCGGGTATTACTTCAGGGAGCCCGAAAACCCCAAATATTTTTTTTTCATTTTTCATTTTTTTTTTGGTCTAACTAACTCCAAAAGGTTGGAAAAGAGTTCCTACAAAGGTTTTGGACAGTGATTTTAACCCTAACGCCAAAAAACTTAAACCTTACCATAGCCCCATAACCTAATACCCGGGTATTACTTTCAGGAAGCCCGAACACCCCAAATATATTTTTTTTCATTTTTCTTTTTTTTTTGGTCTAACTAACTCCAAAAGGTTGGAAAAGAGTTCCTACAAAGGTTTTGGACAGTGATTTTAACCCTAACGCCAAAACCCTTAAACCTTTCCCTAGTCCCAAAACCTAATACCCGGGTATTACTTTCAGGAAGCCCGAAAACCCCAAATATTTTTTTTTTCATTTTTCTTTTTTTTTGGTCTAACTAACTCCAAAAGGTTGGAAAAGAGTTCCTACAAAGGTTTTGGACAGTGATTTTAAACCTAACGCCAAAAACCTTAAACCTTACCATAGCCCCATAACCTAATACCCGGGTATTACTTTCAGGAAGCCCGAACACCCCAAATATTTTTTTTTTCATTTTTCTTTTTTTTTTTGGTCTAACTAACTCCAAAAGGTTGGAAAAGAGTTCCTACAAAGGTTTTGGACAGTGATTTTAACCCTAACGCCAAAAAACTTAAACCTTACCATAGCCCCAAAACCTAATACCCGGGTATTACATTCAGGAAGCCCGAAAACCCCCAATAATATTTTTTTCTTTTTTCATATTTTTTGGTCTAACTAACTCCAAAAGGTTGGAAAAGAGTTCCTACAAAGGTTTTGGACAGTGATTTTAACCCTAACGCCAAAAAACTTAAACCTTACCATAGCCCCAAAACCTAATACCCGGGTATTACTTTCAGGGAGCCCGAAAACCCCCAATAATATTTTTTTTTTTTCATACTTTTTGGTCTAACTAACTCCAAAAGGTTGGAAAAGAGTTCCTACAAAGGTTTTGGACAGTGATTTTAACCCTAACGCCAAAAACCTTAAACCTTACCCTAGCCTTAAAATCTAATACCGGGGTATTACCTTCAGGAAGCCCGAACACCCCAAATATTTTTTTTTCATTTTTCATTTTTTTTGGTCTAACTAACTCCAAAAGGTTGGAAAAGAGTTCCTACAAAGGTTTTGGACAGTGATTTTAACCCTAACGCCAAAAAACTTAAACCTTACCATAGTCCCAAAACCTAATACCCGGGTATTACTTTCAGGAAGCCCGAAAACCCCCAATAATATTTTTTTCTTTTTTCATACTTTTTGGTCTAACTAACTCCAAAAGGTTGGAAAAGAGTTCCTACAAAGGTTTTGGACAGTGATTTTAACCCTAACGCCAAAAAACTTAAACCTTACCCTAGCCTTAAAATCTAATACCCGGGTATTACCTTCAGGAAGCCCGAACACCCCAAATATTTTTTTTTCATTTTACATTTTTTTTGGTGTAACCAACTCCAAAAGGTTGGAAAAGAGTTCCTACAAAGGTTTTGGACAGTGATTTTAACCCTAACGCCAAAAAACTTAAACCTTACCCTAGCCTTAAAATCTAATACCCGGGTATTACATTCAGGAAGCCCAAAAAACCCCAAATATATATTTTTTAATTTTTCTTTTTTTTTTTGGTTTAACTAACTCCAAAAGGTTGGAAAAGAGTTCCTACAAAGGTTTTGGACAGTGATTTTAACCCTAACGCCAAAAAACATAAACCTTACCCTCGCCTTAAAATCTAATACCCAGGTATTACATTCAGGAAGCCCGAAAACCCCAAATATATATTTTTTCATTTTTCATATTTTTTTGGTCTATCTAATTCCAAAAGGTTGGAAAAGTGTTCCTACAAAGGTTTTGGACAGTGATTTTAACCCTAATGCCAAAAAACTTAAACCTTACCCTAGCCCAAAACCTAATACCTGGGTATTACTTTTAGGAAGCCTGAACACCCCAAATATTTTTTTTTCATTTTTCTTTTTTTTTTGGTCTAACTAACTCCAAAAGGTTGGAAAAGAGTTCCTACAAAGGTTTTGGACAGTGATTTTAACCCTAACGCCAAAAACCTTAAACCTTTCCCCAGTCCCAAAACCTAATACCTGGGTATTACCTTCAGGAAGCCCGAAAACCCCCAATAATATTTTTTTCTTTTTTCATATTTTTTGGTCTAACTAACTCCAAAAGGTTGGAAAAGAGTTCCTACAAAGGTTTTGGACAGTGATTTTAACCCTAACGCCAAAAAACTTAAACCTTTCCCTAGCCTTAAAATCTAATACCCGGGTATTACATTCAGGAAGCCCGAAAACCCCAAATATTTTTTTTTTCATTTTTCATTTTTTTTTTGGTCTAACTAACTCCAAAAGGTTGGAAAAGAGTTCCTACAAAGGTTTTGGACAGTGATTTTAACCCTAACGCCAAAAACCTTAAACCTTACCATAGCCCCAAAACCTAATACCCGGGTATTACTTTTAGGAAGCCTGAACACCCCAAATATTTTTTTTTCATTTTTCTTTTTTTTTTTGGTCTAACTAACTCCAAAAGGTTGGAAAAGAGTTCCTACAAAGGTTTTGGACAGTGATTTTAACCCTAACGCCAAAACTTAAACCTTACCATAGCCCCAAAACCTAATACCCGGGTATTACTTTCAGGTAGCCCGAAAACCCCCAATAATATTTTTTTCTTTTTTCATATTTTTTGGTCTAACTAACTCCAAAAGGTTGGAAAAGAGTTCCTACAAAGGTTTTGGACAGTGATTTTAACCCTAACGCCAAAAAACTTAAACCTTACCATAGCCCCAAAACCTAATACTCGGGTATTACATTCAGGAAGCCCGTAAACAGTGATTTTAACCCTAACGCCAAAAAACTTAAACCTTTCCCTGGCCTTAAAATCTAATACCCGGGTATTACATTCAGGAAGCCCGTAAACCCCAAATATTTTTTTTTTCATTTTTCATTTTTTTTGGTCTAACTAACTCCAAAAGGTTGAAAAACAGTTCCTACAAAGGTTTTGGACAGTGATTTTAACCCTAACGCCAAAAACCTTAAACCTTACCATAGCCCCATGACCTAATACCCGGGTATTACTTTTAGGAAGCCTGAACATCCCAAATATATATTTTTTTAATTTTTCATTTTTTTTTGGTCTAACTAACTCCAAAAGGTTGGAAAAGAGTTCCTACAAAGGTTTTGGACAGTGATTTTAACCCTAACGCCAAAAAACTTAAACCTTACCCTCGCCTTAAAATCTAATACCCAGGTATTACATTCAGGAAGCCCGAAAACCCCAAATATATATTTTTTCATTTTTCATATTTTTTTGGTTTATCTAATTCCAAAAGGTTGGAAAAGTGTTCCTACAAAGGTTTTGGACAGGGATTTTAACCCTAACGCCAAAAAACTTAAACCTTACCCTAGCCACAAAACCTAATACCTGGGTATTACTTTTAGGAAGCCTGAACTCCCCAAATATTTTTTTTTCATTTTTCTTTTTTTTTTTGGTCTAACTAACTCCAAAAGGTTGGAAAAGAGTTCCTACAAAGGTTTTGGACAGTGATTTTAACCCTAACGCCAAAAACCTTAAACCTTTCCCCAGTCCCAAAACCTAATACCCGGGTATTACCTTCAGGAAGCCCGAAAACCCCCAATAATATTTTTTTCTTTTTTCATTTTTTTTGGTCTAACTAACTCCAAAAGGTTGGAAAAGAGTTCCTACAAAGGTTTTGGACAGTGATTTTAACCCTAACGCCAAAAAACTTAAACCTTTCCCTAGCCTTAAAATCTAATACCCGGGTATTACATTCAGGAAGCCCGAAAACCCCAAATATTTTTTTTTCATTTTTCATTTTTTTTTGGTCTAACTAACTCCAAAAGGTTGGAAAAGAGTTCCTACAAAGGTTTTGGACAGTGATTTTAACCCTAACGCCAAAAAACTTAAACCTTACCATAGCCCCAAAACCTAATACCCGGGTATTACTTTTAGGAAGCCTGAACACCCCAAATATTTTTTTTCATTTTTCTTTTTTTTTTTGGTCTAACTAACTCCAAAAGGTTGGAAAAGAGTTCCTACAAAGGTTTTGGACAGTGATTTTAACCCTAACGCCAAAAAACTTAAACCTTACCATAGCCCCAAAACCTAATACCCGGGTATTACTTTCAGGGAGCCCGAAAACCCCCAATAATATTTTTTTCTTTTTTCATATTTTTTGGTCTAACTAACTCCAAAAGGTTGGAAAAGAGTTCCTACAAAGGTTTTGGACAGTGATTTTAACCCTAACGCCAAAAAACTTAAACCTTACCATAGCCCCAAAACCTAATACCCGGGTATTACATTCAGGAAGCCCGTAAACAGTGATTTTAACCCTAACGCCAAAAAACTTAAACCTTTCCCTGGCCTTAAAATCTAATACCCGGGTATTACATTCAGGAAGCCCGAAAACCCCAAATATTTTTTTTTTCATTTTTCATTTTTTTTTTTGGTCTAACTAACTCCAAAAGGTTGGAAAAGAGTTCCTACAAAGGTTTTGGACAGTGATTTTAACCCTAACGCCAAAAACCTTAAACCTTACCATAGCCCCATGACCTAATACCCGGGTATTACTTTTAGGAAGCCTGAACATCCCAAATATATATTTTTTTAATTTTTCATTTTTTTTTGGTCGAACTAAATCCAAAAGGTTGTTAAAGAGTTCCTACAAAGGTTTTGGACAGTGATTTTAAACCTAACGCCAAAACGTTAAACCTTACCATAGCCCCATAACCTAATTCCTGGGTATTACTTTTAGGAAGCCTGAACACCCCAAATATTTTTTTTTCATTTTTCTTTTTTTTTTGGTCTAACTAACTCCAAAAGGTTGGAAAAGAGTTCCTACAAAGGTTTTGGACAGTGATTTTAACCCTAACGCCAAAACCCTTAAACCTTTCCCTAGTCCCAAAACCTAATACACGGGTATTACTTTCAGGGAGCCCGAAAACCCCCAATAATATTTTTTTCTTTTTTCATACTTTTTGGTCTAACTAACTCCAAAAGGTTGGAAAAGAGTTCCTACAAAGGTTTTGGACAGTGATTTTAACCCTAACGCCAAAAAACTTAAACCTTACCCTAGCCTTAAAATCTAATACCCGGGTATTACCTTCAGGAAGCCCGAACACCCCAAATATTTTTTTGTTCATTTTACATTTTTGTTGGTGTAACCAACTCCAAAAGGTTGGAAAAGAGTTCCTACAAAGGTTTTGGACAGTGATTTTAACCCTAACGCCAAAAAACTTAAACCTTACCCTAGCCTTAAAATCTAATACCCGGGTATTACATTCAGGAAGCCCAAAAAACCCCAAATATATATTTTTTAATTTTTCTTTTTTTTTTTGGTTTAACTAACTCCAAAAGGTTGGAAAAGAGTTCCTACAAAGGTTTTGGACAGTGATTTTAACCCTAACGCCAAAAAACTTAAACCTTACCCTCGCCTTAAAATCTAATACCCAGGTATTACATTCAGGAAGCCCGAAAACCCCAAATATTTTTTTTTCATTTTTCATATTTTTTTGGTCTAACTAACTCCAAAAGGTTGGAAAAGAGTTCCTACAAAGGTTTTGGACAGTGATTTTAACCCTAACGCCAAAAAACTTAAACCTTACCCTAGCCACAAAACCTAATACCTGGGTATTACTTTTAGGAAGCCTGAACTCCCCAAATATTTTTTTTTCATTTTTCTTTTTTTTTTGGTCTAACTAACTCCAAAAGGTTGGAAAAGAGTTCCTACAAAGGTTTTGGACAGTGATTTTAACCCTAACGCCAAAAACCTTAAACCTTTCCCCAGTCCCAAAACCTAATACCTGGGTATTACCTTCAGGAAGCCCGAAAACCCCCAATAATATTTTTTTCTTTTTTCATATTTTTTGGTCTAACTAACTCCAAAAGGTTGGAAAAGAGTTCCTACAAAGGTTTTGGACAGTGATTTTAACCCTAACGCCAAAAAACTTAAACCTTTCCCTGGCCTTAAAATCTAATACCCGGGTATTACATTCAGGAAGCCCGTAAACCCCAAATAATTTTTTTTTCATTTTTCATTTTTTTTTTTGGTCTAACTAACTCCAAAAGGTTGGAAAAGAGTTCCTACAAAGGTTTTGGACAGTGATTTTAACCCTAACGCCAAAAACCTTAAACCTTACCATAGCCCCATAACCTAATACCCGGGTATTACTTTTAGGAAGCCTGAACACCCCAAATATATTTTTTTCTTTTTCATTTTTTTTTGGTCTAACTAACTCCAAAAGGTTGGAAAAGAGTTCCTACAAAGGTTTTGGACAGTGATTTTAACCCTAACGCCAAAAAACTTAAACCTTACCATAGCCCCAAAACCTAATACCCGGGTATTACTTTCAGGGAGCCCGAAAACCCCAAATAATATTTTTTTCTTTTTTCATATTTTTTGGTCTAACTAACTCCAAAAGGTTGGAAAAGAGTTCCTACAAAGGTTTTGGACAGTGATTTTAACCCTAACGCCAAAAAACTTAAACCTTACCATAGCCCCAAAACCTAATACCCGGGTATTACATTCAGGAAGCCCGTAAACAGTGATTTTAACCCTAACGCCAAAAAACTTAAACCTTTCCCTGGCCTTAAAATCTAATACCCGGGTATTACATTCAGGAAGCCCGTAAACCCCAAATATTTTTTTTTTCATTTTTCATTTTTTTTTTGGTCTAACTAACTCCAAAAGGTTGAAAAAGAGTTCCTACAAAGGTTTTGGACAGTGATTTTAACCCTAACGCCAAAAACCTTAAACCTTACCATAGCCCCATGACCTAATACCCGGGTATTACTTTCAGGAAGCCTGAACACCCCAAATATATTTTTTTTAATTTTTCATTTTTTTTTGGTCTAACTAAATCCAAAAGGTTGTTAAAGAGTTCCTACAAAGGTTTTGGACAGTGATTTTAAACCTAACGCCAAAACGTTAAACCTTACCATAGCCCCATAACCTAATTCCTGGGTATTACTTTTAGGAAGCCTGAACACCCCAAATATTTTTTTTTTCATTTTTCTTATTTTTTGGTCTAACTAACTCCAAAAGGTTGGAAAAGAGTTCCTACAAAGGTTTTGGACAGTGATTTTAACCCTAACGCCAAAAAACTTAAACCTTTCCCTAGTCCCAAAACCTAATACACGGGTATTACTTTCAGGAAGCCCGAAAACCCCCAATAATATTTTTTTCTTTTTTCATATTTTTTGGTCTAACTAACTCCAAAAGGTTGGAAAAGAGTTCCTACAAAGGTTTTGGACAGTGATTTTAACCCTAACGCCAAAAACCTTAAACCTTACCCTAGCCTTGAAATGTAATACCCGGGTATTACCTTCAGGAAGCCTGAACACCCCAAATATTTTTTCTTCATTTTACATTTCTGTTGGTGTAACCAACTCCAAAAGGTTGGAAAAGAGTTCCTACAAAGGTTTTGGACAGTGATTTTAACCCTAATGCCAAAAAACTTAAACCTTACCCTAGCCTCAAAATCTAATACCCGGGTATTACATTCAGGAACCCCGAAAACCCCAAATATTGTTTTTTAATTTTTCATTTTTTTTTGGTCTAACTAACTCCAAAAGGTTGAAAAAGAGTTCCTACAAAGGTTTTGGACAGTGATTTTAACCCTAACGCCAAAAACTTAAACCTTACCATAGCCCCAAAACCTAATACCCGGGTATTACTTTCAGGGAGCCCGAAAACCCCCAATAATATTTTTTTCATTTTTCTTTTTTTTTTGGTCTAACTAACTCCAAAAGGTTGGAAAAGAGTTCCTACAAAGGTTTTGGACAGTGATTTTAACCCTAACGCCAAAAACTTTAAACCTTACCCTAGCCTTAAAATCTAATACCCAGGTATTACTTTCAGGAAGCCTGAACACCCCAAATATTTTTTTTTCATTTTTCATTTTTTTTTTGGTCTAACTAACTCCAAAAGGTTGGAAAAGAGTTCCTACAAAGGTTTTGGACAGTGATTTTAACCCTAACGCCAAAAACTTAAACCTTACCATAGCCCCATAACCTAATACGTATTACTTTTAGGAAGCCTGAACACCCCAATAATTTTTTTTAATTTTTCTTTTTTTTTTTGGTCTAACTAACTCCAAAAGGTTGGAAAAGAGTTCCTACAAAGGTTTTGGACAGTGATTTTAACCCTAATGCCAAAAAACTTAAACCTTACCATAGCCCCAAAACCTAATACCCGGGTATTACTTTCAGGGAGCCCGAAAACCCCCAATAATATTTTTTTCTTTTTTCATATTTTTTGGTCTAACTAACTCCAAAAGGTTGGAAAAGAGTTCCTACAAAGGTTTTGGACAGTGATTTTAACCCTAACGCCAAAAAACTTAAACCTTACCATAGCCCCAAAACCTAATACCCGGGTATTACTTTCAGGAAGCCCGAAAACCCCCAATAATATTTTTTTCTTTTTCATACTTTTTGGTCTAACTAACTCCAAAAGGTTGGAAAAGAGTTCCTACAAAGGTTTTGGACAGTGATTTTAACCCTAACGCCAAAAACCTTAAACCTTACCCTAGCCTTAAAATCTAATACCGGGGTATTACCTTCAGGAAGCCCGAACACCCCAAATATTTTTTTGTTCATTTTACATTTTTTTTGGTCTAACTAACTCCAAAAGGTTGGAAAAGAGTTCCTACAAAGGTTTTGGACAGTGATTTTAACCCTAACGCCAAAAAACTTAAACCTTACCATAGTCCCAAAACCTAATACCCGGGTATTACTTTCAGGAAGCCCGAAAACCCCCAATAATATTTTTTTCTTTTTTCATACTTTTTGGTCTAACTAACTCCAAAAGGTTGGAAAAGAGTTCCTACAAAGGTTTTGGACAGTGATTTTAACCCTAACGCCAAAAAACTTAAACCTTACCCTAGCCTTAAAATCTAATACCCGGGTATTACATTCAGGAAGCCCAAAAAACCCCAAATATATATTTTTTAATTTTTCTTTTTTTTTTTGGTTTAACTAACTCCAAAAGGTTGGAAAAGAGTTCCTACAAAGGTTTTGGACAGTGATTTTAACCCTAACGCCAAAAAACATAAACCTTACCCTCGCCTTAAAATCTAATACCCAGGTATTACATGCAGGAAGCCCGAAAACCCCAAATATATATTTTTTCTTTTTTCATATTTTTTTGGTCTAACTAACTCCAAAAGGTTGGAAAAGAGTTCCTACAAAGGTTTTGGACAGTGATTTTAACCCTAACGCCAAAAAACTTAAACCTTACCCTAGCCCCATAACCTAATACCCGGGTATTACTTTTAGGAAGCCTGAAAACCCCCAAATATTTTTTTTTCATTTTTCTTTTTTTTTTGGTCTAACTAACTCCAAAAGGTTGGAAAAGAGTTCCTACAAAGGTTTTGGACAGTGATTTTAACCCTAACGCCAAAAACCTTAAACCTTTCCCCAGTCCCAAAACCTAATACCTGGGTATTACCTTCAGGAAGCCCGAAAACCCCCAATAATATTTTTTTCTTTTTTCATATTTTTTGGTCTAACTAACTCCAAAAGGTTGGAAAAGAGTTCCTACAAAGGTTTTGGACAGTGATTTTAACCCTAACGCCAAAAAACTTAAACCTTTCCCTGGCCTTAAAATCTAATACCCGGGTATTACATTCAGGAAGCCCGAAACCCCAAATATTTTTTTTTTCATTTTTCATTTTTTTTTGGTCTAACTAACTCCAAAAGGTTGGAAAAGAGTTCCTACAAAGGTTTTGGACAGTGATTTTAAACCTAACGCCAAAAAACTTAAACCTTACCATAGCCCCAAAACCTAATACCCGGGTATTACTTTCAGGAAGCCTGAACACCCCAAATATTTTTTTTTCATTTTTCTTTTTTTTTTTGGTCTAACTAACTCCAAAAGGTTGGAAAAGAGTTCCTACAAAGGTTTTGGACAGTGATTTTAACCCTAACGCCAAAAAACTTAAACCTTACCATAGCCCCAAAACCTAATACCCGGGTATTACTTTCAGGGAACCCGAAAAACCCCAATAATATTTTTTTCTTTTTTCATATTTTTTGGTCTAACTAACTCCAAAAGGTTGGAAAAGAGTTCCTACAAAGGTTTTGGACAGTGATTTTAACCCTAACGCCAAAAAACTTAAACCTTACCATAGCCCCAAAACCTAATACTCGGGTATTACATTCAGGAAGCCCGTAAACAGTGATTTTAACCCTAACGCCAAAAAACTTAAACCTTTCCCTGGCCTTAAAATCTAATACCCGGGTATTACATTCAGGAAGCCCGTAAACCCCAAATATTTTTTTTTTCATTTTTCATTTTTTTTTTGGTCTAACTAACTCCAAAAGTTTGGAAAAGAGTTCCTACAAAGGTTTTGGACAGTGATTTTAACCCTAACGCCAAAAACCTTAAACCTTACCATAGCCCCATGACCTAATACCCGGGTATTACTTTTAGGAAGCCTGAACATCCCAAATATATATTTTTTTAATTTTTCATTTTTTTTTGGTCGAACTAAATCCAAAAGGTTGTTAAAGAGTTCCTACAAAGGTTTTGGACAGTGATTTTAAACCTAACGCCAAAACGTTAAACCTTACCATAGCCCCATAACCTAATTCCTGGGTATTACTTTTAGGAAGCCTGAACACCCCAAATATTTTTTTTTCATTTTTCTTTTTTTTTTTGGTCTAACTAACTCCAAAAGGTTGGAAAAGAGTTCCTACAAAGGTTTTGGACAGTGATTTTAACCCTAACGCCAAAACCCTTAAACCTTTCCCTAGTCCCAAAACCTAATACACGGGTATTACTTTCAGGGAGCCCGAAAACCCCCAATAATATTTTTTTCTTTTTTCATACTTTTTGGTCTAACTAACTCCAAAAGGTTGGAAAAGAGTTCCTACAAAGGTTTTGGACAGTGATTTTAACCCTAACGCCAAAAAACTTAAACCTTACCCTAGCCTTAAAATCTAATACCCGGGTATTACCTTCAGGAAGCCCGAACACCCCAAATATTTTTTTTTTCATTTTACATTTTTTTGGTGTAACTAACTCCAAAAGGTTGGAAAAGAGTTCCTACAAAGGTTTTGGACAGTGATTTTAACCCTAACGCCAAAAAACTTAAACCTTACCCTAGCCTTAAAATCTAATACCCGGGTATTACATTCAGGAAGCCCGAAAACCCCAAATATATATTTTTTCATTTTTCTTTTTTTTTTTTGGTTTAACTAACTCCAAAAGGTTGGAAAAGAGTTCCTACAAAGGTTTTGGACAGTGATTTTAACCCTAACGCCAAAAAACTTAAACCTTACCCTAGCCTTAAAACTAATACCCGGGTATTACATTCAGGAAGCCCGAAAACCCCAAATATATATTTTTTCATTTTTCATATTTTTTTTTTGGTTTAACTAACTCCAAAAGGTTGGAAAAGAGTTCCTACAAAGGTTTTGGACAGTGATTTTAACCCTAACGCCAAAAAACTTAAACCTTACCCTAGCCACAAAACCTAATACCTGGGTATTACTTTTAGGAAGCCCGTAAACCCCAAATATTTTTTTTTTCATTTTTCTTTTTTTTTTGGTCAAACTAACTCCAAAAGGTTGGAAAAGAGTTCCTACAAAGGTTTTGGACAGTGATTTTAACCCTAACGCCAAAAACCTTAAACCTTTCCCCAGTCCCAAAACCTAATACCTGGGTATTACCTTCAGGAAGCCCGAAAACCCCCAATAATATTTTTTTCTTTTTTCATATTTTTTGGTCTAACTAACTCCAAAAGGTTGGAAAAGAGTTCCTACAAAGGTTTTGGACAGTGATTTTAACCCTAACGCCAAAAAACTTAAACCTTTCCCTGGCCTTAAAATCTAATACCCGGGTATTACATTCAGGAAGCCCGTAAACCCCAAATATTTTTTTTTTCATTTTTCATTTTTTTTTTGGTCTAACTAACTCCAAAAGGTTGAAAAAGAGTTCCTACAAAGGTTTTGGACAGTGATTTTAACCCTAACGCCAAAAACCTTAAACCTTACCATAGCCCCATAACCTAATACCCGGGTATTACTTTTAGGAAGCCTGAACACCCCAAATATATTTTTTTATTTTTCATTTTTTTTTGGTCTAACTAACTCCAAAAGGTTGGAAAAGAGTTCCTACAAAGGTTTTGGACAGTGATTTTAACCCTAACGCCAAAAAACTTAAACCTTACCATAGCCCCAAAACCTAATACCCGGGTATTACTTTCAGGGAGCCCGAAAACCCCAAATAATATTTTTTTCTTTTTTCATATTTTTTGGTCTAACTAACTCCAAAAGGTTGGAAAAGAGTTCCTACAAAGGTTTTGGACAGTGATTTTAACCCTAACGCCAAAAAACTTAAACCTTACCATAGCCCCAAAACCTAATACTCGGGTATTACATTCAGGAAGCCCGTAAACAGTGATTTTAACCCTAACGCCAAAAAACTTAAACCTTTCCCTGGCCTTAAAATCTAATACCCGGGTATTACATTCAGGAAGCCCGTAAACCCCAAATATTTTTTTTTTCATTTTTCATTTTTTTTTTGGTCTAACTAACTCCAAAAGGTTGAAAAAGAGTTCCTACAAAGGTTTTGGACAGTGATTTTAACCCTAACGCCAAAAACCTTAAACCTTACCATAGCCCCATGACCTAATACCCGGGTATTACTTTTAGGAAGCCTGAACACCCCAAATATATTTTTTTTAATTTTTCATTTTTTTTTGGTCTAACTAAATCCAAAAGGTTGGAAAAGAGTTCCTACAAAGGTTTTGGACAGTGATTTTAAACCTAACGCCAAAACGTTAAACCTTACCATAGCCCCATAACCTAATACCCGGGTATTACTTTTAGGAAGCCTGAACACCCCAAATATTTTTTTTTCATTTTTCTTATTTTTTGGTCTAACTAACTCCAAAAGGTTGGAAAAGAGTTCCTACAAAGGTTTTGGACAGTGATTTTAACCCTAACGCCAAAACCCTTAAACCTTTCCCTAGTCCCAAAACCTAATACACGGGTATTACTTTCAGGGAGCCCGAAAACCCCCAATAATATTTTTTTCTTTTTTCATATTTTTTGGTCTAACTAACTCCAAAAGGTTGGAAAAGAGTTCCTACAAAGGTTTTGGACAGTGATTTTAACCCTAACGCCAAAAACCTTAAACCTTACCCTAGCCTTGAAATCCTAATACCCGGGTATTACCTTCAGGAAGCCTGAACACCCCAAATATTTTTTCTTCATTTTACATTTCTGTTGGTGTAACCAACTCCAAAAGGTTGGAAAAGAGTTCCTACAAAGGTTTTGGACAGTGATTTTAACCCTAACGCCAAAAAACTTAAACCTTACCCTAGCCTTAAAATCTAATACCCGGGTATTACATTCAGGAACCCCGAAAACCCCAAATATTGTTTTTTAATTTTTCATTTTTTTTTTGGTCTAACTAACTCCAAAAGGTTGGAAAAGAGTTCCTACAAAGGTTTTGGACAGTGATTTTAACCCTAACGCCAAAAAACTTAAACCTTACCATAGCCCCAAAACCTAATACCCGGGTATTACTTTCAGGGAGCCCGAAAACCCCCAATAATATTTTTTTCATTTTTCTTTTTTTTTTTGGTCTAACTAACTCCAAAAGGTTGGAAAAGAGTTCCTACAAAGGTTTTGGACAGTGATTTTAACCCTAACGCCAAAAAACTTAAACCTTTCCCTGGCCTTAAAATCTAATACCCGGGTATTACATTCAGGAAGCCCGTGAACCCCAAATATTTTTTTTTCATTTTTCATTTTTTTTTGGTCTAACTAACTCTAAAAGGTTGAAAAAGAGTTCCTACAAAGGTTTTGGACAGTGATTTTAACCCTAACGCCAAAAACCTTAAACCTTACCATGGCCCCATGACCTAATACCCGGGTATTACTTTTAGGAAGCCTGAACACCCCAAATATTTTTTTTCATTTTCCTTTTTTTTTTGGTCTAACTAACTCCAAAAGGTTGGAAAAGAGTTCCTACAAAGGTTTTGGACAGTGATTTTAACCCTAACGCCAAAAAACTTAAACCTTACCATAGCCCCATAACCTAATACCCGGGTATTACTTTCAGGGAGCCCGAAAACCCCCAATAATATTTTTTTCTTTTTTCATATTTTTTGGTCTAACTAACTCCAAAAGGTTGGAAAAGAGTTCCTACAAAGGTTTTGGACAGTGATTTTAACCCTAACGCCAAAAAACTTAAACCTTACCATAGCCCCATAACCTAATACCCGGGTATTACTTTCAGGGAAGCCCGAAAACCCCCAATAATATTTTTTTCTTTTTTCATATTTTTTGGTCTAACTAACTCCAAAAGGTTGGAAAAGAGTTCCTACAAAGGTTTTGGACAGTGATTTTAACCCTAACGCCAAAAAACTTAAACCTTTCCCTGGCCTTAAAATCTAATACCCGGGTATTACATTCAGGAAGCCCGTAAACCCCAAATATTTTTTTTTCATTTTTCATTTTTTTTTTGGTCTAACTAACTCTAAAAGGTTGAAAAAGAGTTCCTACAAAGGTTTTGGACAGTGATTTTAACCCTAACGCCAAAAACCTTAAACCTTACCATAGCCCCATGACCTAATACCCGGGTATTACTTTTAGGAAGCCTGAACACCCCAAATATTTTTTGTTCATTTTTCTTTTTTTTTTTGGTCTAACTAACTCCAAAAGGTTGGAAAAGAGTTCCTACAAAGGTTTTGGACAGTGATTTTAACCCTAACGCCAAAAAACTTAAACCTTTCCCTGGCCTTAAAATCTAATACCCGGGTATTACATTCAGGAAGCCCGTAAACCCCAAATATTTTTTTTTTCATTTTTCATTTTTTTTTTGGTCTAACTAACTCCAAAAGGTTGGAAAAGAGTTCCTACAAAGGTTTTGGACAGTGATTTTAACCCTAACGCCAAAAACCTTAAACCTTACCATAGTTCCATAACCTAATACCCGGGTATTACTTTTAGGAAGCCTGAACACCCCAAATATATTTTTTTTTTTTTTCATTTTTTTTTGGTCTAACTAACTCCAAAAGGTTGGAAAAGAGTTCCTACAAAGGTTTTGGACAGTGATTTTAACCCTAACGCCAAAAACGTTAAACCTTACCATAGCCCCATAACCTAATACCCGGGTATTACTTTTAGGAAGCCTGAACACCCCAAATATTTTTTTTTCATTTTTCTTTTTTTTTTTGGTCTAACTAACTCCAAAAGGTTGGAAAAGAGTTCCTACAAAGGTTTTGGACAGTGATTTTAACCCTAACGCCAAAACCCTTAAACCTTTCCCTAGTCCCAAAACCTAATACCCGGGTATTACTTTCAGGGAGCCCGAAAACCCCCAAATATTTTTTTTTCATTTTTCATTTTTTTTTTGGTCTAACTAACTCCAAAAGGTTGAAAAAGAGTTCCTACAAAGGTTTTGGACAGTGATTTTAACCCTAACGCCAAAAACTTAAACCTTACCATAGCCCCATAACCTAATACCCGTATTACTTTTAGGAAGCCTGAACACCCCAAATATTTTTTTTTCATTTTTCTTTTTTTTTTTGGTCTAACTAACTCCAAAAGGTTGGAAAAGAGTTCCTACAAAGGTTTTGGACAGTGATTTTAACCCTAACGCCAAAAAACTTAAACCTTACCATAGCCCCAAAACCTAATACCCGGGTATTACTTTCAGGGAGCCCGAAAACCCCCAATAATATTTTTTTCTTTTTTCATATTTTTTGGTCTAACTAACTCCAAAAGGTTGGAAAAGAGTTCCTACAAAGGTTTTGGACAGTGATTTTAACCCTAACGCCAAAAACTTAAACCTTACCATAGCCCCAAAACCTAATACCCGGGTATTACTTTCAGGGAGCCCGAAAACCCCCAATAATATTTTTTTCTTTTTTCATACTTTTTGGTCTAACTAACTCCAAAAGGTTGGAAAAGAGTTCCTACAAAGGTTTTGGACAGTGATTTTAACCCTAACGCCAAAAACCTTAAACCTTACCCTAGCCTTAAAATCTAATACCGGGGTATTACCTTCAGGAAGCCCGAACACCCCAAATATTTTTTTGTTCATTTTACATTTTTGTTGGTGTAACCAACTCCAAAAGGTTGGAAAAGAGTTCCTACAAAGGTTTTGGACAGTGATTTTAACCCTAACGCCAAAAAACTTAAACCTTACCCTAGCCTTAAAATCTAATACCCGGGTATTACCTTCAGGAAGCCCGAACACCCCAAATATTTTTTTGTTCATTTTACATTTTTGTTGGTGTAACCAACTCCAAAAGGTTGGAAAAGAGTTCCTACAAAGGTTTTGGACAGTGATTTTAACCCTAACGCCAAAAAACTTAAACCTTACCCTAGCCTTAAAATCTAATACCCGGGTATAACATTCAGGAAGCCCAAAAAACCCCAAATATATATTTTTTAATTTTTCTTTTTTTTTTTGGTTTAACTAACTCCAAAAGGTTGGAAAAGAGTTCCTACAAAGGTTTTGGACAGTGATTTTAACCCTAACGCCAAAAAACATAAACCTTACCCTCGCCTTAAAATCTAATACCCGGGTATTACATTCAGGAAGCCCGAAAACCCCAAATATATATTTTTTCATTTTTCATATTTTTTTGGTTTATCTAATTCCAAAAGGTTGGAAAAGTGTTCCTACAAAGGTTTTGGACAGGGATTTTAACCCTTATGCCAAAAAACTTAAACCTTACCCTAGCCACAAAACCTAATACCTGGGTATTACTTTTAGGAAGCCTGAACTCCCCAAATATTTTTTTTTCATTTTTCTTTTTTTTTTGGTCAAACTAACTCCAAAAGGTTGGAAAAGAGTTCCTACAAAGGTTTTGGACAGTGATTTTAACCCTAACGCCAAAAACCTTAAACCTTTCCCCAGTCCCAAAACCTAATACCTGGGTATTACCTTCAGGAAGCCCGAAAACCCCCAATAATATTTTTTTCTTTTTTCATATTTTTTGGTCTTACTAACTCCAAAAAGTTGGAAAAGAGTTCCTACAAAGGTTTTGGCCAGTGATTTTAACCCTAATGCCAAAAAACTTAAACCTTTCCCTGGCCTTAAAATCTAATACCCGGGTATTACATTCAGGAAGCCCGTAAACCCCAAATATTTTTTTTTTCATTTTTCTTTTTTTTTTTTGGTCTAACTAACTCCAAAAGGTTGAAAAAGAGTTCCTACAAAGGTTTTGGACAGTGATTTTAAACCTAACGCCAAAAACCTTAAACCTTACCATAGCCCCATAACCTAATACCCGGGTATTACTTTTAGGAAGCCTGAACACCCCAAATATATTTTTTTTAATTTTTCATTTTTTTTTGGTCTAACTAACTCCAAAAGGTTGGAAAAGAGTTCCTACAAAGGTTTTGGACAGTGATTTTAACCCTAACGCCAAAACCCTTAAACCTTTCCCTAGTCCCAAAACCTAATACACGGGTATTACTTTCAGGGAGCCCGAAAACCCCCAATAATATTTTTTTCTTTTTTCATATTTTTTGGTCTAACTAACTCCAAAAGGTTGGAAAAGAGTTCCTACAAAGGTTTTGACAGTGATTTTAACCCTTACGCCAAAAACCTTAAACCTTACCCTAGCCTTGAAATCTAATACCCGGGTATTACCTTCAGGAAGCCTGAACACCCCAAATATTTTTTTCTTCATTTTACATTTTTGTTGGTGTAACCAACTCCAAAAGGTTGGAAAAGAGTTCCTACAAAGGTTTTGGACAGTGATTTTAACCCTAATGCCAAAAAACTTAAACCTTACCCTAGCCTCAAAATCTAATACCCGGGTATTACATTCAGGAACCCCGAAAACCCCAAATATTGTTTTTTAATTTTTCATAT